TAGTTCACGAATCCGGACTGCGCAACTAGCTGATGATATATGGATAATTACTGCTGGCCTCGGGAAGATGAGCAACACAAACATCTGTAACTACTGGCTTGTATCTGAATGATTAGCTTAGGAGCATGAATATACTGATAGTTCGGGACCTAGTAGAGGGAAAGGACGTGAAGCAAAAGAAACTCAGGCTTCGATCCTAAGCAACGAATAGACTTAGGCAAGTGAGTATAATTTTGAAACCCTTTCCCTAAGTACTGTATCTGGCACAGCGATATCAAGTTTGTTGTTATGTTTCTCACCCGGTGAAAGAAAGCATATTCAATGCTTTGGGTTTGGTAGATTTTATCTCGTATCATCTCAAGTCTACATATATGACCATAGCTTCATAACTCTCATCATATCCTTTCGTTAGCAACAGGACATCTCATAACTCATGGAAATTCCGCCAACAAAGCCCCAAAAGCCTGCATCAAATCCCCCTTCAGATCCTCCAAGTCCTCCACTCCAGTACTAATCCTCAACATCCTCTGATCCTCCCCACGGCTCGACATAGCACGCCACTCGCACAAGCTCTCCACACCACCCAAGCTCGTAGCATGCTGAAAGATAAACAGCTTGCTCGGTAATCGCTTCGCATGCTCTGGGTTCTTCAGCCATAGACTGAACACGGGGCTGTGACCACCTGGCATTTGGCCCTTCAGCCACTCTGCGTCTTGTTGGATGGATGAATGTGCGATCTTGTGTACTATACGCCCGATGACGGATGATGAGTCTGAGAGATCAGCGCTGAGCCATGATACGAGTGCCTCGGCGGTTTGGGACTGTCGCATCACTCGTAGGTGAAGAGTTCGAAGTGATCGGATACCCAACCAACCTTCCAAACTTCCCATGACATTTCCTAGCACCATCCGTTCATCCCTCAATGTCTGCTCCAATCCTGACTTGACTTGCTGCGGAGAAATAATGACAATGCCACAGAGCATATCAGAGTGTCCACCGATATACTTCGTCCCACTATGCATAACCAAATCCGCCCCAAACTGAATAGGATCCTGCAGCGGCGGCGGCGCAAGCGTAGCATCAACCGTAAGCAACGCCCCCGCCTCTTTAGCCTTCTTGCTAAAGAAGGCAAGATTTCTCGCTTCACCTGTTGGGTTAAGCGGTGTTTCGATATGGATCATATCCCCTGGCCCCGCTTGATCAAGATCATCAAGCGAAAGCTTCTTCAAACCGTTGAGCTTGGTCATGAGCTCAATTACAGCGTGAACACCGTGATAGCCATCAGAGATAAAGATTTTCTTGGGGTTGATGGCGATTAGCATTGAGTGAAACGCTGCGACGCCGCAGGAATATGATACAACGGGGTTTTTGAAGAGGGTCTTGAGGACGATTTCTAGTCTGCTGTAGTTGGGGGCTGTGTAGCGAGAGTAGACGTGTGAATCGAATGGAGCATTTGGCTATGAACGTTAGTTGTATTTGAGATTGGTGACGGCTGGGGAAGTACATCGTCGTTTTCCATCTCAACGAGATCGTCGGGGTTGCGGGCATAGCGGTAGTTCACAGCGGAGTGCATAGCTGGGGCGATGGCCCGATGAGGACTGACAAAGTCATCTGCGTGGACGGCCTGAGTTGAGAAATGGAATTTGGGTAGGGCCTGGGAGTGAGCTTCTGCTGTGAGGACGAAGTTGTTGGATGTCATGGTGAAGGTCACTGTTGATAACCTGATATTCTGATGCTATCGGGCCATCTGCATTCTTCAAGGAGGTTACTGGGGGTTTTATAATATTTCATATTATCGGATCTCGGTCGGATCGTCGGCCGGTATGTAGCTATCTACTATGCTATCTTGTCAAGATGGCTGCGAGCTAATGTCATGACATTGAAAAGGGCGCACAAGCATCTCGGTCCGACACCGGAGTTCGGTATCATGATGTTTCTCCCACTCAACGCTCGCAACTTGATAACTAAGACAAAAAGACAGTAAACTCTGCCTAGTGGATCAGTAGCAGTTGTTACATAATTGTTCAATTACTCAGTGCATAAGTTCTGACCCAGTATACAGTGGATGCCTAAGCTATCTTAGATCTTGGACTTCATGCCCTGCGACTCTTTCTTTGCCTGACTATATAACTTGTCGAAAACCAAATCATCGAGAATTGCCTTAGCACTATGATACAAAGGTCGGCGAAAAGGAAAGAAAAGTACAAAGCAGTTCATCTTGTCCAGAGCAAAGATGCGAGAGCGAAAACCAGCCTGTAGATCATACCGGATCGAGTACACAATGAAGGGAAAGTCATGGGCAAGGATGAGCATTTGATCCCTAATCATGCCATCTGACAGGTTCTTAGGAACTGCCCCAAGGTACCGTTTTGCGCCGAGGGGGCTCTTCCTCACAACCTCCAGTTCCTTCTCATCAAGTGTGAAATTGCCTGTTGAGTAGCTATCCCCTTGACAGTATCCGAATAGGCTGAGTAACGTCAATGCAGCATATATCCAGAGTACCAGTGATGCCCTTTTCGGTGCTAGCGAGCTCTTTGTCAGCTGAGAGGAACCTCTGCCAAGCTGTCTCGTACCTGTGCTCCTTGTTAGTAGTGTCATCAACGTAAGCTATGTTGACTAACCTAGGCTTGAGAGAGTTGGTCTCTGATGTTCCAGAGACGAGGTTCTTAAAGCTTTGGCTTATGATAAGACCTTTCCAATCGTCTTCACCGGCAATGACTCACCAGGAGAAGGCTGAGAGATGGTGTAACTACCGCGATAGATCAGTTCCCCCGCCAGAGGTCTGAGATCTTGGACTTACCTCTGCGGGAGAAACGCCAGTCCTCAAACTTTTGCTGCCCCAACCCATGGCATTTATAATCTGAATTCTTATCAGCGTGTGAAATTGGGGAATAGTGAACAGAAGCTTCCCTCTGTGGCTGAAACGCCTCCCATGGTTCCCTTCTGAATCGCCTCATCCGGCCGTTTGACAGTAGCTTGCTGGATCTTGATAACATCAAGTTCGTTCCATAAGTATGCCGTTCCTCCTCCTAGTTTATATACCTTAGACCAAACCTTCAGAATGTAGACTTGGTTCAACGGAAGCCAAAAGCCTGTCCTAGGATGCAGGTTTCAGTCCGGCTATTTCGGCAGTGGACAAATGTGATATGCAAGCAAGGATGCATTTGAGAAGCAAGAAGCAAGCTTAACTGCGATATTGAGGCAACACTCCAATCGGACCAGTGCGGGCTGAGAGCTTAAATGAACCCCCTGTATAATAGACGGATCTGATTGGATTTTCCGATACGGCCTTTTGGTATTCAAGCCTTTATCTGACCATGTCTTGATAACCAACCCTCAAGGGGCAAGAAAACACCGAACCTTGACATAAGGTGTCAAAATAAACTTAGCAAAGAACACCCTAAGCTTAGGCTAAATTTACCTAATATTTTTATCGCTTTAGGTCAAGGTCCTAAGTTTTCTTTCCTCCCCTAGCCAATATAGCTTAAATTTAGTGCGGCCGCCTCAGATGGAGATCCGTAGCCCCCTATTGGCGCTTCTAACTCAGTACAGAGCCGAGGTCAACAAGAAGCGAGTGAAGCCCTCTGTCACAACCAACACAACTCATATTCTGGGCACTAGAAGTTTCAGACGTTTGACAGAACCAACAGTGTCCGTGATACGAGCTTTTTGCCATCGTAATTGGATGCTCACGGCATTTCTTTGCCGTGAGCGGAATGCACATCCAACATGACATCTCTTCACTGTTTAGTTCGTTCTACAGCCAACATTAGTTCTCTGAACCATTTTGTAAACTCTTTGATACAAATCCGCATTGCCACTTGGCTCATCTGTGTACCTTGTACGCGAATGGCAACGGAATCCGTCGTCAAGGATGAGCACCCCACGAGACTTTCACAGCAATCCGCCAACCTCAATTGCGTTGGCTTTGCTTCTCGCAGTAGCAACAAGCTACCTCTTCCGCCGAGAGGACGAACTCTTGTCGGAGATTATCTGTTGGGCATGCTTACCGGTGATATTTAGAGCCAATACCTTTGTAGAACATGTCAGTGCAGATCTACCCACCAGGCGTGAGCCTCGGCATACTCTTCCCTCGGCGTTATCGCTGTGGGCTGTTGCGGGTTGTCTGTCCATTGTATCCGGGTGTCGAGCTGAGGCGGATAGTTTCGAGCTCTTGGTATGTTCAATAACATGCCCTGAAAGAAGCTGATGGTAACAGAAATGCGTAGCCTATTTTGGCCCCCTTGCTCCTTTGGACAGAGGGAAGCCTGAATCGTTACCCTCAGGGGCGCGATGCCGCGGATATCTCAAAGTTAGCCCCCCTGTCCAGTAAGCTGTGGATAGCAGCAATCATTGCAGCTCTTCTGACCTTGGTTCTGATTGACTGGAATTACTCTGGACTTGTGCCTTCTGCTGTTGTAACTGGCGCCTCTTTCATCGCCTATGTTTCGTTCTAATCAAGACCGGGGGGCGGTCGCTTCTTACCTTACCTACATCCCTTCAAAGAGCATGTTTACTCTCTTGCACCAAGAGTGACTGCACTCCTCTTAGTTGGTAGTCTTGCCAGAGTAACCGTTTTTGGTCTTCCACGAGCTAGTCCTTTATACGCTTTGTTTCTGGGGCTGGTAAAAGCACTTTCCTGGCGATGTGCTGCCAGAGCTGTAGGTTAACAATTTTCTCATCATATATGGGATTCTAACTTTCAAGTCAAGGCTCGTCACGCATCATGGACTCTTCCGACTATGATGACCACATTTGGTCTTCTAGCAACGCGCGATCCGTTCGATTTCTTATTTGAGAGCCAAGCATTGTTAAATGCTGTATGTGCCTTGATATGTCTTGGCCAGATTGCTAGTTTCGTCCCCAGACAGATACGGCCAACGCGACTCTTGTATGCCTGCATTATGTTACCGATAATACCATATGTAGCCAATATTATGGCTATTTATCACGCACGAACCGATGCTCCTACCTTCACCACGGAGACACCACATCCAGTCATGGCCCTATTCAATAAAGCACAGAAAGAGTTCGAGAACCAATTGAAAAGGCAATCGACAACCTACGAAGCCGCGTCGCATGAGTATCGGACCAAATACAGTATAGAGCCACCACCAGGTTTTAAAGAATGGTACGACGCTGCGCGCTCTAATGATTCACCATTGATCGATGAGTTCGACTCCTTGTATCAGACAATATCGCCGTTATGGAGGCTGAGCGGCAGTGAAGTTCTTGATGCTATGCACCGAGCGAAGAGCCTTCCTGGGAGCGATTTATGGCTTTGCACGTTTTCAGGCACAACGTCGATAACAAAATGCAGTCACTCCTATCGTACTTTTGACAGGCATATCTCGAGAATGTTCAACAATATCTTGGCCAATCTCACTGGGCTTCCTGATGTGACGTTTCTTGTCAATCACATCGATGAGCCTCGTGTTATTTCTCACCCTTCTCCTGAACCATCTTCTCCTCACGATCGAAGGATAAGTGTGGAAGATCGCAGCCGACAACCTATATGGGACTTGGTGACCAAGAGCTGTGTCCTTGACGAGAGAGAAGCAGAAGGTCAAGACAACATCAATACCTTTGGCCTGCCGTTCGTGGTCAATATCTCCTCAGCCCAAGATCTTTGCCAACACTCAGAATACAGCGGCTCACATGGTTTCATGATGAGCCCCGTCTCGTTCCGCCCGATCCATGGTCTGGTTCCAATCTTCTCAACCGGCAAACTATCGACAATGAGTGACATTCTCATTCCGAGCCCAGCGTATACCGAGCAAGAGTTCATTTACAACGAGTCAAGAGATGTTGATTGGGGCCGAAAAAGGGACAGCCTCTACTGGGCTGGCTCAACCACTGGAGGGTTCGCGCTTGATACCCGCTGGCAGCTCTTCCATCGACAACGATTTGTCGAACTCACACAGAATTTGAGAACAAACAAATGTTATCAATACCTGCGAACGAAAGATGGTGTCTTGCAGAAAGTCAAATCCCATTTTTTAAATGGAAGACTCTTTGATGTCACCTTCACCCGCATCTTCCAATGCCAGAGAAAGGCCTGTAGGGACCAAGATGCCTATTTCGATACCAAGTCCTGGGTAGATAAAGACGAAGCCCTCAAGTCAACACTTGCCTTTGATATCGACGGTAATGGTATCAACGGCCGTTATTACAAGCTACTTGCTTCCAAGTCAGTGCCACTAAAGCAAACATTATTCCAAGAATGGCACGACGATCGACTAATGCCTTGGCTGCACTATGTACCCATCAGTCAAAGTATGGAAGAACTCCCGGAGCTAGTCTTTTATCTCACCTCGACTGGATCTGGAAAAGAGATCGCGAGGCAAATCGCAGAGCGAGGTCGATAATGGCATGCCAGAGCGTTTCGCGAAGTCGATATGGGTCTGTATGTTTACAGGCTGTTGTTGGAGATGGCAAAGCTTCAAGATCCTCAACGCACGCCTTGGGAATAATTAATATGGGGTAAATCTGGATTTTTGAAGTATTCTAGGCCAGTTTCGTCGAACCAAGCATCTTCCCCTCTGCGCACGGCACTCTTTGGCGCAGTGTATGACGCCTTAAATTATGTGATGTGTCACTTGCAATGGAGACTTGTGGCTGAGAACTTAGAACAGCAGAGAGAACTCAGTTGCCTTTGTGTTAATTTGTATTGTATCTTTGTGCATTTAGCCCCTCAGCCCCAGAACCTTATTACAGCAAGATTACGCGACACTTGATAGATTACCGATTATGAAGCCTGTTTTTTTTTTTGAAGCCATGTAAGTATTGGCTTCTCTAGTGCATGAGAACTCCCGGATCAGGATCGGCTATACAGAAACAACCCACAGATATTTACAGGTTTTGTATTTCAGCCATTGGCTATTATTTATGTTTAATTCTCTTACCTCCCCTCAAACCAACAAGGTTATATTTTTGTACTGCCCACCTGTCTGACCAGTGGCTACAAGGTTATCTATCCTTGCTGCCAATGCAAACCAAGGACGCGATGAGTGTCGTGTCATGACTCATCGGGGCACCCTGGTGGTTTGGTTGCGCGGCTTCACTGGCCTTTGACTTTGAATGCGTTGTTCAGATCGTAACTACTAAAGGGGCCCATTTACTTCACTCATGCGCACGAAATTAGCACCAGTTGTCAGGGCTATCAACCCAGAACAACCCTCCCCCAAACCTTGTTCAGGCATACCAACACCCACAAATTGTCACTCAGAGTTCATCACTAAAGCATCACGCTTCCACCCACATACCCCATCTTCAAACCCAGCCCCGACTTTGTCGACCAAAGATGAAGTTCCCCCTGCTAAGGGTCTTGTTCTTCACCACTCTTTTCTCTTCAGGAGAAGCATGCGGAAAGAAGAAGTGAGTTAGATATGTTACTCGCAGTTGAGACTTGTGGCTGAAAGTTCAAATCAGGAAAGAGATCATAACATGGAAATGCTCCAACGACGAAGGGGGAACCAACTATTATAAGACTGACGAATGCTGCGAGAGGATCAAGGGCGAATTGGATAAAGACGGAATGAACTGCAACGAGGAACTCAAAGGCATGTTAGGCAAACCCAAACGCGAAATCTCGAAGAAGAGAAGAGAACGGATTCTTGAGGCTATGCAGTGCTGCCACCCACCCGGGACTGAAAAGAAGGCTCCTAAGATCAAAATCATTACTACAAGTATTCAGCCAACAGCAGCACAGCCAGCAGTACAGCCAATAGTAGTACAGCTTACAGTAGTACAGTCAGCAGTACAGCCAACAGCTGTAGCTAACAGTACTACAGCCAATAGTACTACAGTCAACAGTACTATGACTACCAGTACTAGAGCTAACAGTACTACTACAACTCGCAGTACTACAGCCAACAGTACTACGGCCTAGAATGTTCCTGCTAAATAAGGCGTAAGTAAATCTTGTTGAGATCGAGGTTGAGGTGATACAGCTTTTTATTATTATATGCTCTACTTACTGACCATCTCTTCTAGGGGTCTTGTACAATGGGGAGACGCTGTGGGTAGTTGACATTAGGGAATGGAATGAAAGGGAGCCAGGGCCGTGAGCCGAGATACGTCTATGACAGCAAGAGAAATGTTGTCAGCCCGACAGCCAAATAATAAGATCATCTTTTACAAGGCTGAAAGATCATGAACGTGTATTGGGATTTATGGCAAAACAACAACAGTCTCTGAGAATGCGACCAGCTTCACTCTAGCATTGCTCGCGTCATGTATCATGCTGCCTGCAGATCAAATCAGGACAGAGTATCAAAAAACAAAATAAAAGTTTTGAGTCTATTTAAGTCCTTGAATTAATGTTTTCCCGTGTCTTTTATCTCGGCTACGCCGGGAATCGAACCCAGAATCTTCCGATCCACTCTCGGACGCCTTGCCATTGGGCCACGCAACCTGCATTTCACTCCTCACGAGCCAAAATTCGACTCGACTGCTCCCCGAATGGCGAGACGACGAATCAGTGCCGATCCTTCCGAAGGATTCACAATCCCATGCCTTTCTGTTTGAAGATGTTGGGTGATTTGTGTGACAAGGAGGGTAAGCAGCGGGGTTGCATGCGTAGTGCTTATTCGTGTGACTTTTCGCATCAATCAAGTCCGAGTCCGGGATAAGTATAAAGAGAGATGATGCCTCGTCTTTTATTCTGGGGGATTTGCATTGGTTATGGTTCGTTGATATTGTGAACTTAGTATGGCTTCGAATCAGAATGCTGTTCGCATTGCTATGCGTGATAAGCACTACAATGAACGCTCCGAGATTCAGAATGCAGCTATGAAAGCTGGTCTTGATTTGATCCCTGATTTTTCAGATAGTAAGCAATAGCCTGTCGGTCTTTCATACTAATCGAACCGATGCTGACATCTGGTAGGAGACAATTTGGTAGTCGTGGATTATGGAACTGCCCAGGGTGCCAACTCGTAAGCCTGAAGCCCCAAATTCACACTTCCTTGCTGACCTCTCAAGCATCGAACCTGTCAAAAAGGTCATCTCAACCTTACCAGACGGGGCTATTGCTTCTCTCATCTTCGAGGACACCCCGTTCAACGACTTTGGAACCCTTGCAAAGACTGTCTCAGATAACTTTACCAACCAAGACAACAAGATCCAGATCGTGCCAAGTCTCGTTCCACTGGGGTTCTATCAGCAGGTAGTTCCAACGGGCCAAGCCGACATTGGCTTCTCTTGGTCGTCTTTCAATTACCTCGAGAACGTTCCTTCAGTTAGTCTCGACGCAACAGCATCCCCAGCTGAATTCGCAGTTGCTCGTCACAGAGCACTCGCCGCAGCAGCGCATACAGACCTGATAAAGCTCTTCAAGCTCAGGGCAAAGGAGACTCGGAGCGGAGGGTATTTTATCGCTGCTATTGGAGGGCAGGCACCTGAAGGGGAGAGTACGCCTTCGAAGCCGGGATCGCAAGTCCTTCAAGCTGGATTGATGAGAATGGTTGGCGAGGGGAAGCTAGCGTTAGCCGAACTGATGCAAATGGCTCTTTTCCCAAGTCATGAGCGCACTCCCAAGGAGGTTGAAGCGGCCTTGAAGGATGAGGCTGTCGCACCGCTATGGGAGGTAGAGTCTCTAGAGCCGAAGCTGATCGTGCAGCCAGCTTGGCACGTCTACCAGGACAAGATCAAGACCGACGAAAGCAAGAAAGACGAAGCTCTGGAGGAATATGCTCAAGTTGCCATTAATAACGTAGTCTCGGCTTCAGGCTGGTTCTGGGTGGATGTTCTGAAGAAGTCACGAGGTCAAGATTGGGATGGAGGCGAAGCATTTCTCGAAGAGTTTATCAACATTACCGTTGAGGAATTTGTCACAAAGTTTACCGACTTCAAGTTAGAGATATGGTACAATTACATCAAGCTTAAGAGAACCGATGAGAAGGCCTAGAACTGTTTGGGCAATAGGGTAGTATTTAGTGAAGAATCTCCATGGAGTTCTCGGAGTGGATGGCATCACGTCATATTGAGCACGTCGATTAGTAAGACTCACCTCCACGGATTTCCATTATCTAGATCAAATATGATATAACTCCTCACTTCAGTACAACATTGCGATTATCCCAAGATCATCAATTCACTCCATCGTCATCAAGAAAATACGAGGTTCAGCATGACGCAAATCGGAATCTTCCCCGCTTCTGGAGCCCTTGGCACCAGCACATACACGCATCTTCTCTCCCAAGTCCCAAACGACAAAGTCACGCTCATCAACCGCTACCCCGAAAAGGTCCCCAAGAAATACGTGGAGAATGGAACTACCGTTCGTCAAGCTTCTTACGAGTCTAGCGCCGAAGAGCTCGAGGCTGCTTTTGCAGGGATTAATGTTCTCTTTTTGATCTCATATCCTAGCCATGTTCACGAATACAGGACCAAGGTGCACACTAAAGCACTTGATGCAGCGGTTAAAGCAGGTGTAAAGCATATTTTCTACTCGTCGCTTGGGTTTGCGTCGATTGGTGAGAGTACTACGAGGGCTGAAGTCATGGGTGCTCATCTTGACAGTGAGGCGTATTTGCGAAAGATTGCGAGTGCGAAGGAGGGATTTACGTGGACGAGTATCCGCGAGGGTCTATACAGCGAGTCATTCCCCATCTACACTTCTTTTCTCGACCTCAAGAACCCTCCGTCCAAAGTTCTTATCCCTCACGATGGAAGTGGACCTGGCGTTAGTTGGGTGAAGAGAGATGAACTCGGAGAAGCGACCGCACGTCTCATCGCATCATACGCGAAATCACCACTATCATTCAAATATACCAACCAGATCGTCACCTTGACCGGTCCTAAAACGTGGACATTGTCAGAGACCGTCGAAGTCCTATCGCGCGCCGCAGGAAAAGACTTTAAGATCCAAGAAATCAGCGTAGACGAGTACATCAACCTCCCTCAGATGAAACAATACTTTGGAACAGAGGAGAAAGCGCGGACGTGGGCTACAGCATGGGACGCCATCCGCGCCGGAGAAACCGCTGGTGTAACGAACACGATGAAAGAGATATTGGGAAGGGAGCCGGAGGATTTTGAAAAGACTATTGAGGAATTGGTCAAGAATTAGCGGTCAGGTTGATAAATTGTTGAGGTTGAACAGTGAGGAAATACGAAGGCTGAACTTTTGTGCTACGGTAGAGAGAATGAAATGCATGATGGTTTCTATTTTTAAACTGTGGAGAAGTTAGGCTCTGTGTGACGTGGTCGAGAATTAGATCAGCGCCTCATTTGGATTAGAGTTTTAGCGATGAAATGAATTCATGCGACCCTGTTGAACCAGCCACGAAATGCGTTCTAGAAAAGTCTCAGAGATTAAAACAACATTCCAGCTGACTTATTAGCTACTCCGTAGCTTGCCATAGCGGTTGTGCTGTAGGCAAATGATCCTTCATCCACTTCCGTTCCGCTAGCCGTAGTGAGTGGATCTCGCATCGATCTCGGCCTACGTCAGTGGGTATTAATAGCCCATAGCAGCATCTAGTTTGTTCTGTTTATTCAATGCAGGGATATATTTCTACTGGCACGTTACAGGCGATCCTCGGCACATATGCCGTGCTTTACGAGATGGAAACCCATCATGTGTTCTCGATCTCGTATCGGGGAGGCAGTGAAGTGGCGATGTTTCTTGTTTTCAGCTAGCCTCAAAAACCTTTGGCTGGTAAAAAGAGGTGCCAAAAATAACTAGGCTAAAAAGCTACCTAAACCTTTTTGTCATTTAGACTAGAAGCCTAAGTTTTCTGGCGGAAGAATTTCTATGTGAAACAGTCCGAAAGACCCGATAGTTTGTTGTAATTGGATGTAACCGTAGGTGACATTAAAGGGCCAAGTTCACGACAGGGGTATATCGTCCCCCATTGAAATGATGTCAATAACTGCCGTTACACTCCTCATTCGTCAAAAGATCAACTGAAGATCCCTTGGGACCTCGTATTCACATTTATATAAGTCCTTGTCCTAATCACTTCTTTCCATCTACCATTCTCACACCAATCTATCATCCATCTGAACATCCAACATCCAGCCACCAAACAAAACAAAACAAAACACCAAACATCAATCAAAATGCAGTTCAAGACTCTCTTCGCCGCCTCCCTCCTCGGCCTCGCTGCCGCCGCCCCTGCAGAGGAGTGCAGCAGCACCAAGACCAGCCCCGCCAAGTCCGGCAACTCTCCCGTGCCCAAGACCTTCGGCCTCGTCGCCCTGCGCTCCGCCAGCCCTATCCACTTCACACACTTCAGCGCCACTGAGAACGGCTTCTTGCTTGGTCTTCCAGCGGATAAGCAGAACGCTACATGCTCTGGCAAGTCTGATGGATCAGCTGTCTTCCGTCTGAGCGAGGGTGAGCTGTACTTGTACAACACCGGCAAGAAGCAGCAGCGCGCTTACACTGATCGCTCTGGAATGGGTAAGTTCTCACTTTACACTTGTTAATTGAATTGTTGCTAATATGGTATAGGCCAAGGTGTTCTTCAGTACGCTACTGAAACTAAGAACCCTCTCCCCGACTCGTTCGAGACTAAGGGCTGGAAGATTGACAAGTCTGGAAACCTCAACTTTGATAACGCTAGCGGCTTTACTGCCTGCCGCGACGGCCCTGATGGTTCTTGGACAGTTTGGATTGCTACTGGAGCGACTCACCCTGGAAACACTGACGCCGAGTGTCTTGGCTTCAACGCCCGTGTTGCTGAGATTGAGCACCCTACCAGCTGCTTTTACTCCGAGTACTCTTCTTAAACCGAAGCTTGGATGATTATATGTATATAGATTTAGCGTGTATGACTTTCTTGTAAACTGAGATTATATTTATTACGTACTGGAAAATCGCGTCTATATAGAGGCCAAAATGCTTTATACTCACAATCACTTATCACACATATCCCGAGGGATAGCTAACAATTTAATGATGATCGGATATAGCAATGTCGCCTCTCCTTCCAAACACACACCACTAGTGGTATCAATGGTTCCTTCTCTTGCTTCAAGCAATGGATGCATGCCATCTGGCTGTGAGAGGTCCTTTTGTTGACTTGCTTTCATCAAGCCCTCACAGTCACAGTCACAGCAGCGGCACTGAGCTTCGAGGCCATCACAGACGGTGGAGCATTGATTGTAGTGCATGCAAGATAGCCTTCTTCTTGTACGTGAAGAAATAGCCTCTGGGCTTCGGCAGCCCATAGTTATTTAACTCGACCGAATGTGGAGAGTGCACTCTATGTGAAAGTTTCACGAGATATTGGATGTTCCAGAACCGGAATCTTATGTGATCGGTACAAAAACTTTGGCAGACTGTCTAAAATTAGTGTTTGCAAATGAAAAAGTCTATTATAAAAAGCCACCCGGTGGCTATATAAATAATGCTAGTTACAAGATTACCTCTATTCTCTTTTTCATCTTCCATATTTTATACATGTCTTGCTAAAAGTCTCCAGAATGGCTACCGAGAAATATTTCAGGCTCCAGCATCATCACACGTTGCCATGGGCTTTACGACAGCTATATCGCTTTCGACCGAGAACTGACACATCTAAGGTCCCATTTTTTGACGACAAAGAATCTGGGTCTTGTGTGCAGGCCGCGTCCGGACAAGAGCACAGTGAGACAACGACGTCTCTTCGACCCCAGGAGCCTCAACATTTCCCGATACAGACTTCTTCACTGCTGCGCCTCCCGCGCGAGCTACTACTTCAGATCATAGCCCTTTTACCGCATAGCTCTCTTTACATGATCCACCAAACCTGTGGCATCTTGCGTCATCTGTTGGGCGGTTTTGAGTTCAAATCCTTTCGACTGGAAATGCTGCGGAGCAGTGAGGAAGAATACTGCATTACGGAAGCCGGATTCAACGAGCTATATATAGCCAAAAGGCTGCTCCTCCGTGGATCTCTGTGTAGTCCTTGCAGTAAGCTCTTAGACTCTGGCGAGCTTGAAGAAAGACTTAGATAGCTCTGGTGTCCAGTCTCTTGCACTGAATGCAACGAACGCCATCCAGAGTTTATATTCCCTCAAGGGCGGCGGACTCAAGGGCAGCGGATAAAAAAGCGCTGTGTCGAGCTCCTGGGTCACTTTGCGGTTTGCGAACACCTCAAAGTGTCGGGTAAGTGGCTACAGCTCAAGATACCCGGGCAAGAGAGACTGGAGCGAGGGGAGCAGGTGATCACGTGCGAACATCCTGATCACATCTCAGCCTACGACAAATATGGCGATTCATTAAGCTGCCACATATTTCAGCCATGTATCGTATACTTTTCTACTCCAACAGGTGCGCGAAGCAAACACGTCAGATCCTTTCCTATGATAAAATTTCATCGTAAACAAGATCTCGACATAAGGAAGTTGAGGTCGTTTCTGTTGAAGCGACTACAAGAATTGGACGGCCATGGGCTATGCCAACATGCCTATGGTCAACTCGAATCCATCACATCGTTTGTGACCCTAGGAAAACCTCGGTGTCCTTCCAATGGACGGAGTTGGTGCTATGACTATCAATGCCCTGATTGCACCTACGCTTGTAAACATTGCGGAGAACGATACCGCTGGGTTTGGGAAAAAGATTGTCTCATACTTCGCATTCGGTCGGAGAAGTGTTATTTGTCCCCACATTCCATCGACTGGCTCTCAAACCTCAGTTTCGAAACTGATAAGCACCCTATTTTCAACAAGAATACCGAGAATGTATTATGGTGCTCCAATCCTGGTTGTGGTACAGGCCGTGGAGAACGATGGTTGTTAACGGTGGAAATCTGGAAGAGACTCATAATATCCCCTTACTGGCAAGAAAACGAGCCTGAGTTTAATGGCAAGATTTCCCTGAACAGGCTGCATTTAACACTGGAATATCAGACTTTTCAGGATATAGTAAACCATCGTGGAGCATGGAGGATACAGGGCAGATCCATAACAGGATCACCAATCGTATAGGAGTCTAAAAGTAGCAGATAATAACGCCTTTTATATTACGTTCTATTCCCACGGGCAAGAAGATCTCTCCTCGTGTGTTAAGAACCCATCAGCTCTCGCTTCGAGAGTATCCAGCCCGACATCGACCTAGCAACGCAACGGGTGACAACGACCTCACAGATGCGACACTGCACTCAAGGTCTGCAATGCAGGAACTAATCTCATGTCTTCTGATAATCGATCAGCGTGCGAAAATGGTCCCCCGCAGCCATTCTCTTCTCCGGTCGCCCTTCCACCTTGCGTCGGTATCTTCTTCAATCTCAACCTCCTTTACTAAAGCTCAAAATGACAGATAGTCCGGACCTCACTGGCCAAGACCCCGACCACGAAGCCGACAACAATGTTCCACGCGATGTCGACTATTCTTGGAATTGTGTGTCATTTGCAGTTGACACTTGTGACTGAGAGCTTAATTCAGCAGAAAGAACTTAGTAAACAGAGCTATTCCTAATGGGTGTAGCGCAGTGGGCAAAATCAGATCATGGGCTTAGGGAGTAAGAAAATTCGATACGCAAACAGAGAGTGCTAAAATAAACTTTGCATAAAATCCTCTAAACTTAGACTAAAATTACCTGAATCTTTTTGTCCCTTAGGGCTAGGATCCTGAATTTTCTTCCGTGGCATGCAAAGCCCCACCACCCCCACCCCACGTGATGCTTTGCTCTTATCTGATCAAGCTTTTAGATCTGATAAACTGCTCAACTTAAACCCCTGCCTCTCCCCATCCTGAATCAGCCCCGACAGCGGCGCCATGAAATTCGCAGCTCCTCTGAGCGCGCTGCTCATCAACCTCTCGCTATGGGCGCTCTGTCTTGCCGCAGAGGACAGATCTCCAGAGCGGGTATGCTACGACGCGTGTTTCGCGTGCCTAAAGCCCGTGCATTTCGACGACGTGCTCCGGAACCAAACGGGTTTTACGAGGACCTGCTACAGCCCCAGAGCGATACTGTCGCTGTATCTATGTCTTGATGTGTATTGCACGCCTGGCGCGGTGGATGTTGGGCTGGGGTCGTATAATGAGACGTGTCGGGAGAAGGCGCATATTGTCTTACCGCCGTTTGACGTGATTTCGAATTATACGGCTGAGGATGTTGAGAGGGCGAGGAGGTTTGAGCGGAATGAGACGGATGAGGGGGTTTTGTTTAGGGAGGTTGTTGTTCCTTCTGAGCATTGGTTTGGGATCTGGTGGGATACTTTGGTAGGTAATTTGAGAGTGAAGGTTGAACGGGACTGATTGTGATGCAGGACTCTGTGGCGTATACGTACACTTACCATGACGTCTACGGGTATGAAAAACTTCACATATGCCAATAAGAATGCTGACAATTGATAGGCGCGCTATGATTACGTTCTGGATCGTCGTTGTAGCTATCGGCGTTTTGAACCATGCTATTCTTCATATCGCCAATCTACAGATAACTCGCAACTATTCTCCAAAGTCCGGCAGCCGACTCCAGAACCTTTACAGTTGGGCACTCAACCGAATCACAGTCCCGGCTTTTATGGGAGACCGATGCGCACAGAAAGTCGGTTGGGGAACTGTCCCTCCTCAAATACAGTCCTGGACCTTGATTGCTTTCCTCCTCCTCAACATCGCCTTGAGCATACTTGGATACAAAATCGTGCCAGTGAATATGTAGTAAGTACCAGTAAACCTTGGATCACATCGCTTGGGACTTACACGGTGGCAGCTTTCCATCAACAGCGAAACAGCTTCTTCGATATGTCTCGGACCGCACGGGCATCATATCGTGGGCCAATTTCCCGGTTATCTGGTTGTTCGGAATGAGGAATAACCTCCTAATGTGGTTGACTGGATGGGACTTTGGAACGTATAACAACTTTCACCGCTGGGTTGCGCGAATCGCGACTCTTCAGGCGATTGTCCACTCCATTGGGTATACCTGGTTAATTGTCTTGGGTTAGTAACTTCGTTATACCTCTTGCTCTGGACTTTTCTCATGCTAACTTTGCGACAGAGGGAGGCTGGGAGTATTATCTATTCTGGTGGAACTATATGTTCTGGTGGGTTGGTGAAGTGGTATGTTTTCTCCCGTCGTCTGCTTGCACATTCATCTTAACAAGCCTAGGCAACGATCGTCATGTCTCTTCTCGTCGGAGCATCCTTTTACTGGATCCGACGTCAGCAGTACGAACTGTTCTTGGTCGTACACATCATCATGTCAATCATCCTCCTCATCACCATGCTTGCGTAAGTCTTGCCCTCCCACCACTCCCAGACTTGTCTAACAAATCAGCCACGTCTCCATCTTCCAAGGCGAATACGACGTATTCTTCTGGGTCCCCTGCTTCATCTGGGTCGGTGATCGCGTCATCCGGGCTCTTCGAATAGCCGCTTTCAATCCAAAGCTCTGGGATACTTGGGCAACTTCCATTTATCATCCGTCTTCCAACATTGTTAGGCTTGTCGTTCCGTGGTCAAGCAGTCTGTATAAACCAGCCCCGGGAACGTTCTTCTACATCCATGTTCTCAACGGACCTCGATGCTGGGAAAGTCACCCCTTCACCGTGGCAATGGTAAAAGATGAAGGGGAACGTGGTTCGAAGCTCCTTGGCGAGCAAGCTCCTCTACTCGACGGCACTATCGCTGAGCAAAGCCCTGATCCCGTTGACTCACAGGATATACTCAGTGACTCTCGCACAATGACATTCTTGATCCGTCCATATGACGGCTTCACCTCCAGACTCCGAGACACTGCGTCAGCAGTCTGGCCCAAAAATGTCCCTCAACGAGTTCTCATCGACGGTCCCTACGGACATACTCGTCCCCTCCATCTCTTTGATAACGTAACATTTATAGTCGGCGGCAGCGGCATCGTCGTTCCCCTATCATATCTCCAACTCCTCACCGGCCCAACAACCCCTCGCTCCGTCAAAATCCACTGGGCCGTTCGCGAACCTGCTTTCGCACTCGACGTCCTACAAACCGACATCGATGATGCATTAGGGAGCACGAATCTCAGCGTCGAGATACATCTTACAACACATACACCTCAAGATGAACTGAGCGAGTGGCCATCGCAGGTTACGTTACGAAAAGGAAGGATAGATGCTTCGGATGTGGTGAGGAGGAGAAGTGAAGAGGTGATGAGCGAGAGCCTTGCGGTTGTGGCGTGTGGACCGGCGCAGATGGCGGATGATGCGAGAAAGACGGTTGCTGATTTGTTACGAAATGGAGTTATGAGGGTAGAGTATTTTGAGGAGAGCTTTCAGTGGTGATAGAATACATTTGGGCTTTAGACTTTACATAGATATGTTCATGATACTCATTATGCTACTCGTCTTCAATAAATCGTGATGTCTACGAGTTCATCCTCCTTAGCTGTTACCTCGCCATACATAACGCCATGCGTATAACATTCCCCTATGAGCTTCCAACCGCCGTTGGATTCTCTCAGTATAAGTGGTGTATTGCAACCCATCAAGAGTACAATCCTGTCGTTGACCTCAGCCGCACAAGTTCCCAATCCCATTCTTCCATTCTTCGTCCCAAACAACCTCCTCCACGCCATCGCATTAATCGCCCACGACAAAGCCTCCCGCTGCGTCTCAGTCGAATTGTAGTAGTTATCGCCAATAGTCATCCTTAGTTTCGTGAGCCATTTGTTGTACCCAAATATTAACTGTTCCAGGGTGTAACCGCATAGACGAACATGTTGATTTCGTGCCATAAAGTCATTCAGCCCGAACCCGTATGTGTATACACCAGCAATGCCTCTTTGCCATAGTTTGTGATCGAGAAGCCACGAGTAGCTCTCTGGTGCACGACCGCTCTCTTCTGCAATTGTATCAGTCACTATGGTCCGCCAGAGTGCCTCCCTTGTAGCTTCTAAATCTCCGTAGATGTTGCAGTTCGAGGCGAAAGTGTTGTCTGGATAGCGACTATCACATTCGTCCACGTGAAATGCGCAAAGTGAAGTGATGGTATCTATAACAATACCCTTGACAGTGAGAGCCAGATGCGTAATTGTTGGCCTCGACATCGCGGAACCAATATTTCTGTCCGCATTGTACATTCCTCGAAGTTGTGCAGTTGGTGCCGGCGAGCAGGACCAACATATCGCCCAGGAGGGAAGGTGATGCTCGCAAGGTGTCCCAACAGGAGTCTTGTCCTGCAGCCTCGTAACAGTATCAAGCATGGATAGTAAAACTGGTGCGATAGAACGGGTTCGCACAGGTGGAGGCAGATTGTCAGAGGTTCTCTTGAACGGAACATACCCACCATGGACAGACGCTAGGCGGAGAATGTTCAGGTCCCCTTTTGACAAGAGCTCCTCTGTAAAGTTGGTGTAGATGGTTGATAGTGAGAGTTTGTAATCCGGCTCGATATGAACTCTCTCGGCGATGGCTCTGATACCAAGAATACCGTAAACCCTGTCCTTCTCCTCCGTAACGAGGGCATCACGCGCAAGATTCAGTGCCCGCACAAGTTCCCTCCATTCAGTTGATGTAGACCCGAGTCTTTGGTTGTGTTGGATCTTCGTCATGGTCAGATGAATCTTCCACATTCGTTCCGGCGCCCAAGTCCTTTCATGCAGGAGTCTGTCTCGAGCAAATTCAAACGACCATGCTGGTAAAATCCGTGGTTGAACCGTTTCGAGAATCTCGCGACCGAATCTTGACTCGTCGGCAGCTATTGTGCCGACAGCTTTGTAGAGATCATCCCACGAGATACAACTGTTTCCGCAGAGAACAGGACTGTTCATGTTGCCCATTGCGACTTCTTGGACTATCCACATTCGGCGCCAGTATGGCCTTGTGAAGAAGTGAAATAGCGCTCTGTAAACGTCTTTCTTCATCGGACTTTTGTATCTGGGCCACATAATGACCAGAGGCCGCAAGTCAACCGAGAACACTTCGGAGTAGAAGTTATCCATTGGTTTGTCTAGCTCAGACTCACGGGCTAGCCAGTACAGCGCAGATATAGCGAGTGAGCTATCATGCTCTTCGGGGCCTAGCCATATGACTACCTGCCACGCTGACTGGTAAATATCACGCATTCGAGTGACCTGCTGACTGCGCTCGTCAAGGTCAGCCTGATTGATACAGATTGCATCGATCCAGACTTTGAACCCTTGTCGAATTCTCGCGCTTCGACTAAGTTGCATCAGAGCAAAGTACAAGTTTGGTCCAACTTCGAAAGCAACGCCGTCAACCGTGATGAGATACGCAGGCTCTCCTTCTTCTCTCTTTGGATATCCCCATACGTATGATAAAGCGACAAAATCGCCCCATTCGTATCGCCACGGTAGATCATTTTCAGCAGCGAGCACTTCTCTAGTCGTAGGGCGTGTGTTACCTTCGCTTGCATGCGGATCCTTCCCGTTTTTGAAGAGTGCATCGGTGTCGAGTGCCACAGAAAGCTCAGGCCAGGTTCGTCCGGCCCCCTTAGAATGCTGGGAGGACGATTTCGTTCCCGTGTGCGACAAAGTGACCTGTTCAAGTGAGCATATTATCGGATAGCGTTCCGCAGTGCTGGTTATGTCCTCAGCAGGCTCGATCTTCAGAACGCGGATCTCGTCACCGTGCAAGGGGAGATACAAGAAAGGCGATGCCATCCCGGATCATTGTAAGAGAAAACATGTGAAAACATGAACATCCATGTCTTGTTCCCCATGATGTTGTCCGCCTGTCAGGCCTCGGCGCTTAAAATGGAGTCGAGATAGCGAATCGGAAAGACGCCTTGGATCCCTGTCAGATTGTTGGTAGATCAGTCGATACGACACATCGCCATCTATCAATCCTGTCTGTATTCTATAGCTCGGAGAGTTGTGCCGATGGCAAAGATAATGGTTAAACGTCTTGTGAATTAACTCAACTATACACAACCCAGTGAAGTACGAAGCTAGGTAATGATGAAAATACTGCTTAAGATATAGAGCTCAAGTCGTGAAATTGACAACAGTAAACTATCCCGGCACCACCAAAAGAAGGAAATAAAAAAAAGAAAGGGGCATCTAATCAGAGGGGAATGAAGCAACACTTGATAGGTATGGGGCAGGGAATAATAAAGCAGAACCGCCCACGACACCAGCCGTCGCAGTCTTCACCGCCTCTTAGACTGAGCTCAGGTTCCAGGTTTCCTTGAGGCCGATGTGCATCTAAACATACGAATTATTAGCTCTTAGAACACTCTTAAACTTGGGATATCGCCAAAACATACCAGTCAGTTGGTCTGCTCGCGGTTGAACCATTTCCATGGACTCGGGAGTATATCCTTGGTGATTAATACCCGCAGGCTGAGCAATGGGCTGAGGTTCTGAGACTGAAGACATGTTGCCTGGAGATATAATAATGATATAAATGATGTTGAATGACACTGGAAGTAATGGGATACCAAGACTCTTGTTATGACAGAAAGAAGAATGTCCCGGCGCCTTGGCTTTGGGCCCACGACCCATTTTTACCAGCTGGCTGGGCCCATCGCTTATCTGCCCGAAAACTTGGAAGTGAGACTCATGGCGTCACCATATGATCGCTATAGCAGACTAACTTGACCTCATAAAACGCTTACACCCGCATCATATCCATCCACTAGAGCCCCCAAGCGCGTAACTAGTCGACTTTGCAGGGCACTAGAAGCGCCTGAGGTGCCCTAACCTTGATCTGCGTCGTCACCCAATCCTGCATCCTCTTAACCTGCGAGATCGCATACAGCACCGCCTGGAAGAACTCCTCATCCCAAATCGCTTGACTAACAGGGTTCAGCGCTTCTAGCCCAACGCGCAGATGAGCCAAGTACACCTGGAGACTTCGCAGCGCTTCTAAAACTTGTAGTTGACTTGGTGTATCATCGCTCTTTGGGAATAATGAGTCGCGCAGTGTGTGAGCAGCATGTCTACCACGAGCTTGGTTCTCACCAAACTTATCAACGTGCGGTTTGAGACGTTTGGTAGTGTCTTTGGTGATTTGGATGAGGATGCGAACGCCCGAGTGGGCTTCGGAATCGGCTACTAGATGGTCTAGTAATTGTTCTGTTATGTCGCGTAGGAGGAGAATTGATTCGTAGGTCTCGCCTAGCCAAGTCTCTAATTGACGCTCACGATTGCTGAGATCACTCTCTGTGACGTTCGAAGTCGCAGCATCGTTCTTTGATACTTTCGATAAGGCTTCGGATTGCCGCTCTTTTGCCGATGGGTGGTCGCCTGAGACTTTCGTGATGGAGATTGCACCAGATTTGAAGGTCGGTTGCTTAGATATGGGGTCCCATTCAGCTAGAATCGTCAGTAGAGACTTCATGATTCGGGAAAAAGGGACATACTGATCGTAAGCTCGTTTGCGGCTCGTGCTCTTCCATCCTTTGTGTCCCAATACCCGAAATGGAACGGGATGAATGCCTGGCCTTGTGAAATCTTGCCAACCTTTACCTTCATCTCAACTTCACCTCGTCTGGATTTGATTGCAACCATGTCTCCAGTCTTCACATCAAACTTTTCAGCATCCTTCTCAGATATGCGAATCTCAGGTTCAGGGCACGCTTTCTGAAGTGCAGTTCTTCCTGTCTTGGTTCTGGTATGAAAGTGATAAACATTCCGTCCTGTCGAAAGCCTCAAAGGATACTCTTCATCTGGATCTTCATATGGAGGCACGTAGTCGCACGACTTGAGGATTGCACGGCCAGCTGGTCTGAGTTCCTTGTAGTATTCCTCAGAGTATGGAACTCCAGTCTGTAGATCATGACCATAGCTCTCGCAGTAGTCTATATCCGTGAAGAAGACACCGTCGTCGAAGAGTCGCTCTTTGCCAGCTGGGTACTGATCATTGCAGGGCCACTGGATTCCGGAGCCGCCTGTAAGCTTCGCATAAGACATGCCAGTGTAATCACAAGGCCTGCCCGCAGACAGACGCTTCCATGCCTCAAAAACCTCTTCTGGCTGTGTCCACGGCGTGAGAGGGCCGTCTTCTTTGTTCTTAAAACCCATGCGACGGCTGTAGTCAAGAAAGATTTCAAGATCTGGCTTCGCCTCTCCAGGTGGTTCGACGGCTTTGTGAGATAGATGCACCGTTCGGTCAACATTCGTGAAGCATCCTGTCTTCTCTCCCCACTGGGCAGCTGGAAGAACAACATCGGCGATAGAAGCCGTCTCAGTCATGTAAATATACTGACAAATGGCAAACAGTTCCGGTCGGGTAAAGATGTCCCGGACTTTGGGGAGGTTGGGCAAGCTGACAAGGGGGTTCGTTCCAGAGACCCAAACCATCCGAATAGAGCCCTTTTCCATAAACGTCAACATGTTATGGATATGAGTAGGTTCATTCCAATGCGGCACCTGGATGTTATTGATATTCCAAAGGTCTGCCAGTTCTTGCATGTGCTTTGCGTTCTGGTGGTTTCGGAACCCAGGGAACTCGCCATCGCAACCAGTCTCGCGGTTATTCTGCGCAGTTGGCTGACCGTTCATCTGAAAGATACCACTTCCTGCTTTGCCTATTAAACCACGAAGAAGATGTATGTTGTTGATCTGGCAGGCACTTGCTGTAGCTTGGTTCGACTGATAGACACCCTGGAGAGCTGAAGAGAGAAGACTTGGTGTTTGACCGAGGATACTGGCGGCTTCTTCGATCTTGCTGGCTGGGACACCAGTGATTTCTGAAACTCTCTCGGAGTTGTAGCCTTCAACTGCGCTCTTGAGATCTTGAAGACCGACGACATGCTTTGAGACATAGTCTTCATTGATCCAGCCGTTCTTGAACATAAGATGCTGGATACCATTCAGCAGCGCGAGATTGGTACCAATCTTTGGGGCCAAGTGCAGTGTAGCTTTGGAAGCACTCTCGCTATATCTCGGATCCACCACGATCAGCTTTGGTGGAGTAGGACCCGCCAGTCGATCAAGGACTCTCGACCAAAGAACAGTTTGGGTAGCTGCCATGTTGTGCCCTACCATGAAGAGACAGTCAGTATAGTCGATATCAGTGTAAGAACCAGGCTGTCCATCAGACCCAAACGACTCCCTCATTGAAGCTGCCGCAGTGGCAGTACAGAGCCTAGTATTTCCGTCCCTGAGGGTCATCAGAATATGATCTCTTTAATAGTAGAGAAACTTACATATGAAGCGTGTTTAGTCCAGCTTTTCCAATCAAAGCAAGAACATAGTATTCTTCAAGGAATAGCTGGCCGCTGGTGTAGAAAGCGATGCTATGGGCTGTGAGCTTCTCAACGAGCAGTTTTGACTTTTCGACAATGAGATCCATGGCCTCATCCCAAGTTGCACGCTCAAGCTTGCCGTTTCGACGGATCATGGGATGAGTAAGACGCTCCTTGCTGTTAATAGCTTTCCAACTAAACATCAAAGATTAGTTATATGAATACAAGGTTCCCGCATGTTGACACTTACCCATTGAGTCCCTTCGGACCCAGTCTTCCTTTATTGACGCGGTCGGTAGCACGGCCTCTCACACCGACTACCTTGCCATCCTTGACACCAATGTCGAGCCCACAGCCATTACTAGTCATTTTATGTTAGAAAAGTTGTCAAACATATCTGTAGCTAGTTTCTTACCTGCACAGCACACATGCACTCTGCACCCATTTCTCCGGCTCCTCATCACAAGCATGATCAACCCTGGTAGGCCACTGATTAATATACGGTGTTCTCGGACCCCAAATATCTTCAAATGAGTCTCGCGAGCATAGCGCGGGAGCGTCTTTGCAAGGATCCATCTTGATGCCAAACTATAAGCTGCTCGCCCAAGTTGTTACAGGTAGATGAACCTCGAAATAAATCGTTAAAAGTCCCTGGGCGGTCACAAGGTACCCAGAATATTTGTTATGCGGCCTAAATGACTGGCTTTACCGACATATTGGTACCGAGGATAATTCGTCAACATGGCATCGACCTTTGTCATGTTAACAGGATGATGCTAGCCTGACGTTATTAGTGACGCAAATGACTGTTTGCGTGATAAATAGCAATTCCACCGACGAGTTACGCTAGCGTATTTAGTTCGAATATTCTGATCCGCATTGATACAATGCATCTCCGGCGCCCAGAAACCATGGAGATTCAGCACTACCAATCGAACCTGTCGGGGAGAAGCCCATCACTTCGACAACATCGACACTGACAATGGCCATAACATATGACTCCGCGCTCTCAAAGCTACAACAGGCTGCCATTAAGATCAAAGAAGGTCAAGATGAGTCGGACAGAATTGAGTTGGTCTCGCTGGACGAGGCAGTCGGTCGCGTTTCGGCATGCCATCACTTCAGCCCCATCTCGACACCAGAGTTCGACACATCTGCAATGGACGGCTACGCGATCTGCTCAGAGAGTACAAGGCTAGCTTCAGCAGAGCACCCGGTTTTCTTTTGCGTTATGGGGACAATCGCTGCCGGAGATGACTCTCTGACTCTGCCTTTGTGTCATAAGCGCGATGGAACCGAGCCTTGCTTCGAGATCATGACTGGGGGCCGATTTCCAGACGGCGGTGAACTTGGAGAGGTGTTCGATGCGTGTGTCAAAGTGGAAGACACTGTCAGGATTGCGGGAAAAGAGGCAGAGCTTAGGGCCTGCGTCGCCATCAGGAAGCCGATACCGAGGTACGCCAACCGTCGTTTCGCGGGTGAAGATATCCGGAAGGGAGACCTGGTGATGAAGGAAGGAGTCACTATCCAGACATCAAACATCATGCCCCTCGCTTCTGTCGGCATTGAGATGGTCAAAGTGAGGAAGAAGCCGCGGGTATATATATGGTCAACCGGCAATGAATTGACATCCCAAAATTTTCATATCAAAGACGTCAATGGAGTATACCTGACAGCGGCGTCGAAAGAGGCCGGAGCCGATGCAACCTTTGGCGGCTCAATTGCAGATATGGTAGAAGCCCTCGTTCGGACTATAAAAGACCGATTGGAATCATCGGCGGTGGATATCATGGTCACTAGTGGAGGTGTATCCGTTGGAAAGTTCGATCACGTCCGTCAGGCACTGGAAAGACTTGGTACAACCATCATCTTCCACGGCGTAGCTGTCCGTCCAGGCCATCCGGTTCTCTTCGCACTCCTTCCTTCTGCCTGGGGCGAGGTCGCGTTCTTTGGATTGCCAGGAAATCCTGGTGCTGCCGCAGCCTGTTTCAAATTCTTGACTATCCCGTATATGCGCTATCTCTTGGGCCTACAACCAGAGAAGCCTGTACTTGCACGCTTGGCGGACCTCCAACTAGATAGTTCATCACAAAAGAGCATTATGGATGCGCCGAACAGAGGACTCAGCTGCGACAGGTTTAGACCTGGAGTTCTGCAAATGAAAGATGGCGAGGGACTTACCGTTCACGAAGCTGCCGGGGTTTTTGGTCCAGCTAAGATAGCGCCTTTCGTGCAAGCAAATTGTTGGATTCACATCAAGGCAAACGAAATCATACAACCGGGAAAGAAGGTATATTGCTATCCCATAAGTAACGCTCTGGCATCATGAAATACATCACTTTACAGCACCTCCAACGGCTCTTCCATGAAATTGTCTATCGGCTCATTTCTCAGTGTTTTTAGCGCATCTTCCCATTCCGACTTGACATTTACGTTTCGTAGTAATGCCTCCGAGTCTTCAGGAAGATACGTGTAGCCGCCAAGTTCCCGAACAGTCTTGCTAGGACCGAGCTTTCCTGCTTTGCAGTTCTCCTTGAGATGGCTGATCGCCTCTGGACCCCAGATTCCCAGCAGAGGTTCACAGAAGCCTTCTTGGTTCTGAAAGCATGTAACGGGAGGTCTATAGCGTGATTGCAAATCTTGAAGTGCATCTGCCGTGATGGAAGGGTAGTCGCAGGCCACCACTAACCAAGTCGCCTCGGGGTCTGACTCGTAGGCAGCAATTAGGCCTGTTGCCGGGCCATTAGACTCATGTCCTTGGCTCGATTCCAGATCCAGAATAATCTCGATACTATTTTCTCCTGGGGTCGCTTCGTACGAAACCTTGCTAGCGTTCCGTAGAAGCTCATCCATTTCAGTTTTTTGAGCCAGAGACATGTAGACAGTCTCTGTCTCAGGGCATGCTTTGCGTAAAATCTCGATTTGGTGTTGATATAAAGGACGGCTATCAGGCATCGGAAGAAGATGTTTGGGCGACCCCATTCGAGTAGACTTCCCACCGGCTAAGATGAGTGGCTTCATAGCTGTAGATTTCATATTCAGTCTTAAAATTGAAGGAATACTCCAATTCAGTCAGGGCCGGGAATGTAGATATACGCAAATGATAACCGAGGGCCGATCTTTGAATGACAGACCCACCAAATGAAACTCGCATGACGTGATAATGAGAAGAAAAGTCATCAAAAGCCCACGAAATCAGATCATACAATGACTTTATATTAAGCAGGTTTTCTATTATTATCTAAGGGCAATCAGCTCTTGGAAGCAGTTTCTGTAGAACGGATTAATAACAACTTGAGAAGCTATTACTATAACTCCTTATAAGTAGATACAAGGGTAGATTAAAGAACTCCCAGATTCTGAGCATATTTTCTTCTAGAAAGGAGGAAACGCAGTCTATTAACTGAATGCAGCTCTCTGTCGCGTAGGTACTAATATTAATAGGTCGCCCGTGCGACATGCCTATTAAATAATAGTACTTGAAAGATAATTTAGCCACTAAACTTGGCTGTTTCACTTGTCTCTACTGGAAAGGCAGGCATGTTGCTTCTTAGCTTATTAATACTGGAAGTACGAAAACGCGTCAGGCAGGCACCGCAGAGGTTCCAGGCAAGTTGTCATAAAGGTAATTTAAATGAATGCAATATGGACCCGTCATTGGAGAATAATGTCAATATTTACCTACCATGTTTGAAATGCAATAAATATTTTCTTACCAGCAATTGCGTATAAAGAAAAAGGCAGCTTCAAGCCACAAATTGGTTATTGGCAATGCCAGTAGTCAGCAGATACCTTGGTTGCCTCCCTGTTTACTTTCTGAGCGGCCTGCAGGCATAGCCACGCCACAAAACTAGGCCTCCTACATATATCACACTGGCTTGCAGGAATGGTGATGGACTTAATAACATTGTCTCACTGCAGCCTCCGTGGTATTTCCATTGGCCATTATTTGGGCTTCTCCAATCAACGGCATCGCTTATGATGGGGGCCATCCTACACCAAAGTCTCCTTCTACCAAGAGTTTCGGGCGTGGCCCAGCGATGACGACCCCAGTCGATAATCCAGCTTGCAATCGATTTAGCGGAGCAAAAGCACCGATTGGGTAGGCATATATAACTAAAAGTTATAATCACCTATCCATCGCCCATGACGCCGCTTCCAATGTATGTGATGCCTGTCTTGCCGTTGCGGCTGAAGGCTAGAACATTCACCGCTAGATCGGCCACACTAGCGCCTATACTAGCTTGCTATTTCAGCCAGCCATAAATTGATTGATCTGAAACAATCAACGTTCTCGCCCCTCGGTGAGACAGATCAGCCAGCCATAACCTATCTATCATTTCCCCTTCAAGGCCATGTAGCTAGTTTTTAGCATGTTGGGCCGTGATGAACGCAACACCGCGTCAGGTATCTCTGCAGGAGGCGTTGTCTAGATCCTCGCACATAACGTCTTGTGCAGTATTCAGCAGCTCGGACTCTGATAGCCGAGCAAGACGCGGTCGATGTCTGCTGGAAATCAGAACACCCGGGTTAAACCTCCCGCGTTCACACCATGATGGACGACGCATACAGGCATGAACATTAACAGCCTTGATGAAGTGTATAAAGTCATACAGCTCCGCCATCCAAAAGTCCTACTGCTTCTCACCAGGCGCAACTGATCACTTCATCCTTCCACATCAAGTTTACGAATAGCGAATACCTTGTCAGCGATAGCTCGATCATAGCACAAAATGAGCACAGAAACTCCTCCGCCGCCCTATGAGTCCATCGTGCAAGGCCTGATTTCGAAAACAGACGGCAAACAATTGACTGCTGACCAGCTCAACACCTATGCAGCATCACTGACCCCCGCTGAAAAGGCGACCATTGCAAATGGGCCCCTTCCGGATCCAAAGAACCTTACTCCTGAAGATGTCGCCAAATTTCACGAGAAGGTCCAGAAGGACTTGACTGATCCTGCAACCCTTGAGCTCTTCAAGACTGCAGCGCGGGACGCCGTCACAGCATACAAAGAACTTGATCAGAAGTTTGCGTCAATCTACACTCAACTTGCCAAGATCGATAGCGACAACAACTTGACCAGTACTGACCAGTTCCTTCCGAGATTCGCAGATATACAGAACTCGTGGCGTCAAGTGCTCAAGGACAGTCGCACCTTGGCTGCAGATGTTTCAGTATATGCAAAGAGCTTTGATACTACCATTATCCCGGTCGTTGCCGACCCGACCCTAGATGTCAAATCAAAGCTAGCCATCATGGATGCTGCCAAGCAGGTTAGCGTATATACCTAACTAAGTGTCAAGAGCGGAGAACTGACAGGGTGCATCAGAACACAGAAGGATATCATGGCCGGGCGGATGACATCAAGACCCGTCTAGAGAAAGTTGTTGACGATTTTCTGAAATTCACCGGCGAATTTGGCAAGTGGGGCCAAAAGACTGAGGGGGATATCAACAAACAGATCGAGACCGCCAAAGAAGAGCAGCAAAGGCTCTTGGATCACCTGAAGAGTCTCAACGGTCGATTTATCGGCTTTGGTATTGGTGCTGGCCTTGGCATGCTCTCGATCGTTGGCGGTTTCTTTGCCGGACCTGCGGCACCTATTTTCTGGGTAAGAATCTGTCCTCAACTATAACTTGATTGCGCTGACACCTAATATCAGGTTGCTGGCGCCTTGTTGACAATTGGTTTTGGGATTGGCTTGATTGCCACCGGGATCGACTATTCTAGTAAGTATCAGTCAGACGGGGCCTATTTGGTAGTGTTGTTTGGGTCGTGTTAACCGTCGATGCATCACAGACACCAATGACGCTTTGACTGCAAAGAAGAACGAGATTGACAGCCTGAATGCAAAAGTCAGCTCTATCCAATCAGCCCGTACGACTCTTCAGACTACCCTCAACGATGACGTCGCATACATTAAAGACCACATGAGCGCAATTACAGGTGTTTGGGGTGCTTTGCTGGATGACACTGAGCAAATTAGGAAATGGATTGAGTCGGGAGAGTCAATTGAGAATATCGTGAGTTTTATTAATGGCATACCTACACGCGTATGCGATTATGAGACTTAAGCTAACCTACTACAGGATACACTCCCTCCTGCTATAAAAATCAACCTCGTTGGCAATCAATTGTCTTCCGCTGTCGCTCTGTGTAAGTCTCTATCCTACATTAGTAGAGAGATCTATTTATTATTCGAGATATTTGAGTACTTGGCTAATCAGTTTGATAGATACCAAGATTGGCGAATACCTTTCGGAATACTCCAGTGGCATGATTGCCGCTAAGATTCCCGAACCGAAGAAATAAATTAGGATAAAGCCGGAATATATCCTTTATTATCTAGTATTCTGCTTGACTAAATACTTTATATATAAAAGGTTTCCTTTAGAATAGCTAAATAAGGAACGGGATTAAATATCTAACTAAATGACTAGCCAGATCTCTGCGGGTGATTAGCATATAATAAGTAGTTCAAACATCATGATCCACATCGAGACAATACATCTCTGGCGCGCAGAACGCATGAATAGCTAATGAAGAACAAACACCCTGGACCCGGATCTCGGAAGACCTCGTTTCCAGGGAACATATTCATCAATGTAGTATTGCCCTACAAGTAAACAATGCTGAACCGGAAAAGATTGTTTAGCTTTCTCCCAAACTAACATCCATTCATCATAGTCATCATCATCCACGGCTCTAAACCGTGCCCTCATTGGTCCTTGGGGACAATCCGAAATGTTCGCTTGCTCAAAGGCGCTAGTAATAGAGTTACTGAGGTGGTCAACATCATTCACTTGTTTGGGTCGGAGTACTGCGTGCTTGTAGCAGTTAACAAGCATAGTCACAATGTCACCTTCCTGGGATTCCTTTGCGACGAGGGCACATTGGCGGCTTGAGATGATGGACAATCGCTTGCCGGATAACGGACTTGTCTCGGGATCCTGGAGGTGATGAGTGAGAGCATTGGTGATACGTTGGACATCGCGTCGTTCAGCCATAGGATACTCTTGATGATTGGCCGCATCAACCCAGGTCTTGAAGAACTTTCTGAATAGCCTCTGCCTCTGTTCTTCATATTTGATCCCTGTTCTCTTGCATGAGTCTAAGATTGCTGCTTCATCTTTGGTTAGGGATCTGTGATGGAAAACGGGTTAGTCCACAAACATCAACTATTCCCCGGATAGAGCTGTGTTTACCTTATGTCTTGAAGCAACTCGAGGGTCATAGCCTTGGACTCGTCTTTGAGCTCCAATCTCATCATCACAGCTTGAAAATGTATGACTTGTCGCCTTTATCCTGGTCACCTCAAATTCGCTGATGGCTAGGACTGGTGGTTCGGATAGCAACATGTGATGAGTGCCTCCAAAGGAAAGATATAAGCTATCATCACCAATACCGAATCTATTGCCCACTTTGTGTATAGTCTCCCATGGAACTTGTGGCCTAGACCAACGAGGACACCAAGACGGGATTCCGGGAGCGTTAATGGGAGAAGGGTTCATGGCATGCAAGAGGAGACTCTCAATGCCTGTATCATCCAAGAAATACCGAGCAGCATCAACCGACACGCGTGCAAGGTCTCTATCGTAGTCGACCTTGATAAACCTATCGCACCTATCTCGATCCGAAACAACACCCAAGTGACCAAATACTATATCTCGAGGATCGGTGACTCCAACTCCTCTCCGACAGGAAAGAAGCGTAGATAATGGTGCCTTGAAACCATCGTATCGTCTGCTGTTCATGTTTTCCAACGCAGTGGCGTCTCGAGGCTGGCTCTGTTGAGTGATACTATCAGAGAGTGTGTCAAGTAGCATAGCCGCGACGACACTCTTGGTGTCGACAGCCTCGCAGAAATGATGCCACCGGATTCGCAGGTCATCGCACTGAACCCAGACATCCGTGGAGAGCACGAGCTCCTGGAAAACCCAGACTCTGCGGAACCATGGCTTCAATACTAGGTTGCGTCGCATTTCGTCGATCTCATCGGCTGTCAATGAAAGCTGCCCAAGACCTGAAGTATTACCATGAATCGTGGCCTGACTTTGAGCCCTCAGATCCATGAACAATTTCTTCAATCCTGGGGGCGACTTGCCGAGATGAATTACAGTATGATGCGCAGTAGAATAAATCCTACCCATTAGCGCAACCTGCACTCCCTTTTCGGAATTATTTGATTGATCGATGCACAATGCATCAGCCCATATCCGACAAACTCGGCTCTTGTCGCGCAAGTCTCGGAGAGCAGCGTCCAGGCTGGCAGTGATTTCCTTGGCGCTATCACCTAGGTGTATCACGCCCCTCTGGCTTGCATCGCCCCAGACGTAGGATAGAGCGGTGTATGGTTCGATCAGTTCATAGTCGCAATCTGACTGTAGCGTGATGTAATGAGCTCTTGAGATCTGCGCTGTGGTTGGGACTAGGCTCTAGATGAAGGAGGCGGAAAGAATCTAGATGGTCAAGAGGTCTGTACTGAAACACATTGGAAGACATCGTAGAAAGATTACAGGCGTAGTCGAGCAGCCCCGCCAGGGTGATAAGTAAGGTCGAATCGCACTGTTGCGGAGTCGTAAAAGCTGCAGATGCTGATGCTGTCAGCTTCTTTCAGCCTAACGAGTCGGTGCCTAATCAGCGAGCCATGTCCGAGTCTCATCTTGACTCGATGTATAATTGAACGTCAGCCGTCAAGACACGGATCCATTATTCTGCCAAACTATCAATTACCCCTTGAAGCCTTTTATTCAGGTATAAATCTGTCCATAGTCAAGCATTGTCATTTGTCTCATTTGGACGGACTCATTAACTAACGTAGACAGGAGATCCGTTTGGACAAGGTATTGCTTCGGATAAATAACTTTCCTAAATATGTCGACCTCACATCATGATATATGGCATGGCCCAATCTTGATTTCGAGTTCCCCATACTTATCTAGCAGACGACCCCGAGTTCCCATCCACACATCGCACCTAGGCAACGCCCTGTCAAGAGGTGAAAGTACCCTTAGGAGCCCAGCCAGACATGAACGATGTAGGTAACCCCTTTCGCCACCATAACGCTTCAACAAATTTTCGCGCACAAATTTCCCTCTTTCTCGGTGATCCATCTGCTTGAGCTGCCTCACTATCGTCGAATTGTCCTCATCCAATTCACGTCGTATCTCAACTGCCGCAGGCTGGTCAAAAAATTTCCCTCTTTCGTTTATAACGTAAGCTCGTCCTTCGCCAAGTATAACTGCCCAGAATTCTTGACTGTTCAAGCTTGCATTTCCATAGTATACTCTATCGGAACGATCATGTGTTGACCATTGTAGTCCGGTCACAAGAACAAGTGAAACGACGTGCTGAGGGTTTATTTGTAGCTCAAAATCAGTGACCCAAGTAAGTGTCCCGTCTTCGTGGAAGGCAGAACTTGGATGACATTCAAATGAAGGTATAAATTCCCGAGTGCTCCGGCCATTGACCGATTTGAGAACCTTCAATACGTCTTCATGCCAATGGATCTTGAATACAGGCTTTTGGAAATGACCCATTAAGAAGGTTTCCTTGATAGAAATAGATTTTCTGATGGAGATAGCTTTTTGCTCCAAGCTTTCCAGCGCCTCTTCATTCTTCCAATCAAGATAGGCAGAGGAGTAATCATTATCGAGGTCAACATCGTAAACTGAGGTTCTTCTCGGCCGCAACGTAATTAGTTCAGAGGGCTTGAATCGAAAGTAAGTATTACTCCGGCCAGACCTCATCAAACGGATTCCCAGAGAATTGATTTTATCATCAGGGTCCCTTACACCCAGATCGAGTATACAATGCACACCTTGCTCAATGCCTGGTGGGTGATCTTGCTGTCTGAGGATTCGGCCGTCCATATTAACATTTTTGCTGGTGACTTCCATACCAGATTCGAAACCCTTAAGCCTTATTTTAATGTTCAGCCAGGAAGCGAACTCGGCCGGGGAATTGGCAAAGCATCCTCGAAGGACACCTATACCATACGAAGAGGAGTCTTGTTTCCAAGCGAAAAGGCTGAGATCATCATAGTTCTTTACAATTTCTTCCTGGAGCCGAAAGAAAGACTTTGAACCTTCTCCGTAGAGCAGAGGCATATTGACATCGAAAATCCCTAGAAGACAATAGGCAATATCTTCAACCCGGGTCGTTTCCCTGCGCGCTGCCCAGGACATTCTTTGTGCAACCGGGATGGTAGCGATATGTCTCTTGTGTTCCAGTACTGAAATCGGGATGCCTGTTAACCTTTCCAGGATCTTGATGAATCGCGGGTCTGATCCTGGAGCCCTTGATCCGATGAGATTCCAGTTTTGGTCCAGAAATACAACTTGACTAGGTGCAATCAGCTCTTGAAGAGTCCAGCCTCTCGTAAACCATCGACAGGCCTTCATTTCATCCTGGAGTCTAGAAAAAGCTGCATCGGCCCATTGCCTGCCTTCATCCGAGTCGGGCATGATAGTGTCAACCGGCGTGCAAGGGAACACCAGGTCGGAGAGGTAAACGTAGCATACTGAAGACTGCTGATACCACGCAAACATGGAGTTGATAGCCTCGCTAAGCTCAGCGCTGCTTCTTTTATCAATGCAGCACGTATCAATCCAGGTGTGAGAGATGTTGGCTTGCCTGGATGCCTCGCAGGTCATTTGTATCTTTTTCCAGCCGGCCTTGCTTCGTGCGTGAGGGAGGCTGTCCATGTCTTGAAAAAGGACTTCGTCTCCTTCCCATGTGTGAGATAGAATGGAGTAGGTCCATGGCGGATTAATGAAGTTCTCTAGTTCGTAGGTTCTGGTATTGATGAGCCACATGGTTCTCAGGTTGTTAAGAACTAGAAGGATATTGCCTCAATATGATATGCACAACGAGCGGGGTGGAAATTGCACAACTGTTACAAAAACAAGATTGAGGCGCGATTTACTAGAGAAATAAAAGTAGAAGCTCTTTATTATTACAGAAGCAGATTCGGGCGGGGGTTTTAGTACTATTCTTACTCTTTCAGCTGCCATACCCTGGTAGACCTTTTAGCCGCCCTCCACAGAGATCTTGACCAATAAGTATCTACCAAGAAGCGCTGACCCCCCACTTTAACTAGAATGCCTCATTTAACCAAGTATCCCAGCCTGTTCCGCCTGATCACGGCGAGTCACGGGGATGTTCCCAATGTTGGCGTGAAACATCGAATCGGAGGTCAGCCTTGACTGCACTAAGGTAGCCAAAGTCGCACTATCAGTACATTTACAATGCACATTTACAGACGTAAGCGAAACGAGCCGTGGGCTTTTCAATCGTCTCAGGCAGCTAAGCCTCTTGGGCTAACTGCGAGGCCGAATGAAGAATTTTCACTCATCACGCCCACCAAGCCAGAACTGCTTCACCTTTAAGCTACTCTACTCGTATTAATCTTTATGTCGTTTATCTGCACTCAATTCCTAGAACACCGGCAATTTCGTTCACATAATCCTCTGCACCTGCCATAGACTAAGCGCAATTCCATCCATCGCCGTCAGGCTCACGAAGTTTAACAGTTTGGACAGACAAGAGCAAAACCGAAATTTTGAGAAGTGCTAGGGACGCATGGGCATGAGTCCGCTGAGTACACCTGTTTGCATAGACAGGCCATACGATCTGGCTGCCCAGTAAAATCGTCCCGTGATACTGTACGTTAGGTTCAACATTCTCCCCCTTGTTGCAGCATTAGGAGGTGTCTGACGAATGCTCTCCGTCTTGTAGCAATATTGCCTTAGGTTCCCATGGATATGATCACGATTTTGAATCCCAGCTGTTGAGTTGCAACTGTAATTGTAATTGTAATTCTATTGCTATGCTGCTTATCTAAGCGCATCTCGCATCACGATATGCTTGCTGACCTATCACAGTACTAGCTGTTGAGTTGCTTCCCCAACTTTCCCTAAAACCTTTTAGCGGATATCTACGAATCAAGCACCTGGGGACGAGGGATGGTTATTCTCCCGAATTCCACCGACGAGAATGTCAGTACAGTAGCTCCAGGACCATTTTTAACTGGATGAAGTATTGGGGCTGACGGATATGTCGATCGTTATTCTAGCCGTGGCTTTTCTTGCTGATTATCCACGAGTCTAAGTAGCAAGCCGCAGGCAGAATGGGCACAAGGACGAGATCGCTCCGGCACAAGTTAACTTCCTTCCCATTCTCTGCTGATGTTCATCCATAGAACGGCCAGTAGCAGGAAGCCAACAAAGGATTTCTATTGTCGTGGCGATCAGCTTCCAGGAATGCGTATCAGAGGAGACGGGCGAGTTCTGGTCCATCGGGCGACGACAAGATCGTCTCGCCAAGTTCGAACAATGGGTGTTCCTTTAACTTGCTGCTACCTCTCATGGTGGCCAACCATCTGGAAGAATGCGCCGCGCGAACACGCCCAGCGGCATGCTTCTATGTATTCGAGCGCCAATGCGGTCACTGACCTTGGCACGACACGCATCATCCATCAAGACTGGCCAATTTCATTGCTCTCGCGAAGATCTGCGAGGGTTTATTGCAGCTTATGCGAAGTACAGCTAAATCTTGCGGAGAATGTTCCCGAATAGCAAGATGGCCCGCATCGACAAAATGCAAACCCTTACGGGGAGAAGTCGAAAAGAAAGACAGCCCATGGACGAGTCAGAGTTGAAGGAGAGTGCTGAGCTGCTCCAGATCCTCGCCGAGCTTGAGAATAGACTACAGGATTCTCAGCAGAACCTCAAACATCATTGGGATTTCCGAGGTCATCCTTCGTCACCTGGAAAACCTCTGTCGAGCGATGGGGGCAAAAGCAAATCCTCAAATGTGGGCGACCACCCTAAATCTCAAACGGAAGAAGCAGACGGGTCACCATCTCGCCCACCAGCAAATAGATTATCTGGTGCTGGCATAGTGTCAGTAGTATTTAGGGATGTATGAGTCGGAGAGAGAAGACAATTAGGGCGAGAAGAATTGAGGCTTGGGGAGAGCGAGGAACACTACCTGGCATGAAAAGTGCGTCATAGAACTTTCTAGTGGCTGCTTTGCTCCATCGCTGCAACTTATAAAGCTGCTACAGGCCGAGCGTCTCTATGTAAAATGATAATTTCCTGGGCCGTTTTGTAGACTTGTTCCTCCACTGAATGAGACCAGGAAGTGCGATATGTTATAGGTTTGTTTCATCGCAAATAATAAGGATAGAGGCGCTATATATATTAAATGTATATATAGAGTAGATTATATGGCCTCTTATCTTTGTTATCACTATTGTGATCTCGCAAGTTTGAACGTTTAACACCATATAGAGAACAGTTTCCACGAGCTAACTTTCCCAGGGTCCGTTGCAAGTACACAAATGCATAATCCAATTTCCGTTGATACGAGCCCTGACTCACGATCCTGGTGACGGAAATGAAAATCCGGCCTCGAGCTCCGTATTTCTAAGTTCTGTCGTTTGATGTTTTCTCCCCCGCGAGGGTAAATGATCAGGTTAAACTTTAGTGACTGGGTCCATCCTGATCCATCTTCAGGAAAGGCGGTAAGCTCAACAGTATTTATATAGCTCAGGGTCGCCAATCGTAGGAACAAGTCTCAACGCAAAAGAAATCATCCCTTATAGTTCACCAGTCCTTGACACTTGAACTCAGTCACCTCACCATGCGGCCATCCGGTATCTTCATCATGGCGACAGCCTTTATTTCCGTCTCTGCTCAGACTTGCACACCAGCATCTGCCATTTGCGTCAGTACACACAGCATTTTCATCTAAAGATTCACTAGCTTATAGGATATACAAGTCTCCTTATTCAATCTGTTCCAGTATGGGTCCTTCTGGTCAAGTGTGCGGTACACAGGCAACAGCTTCTGATTGTACATGGGTTAATCAGGGCTCTGATTCCGGAACTGTTACTGTAAGTCTGATATGTTTTAAGCGTCAGGCATAAGCTAACATCCTAGTAGTGCCAATGTTGCAAATAGGAGATACAACATATACATATTAGTTAGACTAATAACTACTTAATGCAAGCTGCCCATTAATACACCTTGAACACTAACTGACAGATATTATTAATCTCTGCCTTTTTTGTTCTATCATGATATAGAAAGAAAAGGTAGTGCAGAGTAAATCTCCTACCTAGTAGCTATCTTAAGTTTCAATGTGATTAGAGGGTGTAATGCGGCCAGCTGGCGAGCGTGTAATGGGAGGGCGCATACCGAGTGGACGTAAACCCTACAGAGCCAAACTTTCACCAAAGCACTATTTATCAAAATACGTAGAAGCGCTCTGTATAAATTTTGGCTTACTGCAAGGCCACGTCTACCGTTAAATCATCCACAATGGTTCTCCAAGACTTAACACGGGCAGAGGTCTCCCGCCATACACACAGCAACGATGCCTGGACAATTATCAATGGCGATGTCTGGGACGTTACCGGCTTCGCTGAGACGCACCCTGGAGGTGAAGGTGTCATTGAGGAGCACTACGGAAAAGATGCTTCCGAAGTCTACAACTCCGTCCACGGCCCAAAGCTGGCAATGAGCTCCTTTGGGGCCACCAAACTGATGGGAAGAGTCCCAGAACTGGTGTCAGCTCAGGATCAGGCGTCCTTGAGAAATCCCAAGCTCGTTAAAGATCTCCCGCCGCTTGAATCCATCATCAACCTAGAAGACTTGGAAGATGCTGCAAGATCTTGCCTGAACGAACGATCCTGGGTGTACATCTCCGGTGCTTCTAACGACTGCTACACAGCGTCTAAGAACGCTGAGATATATCAGTCCGTCTTTCTGCGACCTCGGGTCTGTAGACCTGTCAGTCAGGTCGACACGAGCACAACAATACTGGGTCACCGCTTTGACGTCCCCATATTCAACGCTCCAGCGTCATTGGCTATGCTGACGCACCCGTCCGCCGAGATTGGGCTGGCAAAAGGATTATCAGCGTCTGGAAGCACTATTTCAATGCCTACCCTTGCCTCTTATTCGCTAGGCGAGGTTGTCGATGCTCTACCCCAGAACCATCCCTTCTTTTTCCAACTGTACATTCCCCGAGATTCTTCAGCATTGACTAAGCTCTTGGGTGAGATTAGTCGTGCTTCGCCAAAGGCTGTCATCATCACTGTGGATCTGCCGGTCTTTAGTAAACGAGAGGCCAACGAGCGCTATGAGATGAGGATGGTGAAAGAAAAGGGCGAGCCGAAGGTCACGAAGCAGAACAAGCAATCTCGCGCAGCAAGCGCAGCAATCAGCCCAGACGTTACGTGGACTCAGATCCAAACCATCAAGAGAAAGTTGGGGATACCCATCTTTGTCAAGGGGATACAGTGTGCCGAAGACGCTATGAAAGCCTTCGAAAGCGGCTGCGAAGGAATCTACATATCGAATCACGGCGGGCGCGGCATCGATACATCGCAGCCAGCGCTTCTTACTCTGGCAGAGATCAACATCAAGTGTCCACAGCTCTTATCTCAGATGACTATTTTCATTGATGGGGGAATCCGCCGAGGCACAGATGTCTTCAAAGCTATCTGTCTCGGTGCTTGTGGAGTCTGTCTTGGCCGACCTTTCTTCTATGCTCTTATGTACGGTGAAGATGGTGTGCATCATCTGATGAACAGTGAGTAAGAAGAATGAAGTCGTGAATGGCTGAGCTAACAAATTTTCAACAGTCTTACGAGATGAGTTGGAAAATGTCATGCAGCTTTGTGGAATCCAGCGCTTAAGTGAGGCTCATCCGGGATTGTTGAATACCAAGGCTCTCGTGAACATGATTGATACTGGCGAGATGCTTAGGATGAGGAGCAAATTGTAACTAGTAACATTTAATGTATACATCAGCGGTCAGGTCTATCAACTCAGTAAAACACTCTCAGAATTGATATTTGCCCCAAGTAAGCTAACAGTACCATTGTATAAAATAATGGTCAGATAACACGAAGGTGCAACTACCGAACTACAAGCCTCATATGTAGCCAAAGAGAAGTACAATGTAAGACGGTCGCCATTCTCAAATAAAAAAAACCATTTCAGCCCTTGGTAGTTTTTCCCAGCGCACTCTCGAAAAAGGCAGTTTCATACTCCAGAGCCTTACGGAAGAGCCCATTGGCAACAGCAAATGTCTCAGTGTTGTTGTTTGCGACCAGCACTTCCTGTAACTCAACTACTCACAGTCAGTTGGATAATCACCAGGACGGGTAACTCGTACTCACCGGATAGCTTAGTTCCATAGCTCCATTCAAGGTTCGGAGTAAGCCACTCGTCGACGAATTTTGTCCCTATACAACATCAGCTCATGTCTTCCCGAATGACAGCTTCTGTGCGTACCTCTCACTGTGGTAGACGACTGATTTAGCTGATACGCAATCTCAGCCCATCCCTGAATGCATTAGTATAAGTTCACACCGTTGATAAAGACTACTCACATAGATACAGGGGAGTCTAGATATACTCCAAAGATACCAGCCGAGATTCGTATTACCTCCCAGCCAATCGACATATTCTCGTAGAACGGGCTCGAGCTTCGCGTTCTTGACGACGCTGCTACTCACGTTGAGATGATCAGGACTCGTAAGGTCATGACAAAAGCTGGCCGCGTATTCGAGGTCCCCAGTCATATCCAGAACTGTTTCATTAATAGCGGATGTCTGCTCAGCGGCAGATTCGTTCTTATCCAAGGACTTTAGCAGATACGCCTTGTGAGGGACGGTCAAGGTGAGATAGTAATAATCTTGCTGCAACAAATTCAGTAAAAGCAGTTCAATCTGAGTCGTAAATACGAACCACGAAATAGTACTGCAGTGACTCTAGAGTGCCTTGGGAGGTTTGTGCCGCTTGGGCAGCAGTGAATGCATTGTTGAGAAACTTGGTCACAAGATCACAGTTCTGTTCCCAGAGCTGGTCGACGAGAGTTCTGGTAGGCAAGTAAGTATTCTGAATAGCCAACTGAAGTAAATTAATGAGTACAACGGACCCATTCTGGACTGTAGGGTTATGGCGAGGACACTTGACAGGAGGAATGGTCGGCTCAGGGGTGGCTGGGGCATGTGGCAGTGCTGCAGCCGAAATCGCCAGAGCGGGGAGGAGGATCAGCATCCGAGACAAGCTGAGCGACATCATGATCAACGAGTCAATAGACACAGATAAAATAAATGAGTTTCTTCACGGGTAATAAAATAAAAATGAACCATAATGACACTGGAGAGTCGTTAAATATATAGGTAGATGATAGGGATTCCCTTCTTGGTTCGCGGAAATTACAGCTCCATTCGTGATATTACCATGTCTCAATAAACCTGCAGGTGTGTTACACAGCATTTCAGCTCCAGACTACCATGTGCTCAGCCGCAAAAGGCTTTTTTTTCCTTAATCCTAGACCCAACTATCCTGTCAATTATCAATTTTTATTATTCCTCTATTTTCTTGTTCTAGTATTCAATGTAGCCGATCTGCATACCGTAAGCTCACATGAAAGGGGTTGTGAATGATCATTGACGGCTCAAGACAAAAGTGATGTGAATGTGATTGTGACTGTGAATGAGCATTCAGTTCAATAATTCCGTATTTGGCAGGTCGATCTTCAAGTTAGTCAACACCAAGACCCTGCCGTCCTTGGCAGGGTCATGGCCCCCAACTTTTAACAAATAAATCGACATTCATCAGCTCATCGAGAACAGCTGAACTATTCTATTCGTTCACATGCAGAATCTATCCCAGCTAGGGGGTGAGGAAATACAGCGGACGGGCTTTGGTGGGAGATCAGCGATTTTTGGTGTAAGCCGTTCCGCTGTTTTTCCTCACCCCGAGGGCCCAGTCAGCACAACTAAGCTGGAAACCTTGCAAAGCTGACTCAGTCCGATCAGATGAGGTATCAAATCGGTCAGATGCTCGGAGTAATATCTACCTTGCGAGCACATGTGCTATTTCCAGTTGGGACTTGTGGCTGAGGGGAACTTAGCTTTGTCTTCGCGGAATAGTATCTTGTTGTTCATTTATCAAGTCACTTATCAAGGTACCATGAGTACTCTCTGCGGGATATAACGAGCGGGTGACATGAAAATGGTATTCTCGACCTTTAACGCTGGCCTAGTCATACCAAGCAGAGTTGGCAAATATAGCCCTCCCCGCCGACTACAGCAATCATCGACTAAGGCATAAGAACAATAAAGAACAGTAGATAAGAGCACAGAAGGATATCGAATATTTGCAACAGCAGCTAAAATATTACGGTAAATCGCTTAAGCAAATAATTACAGTTCCAATATCCGTAGTCCAATTCACGGATTCACGACGGTCAATCCTAGAAGCTGTTAGCATCAGGCGTCTAACGTATATCGCGTTGATGTTCACACCATGAGCTCATATCTTTAGAGCCCTTCCAACTTACCTGATAGGTTGTTGCCCAATTACTTTGTAATATCTCTTCTTCTCCTTGTTCTTGTCGTGTTGCTTTCGGCTCTCCCGTCCGAGCGCTTGCTACGAACATTGGAAAGCAGTTGGGGATAATTTTAGAAATAGGCCAATCGCTGTCAATTGGAGGTTTGTTGTGATCAAACATAACAAGCCTTATATAGTAACGTGGCGAGTCAGTCCTTCCTTCCGTTCACTATTGGCATCTTAAATAATCCTGAATAGATTGCTTTGGGAAGATACTACTGCGCCTGGCCTGTTTGGGATAACTGTAACTTGCCTTTGCAAAACGGTCTCTAAATGAGCCCTATGCATATAGATACGTCGAGAAGAGACTCACTCTAAAGGATATAGGTGCATCCGCTAGAAAGCGACTGCGATAGCACCAAGAATAAGGCTGGTAGGCTTCCTTGCCTCTAAGCTTGCTTCTTCGAGACCTTGGGCATTGCGAGGGATATGAAAGCTCTGAGAGGCGCTCATTCCTATAACACGAGTCAGTTGTCCAACGGGCGAAAGCCCAGAGACAGTATTCAGACCCATAGTTAACAGTGCAAGAAGCTTCCACTACGTTCCGACTGCTCCTCCGCTATGAGCAAATGTGACGTAATGCCCTATATAATCATTCTCCTATGATGTCCATCGAGATATTTTCTCAGTTAGGTCATCACCTTTCACTAGGTAATCGTCTAGATTTCTCAAAGTTCGGACAAAATGGCATCGATTTTCCCCCGAAGTATCTGGAACATCATCGCCCTCCCGACGAGGGCCAATTGGGCTCTCGCTACCATGAGGCCTCTAGCCCAGCCCATGGCACGCAAATTCCTTGCGACGATGACTCGAGAACAGCCTCGTTTTCGACTAGGATCAACCGGTACTGTAGACGCTCCGCAACCGTAATAATCATGCACTGACTACATGATAGCTCCCAACTTTAAGGCTGTTACTACTCATGGTGAGATTGACTTTCACAAGTTCATCGACAACAGCTGGACAATTCTGTTCTCTCACCCCGCGGACTTCACTCCAGTCTGCACCACTGACCTCGGTGCCTTTGGGAAGCTGAAGCAGGAATTTGACAAGAGGGGAGTCAAGATGATTGGCCTGGTAAGTGATTACAACTTACCTGTCGGGAAGATTACTAACGCCTATTGTTCAGAGCGCCAATGACCTCACCTCTCACGACAAGTGGGTAGACGACATCAACGAGGTCTCAAACACAAACCTCCAATTCCCCATTATCGCCGACGCAGACCGCAAAGTCGCCTTCCTCTACGACATGATCAGCCAAGAAGACCTCGACAACATAGCCGAGAAGGGTATTGCTTTCACCATTCGATCAGTCTTTGTCATCGATCCTTCCAAGAAGATTCGGCTTACGATGATGTATCCTGCTTCAACTGGTCGTAACTCCGCTGAGGTTCTGCGTGTGATTGATTGCCTTCAGACTGGCGATAAGAAGGGTGTTGTTACACCGATTGATCGGTAGGTTGGTTATGACGTTATCGTTCCACCTTCTGTTTCGACGGAGGATGCGAAGAAGAAGTTTGGTGATGTTAGGAAGTTTAACCCTTACTTGAGATTCACCAAGGCTTAGGAATTTACGTAGCTCGATAGTGTATTCATAATTAATGAACAGAGTCATAAAATTTATGAAAATAACGTCGTTGTTTTGAAAACACAAAATGCAGTGTCAACAATGATCGTGTAACATCTACCCCGACGCAAACAATTTCAATAACGGTTTCATCTCGTTACACATGATTCATGGCTGTAATGATCTACGTTGAACAAAGTCTCCTTGGCTTTGTCTCACCTGGTGGCCGGCCTCGTCTTCAGTGCGGGGATATGTCCCAGTAAATGTCCATTGCGTCATGGACCTAGATACGCGGACATAAAGTTCAATTCTTGTCTCTTAGATTAGATTGAATATTTCATGTGAGAATTGGCCTATTTGTACAAAGTTCTTGGCTATTTTTGCCATTACCTAGCTATGAAGGATCAGGCTGATGGCCTCATTTACCAGACTCAGCGGCGCGTTACACGCTCCATGGTCAAAAACGATGTGAGTGACACAAAAGCCATCAAAGTTGAGAAACGCAAAACAGTGCCACGAAAAGTACCCACAGGAGTCGTACTCTCGGCATCTCGAATCCCTCCGATCTCCAAGCACCGCTTCGGTCTCATCCAAGAAACTGTCGGAACAGACCTGTACCAACTCCTCGTCGCAGCCATTCTCTGGAACCGTACTCGAGGATCCCAAGCTCGCCCCATTTTCCAAAAGCTCATATCTCGGTACCCGACGCCAACTCACCTCGCAGATGCAAGTTTCTCCGATCTTGCAGATCTCATCCGTCCAATAGGACTGTACAACTCCCGTGCCGCTCGGTTCATCGCCTTCGCCAAGACATGGCTTGAGAAACCACCCCATAGATCAAGGCGGTACAGAAAGCTGCATTATCCCCTGCAGGGCGATGGTTTAGGCATTGGCAAGGATGAGGTCTTGGATGAGGATGATGTGAGACAGGGCTGGGAAGTGGCGCATTTGCCGTCCCTTGGTCCGTACGCGATTGATAGCTATCGGATCTTTCATCGAGACATATTGAGGGGTCTGGCTGATGATTGGAATGGTCTGAATGCAACGCGGGGGTTTGAGCCTGAGTGGAAAAGGGTTGTGCCACTTGATAAAGAGTTGAGGGCTTATTTGCGGTGGATGTGGCTGAAAGAGGGATGGATATGGGATCCCGAAACTGGCGACAAGATTAAAGCTTCTGATGCAAGGATGCAAAGAGAGCGGAACCGGTCGAGGAGTTTGTCTCCAGACGGGTTTAGAGCACGGAAGCAATGAGCCCTGCAAGTCTTGTCTTTCGATAGCCGAAAAGGACTGGGCCTTGAGGAGTGGTCAATCATGTCTCAGACACACTTCGGCTGTGATCCCTGAAGATGACATCTGAACCATGGGCCTCCTTGCATTAACTTTCTTCTGTCGCCTTACGCAGCTACTCAGCTGAGCGAAAGTCCCCGATCAGCATATTGTAGTGTCATAGATTTCAGATCATCCCTGCATAAGAGCTGATATCTTACGACTGCACTTCCGGATAGAGGTCCTTGCATAGCGGCAGCGTAAGTAAGACACGGCATACGCACTCCTCTTTTGGCCCGACGCCCCGAAAAGACAACGTATGTACTCGGTGTCACTCTTTCCACTGTGTGTAACGCGGGCTTCCATTCATGTCCCACAACTTGTACGGGGAGGTCGATTGGTTCCCAACCGCGTTCACTGTCAGAAGATGATATCAGTGCAGTTCGTCAGCTCGATGTCAATATTCAAGAAATCAGCACATCCCCTGTCATCATTAGGACTCGATACAAGAATGGAAGCCGATAGAATTTCAGCTAGCCTTTACATACATGTGTCCTGGAACCTGGTGAATAGGTGACTGTTAAAATTCAATACAATAATGGGCCGTCAATATCAATTATGTATGCAGTGGAGCGGGGCATGAGCAGTCCGGATTTCCCGACTTCAGATGATCCGATGCAGCCAGCTTCATCGAGAAACCCTTGCTTGAACTCTGGTAACACTGCATCACTGATTAGATACAAGCCCCGCGTTGTGCGACACTTCCAGTGAAAGATGTGGCATATGGATATCTTGCCCCGAACTTTAGAAACAGAGTCAATCTTCATCTATCGCTAGGATCCTCTAGTGAGGCTACAAAGCTATTAGGAAGGGATAAAGACGATTTGTCTGATTATAACCAAGTTCTCTTTTAAAGGTCAACACTCGTCGGTCCATGCTGTCTTCTCGGTGCGCAGATCCTCCCTGCATGGTCGTCGCACCCACGGATCGTAAAACAGTGGACAAGTATTACCCTGGGGCCGCTTGCAGCGAAGAAACCGTGGAGAATTTGGAAACACAACGGCAGTTGTATCTGGTCGATTTATCAAGCAAGTGTATAAAGCTCAGAGTTCCAACCAAGCTATTTATCCGATCTCAGACTTAAACATTATCGCTCATTGTCATCATTAGTCTTCACATCAAGGTCTCACAGGGATCTTTGCATCCCAGAATCCTGCCCAAGAAGAAAGCCAAGGCCGCTACTGACCCACATGAATGCTGGCCTGCTTGTTTCGAGGAGGAAGAGTACTGTCCCAATGGCTGGGTATGTTGCAACATGTCACTAATCTTCAGCTAATGCTAACTTTTGTTTCTAGCATTCTAAGAAAATTGTTTGTGATTTCTGTACATAATGGCGGTCCGGTTTACTAATGTGAGCGATTGCTGGACTTGCTGTGAGGACGCATGGGATGAGATGAAGTGAGATATGGTTATAGTCTAGCTAACCTTATCTTGGATTATGGCGTGGGTAGTTGGCGAACAGTGCTGCTCGAGATTTGCTATTGAGGAATCAGTAAAGCTCGTGGCGGACGGCTGTGCGCCCTACCTCTTTTCAGTCGATAAGAACATTTCAATTCAAGACAATTGTAACGCAATCAACCTGGAGCATACAATAGTGAACTGACTAGCCTCGCGGTAGCTTCCGCTCCATGAGACATATACGTAGCTGACACTTCTCAGTTCAGCAAAGCACCACGTATGCGTCCAGCTGTGAGAGTCTGGCCAGACCAAAGCGACCTGAGTCATCAGGAGGTTGTACACAAGTGAGACCGGATCGTCGATCGCTCGTATTCACGTCTAGCCACAGGGATCCTCCAGTGCTGCCTTTAGTAACCACCACTTTATCCTCCTTGCATAAATGATCGACGCACGAGGGGCATGTATAGGACGGAAACTGTAAGACATACGGAACATCGGTAGGTAAATCATGCAAGGCTCAGACATGGCTGGTCGTCTGTGAGGAGTAACTTGTAGTACGGCACATGCGAATAGAGTTGATGAGAGTGATGAAGATCGACATTCGGTGGAAAGAAAATCTATAAAGGTCGAGCTTCTGTCCGCTTTTGCTCTCATCTCATCAACTCAACAGCTTCACTTTACACTACGCTACATCACTACACACTCAAGTTCTTACCATGAAGTTCTCCATCGCCTCTACTCTCGTCCTTACCAACGGCATCGCTGCCATGCCTTGGTCTTCTCTCAACACCAAGCAGTCCAACGGCGAGGAGATCACGTACGCTCATCGCAGTCCATTTTGCATTGCCCAATACTGACCATATTTTTATAGCCTCCGCATCCAGGTCTCCCAGCCCTCTTCCAACAATGTCTTCGCCCCCAACCACAAGGGCGTCGTCAATGTCCACAACTACGAGGTCTGCCTCAAGGTCTGCTGGCCCGAGGAGCCAACGTGCCCTGCGGGCTGGGTAAGTCTTCCTTAGATCTATCTTCCAATCATTGTACTAACTATTTGACCAGAACTCCAAGAAATTTGTATACTCCCTGGTAGTAACTAACGTAAATGTTTTACTAACAGACTTTAGGGAGATGGAGACTACCCTTGCTGGACCTGCTGCAAAAAGACTGGTGATGATGATCTCTAAATATTAGACTTGCTAAGGATCTAGACTCTTGGGCTACGAATATACTGCTGGGATAAGGAGGATGCTGAGCCAGCATAGTATCAATGGACACTCGTTACAATCTATAAAGACTCTTACTTCAGGAATGTGATTTGTGCGTGCCTAACTGCCTGAGTTATACAAGGGCTTTTGTCCGATTCTCACTCATTCCCGTCGAGCAAGGTCAGTAGATTGCCGAGAACCACTTGCTAGTATTGCATAGTACAGGCTTGGGTTAAACAGCCTTACCAAGACCTGGGACGTGTTGAAGTTTGGCAAGTCTTGGCCTTATTCAAGCTTCCTGCATGAATATGCCTTTGAGAAGTGTTGCGGTAGGATGGATTCTGTGGGGAGCTGTTGATTGTGCGCCGTCTCTCTTCCATCGGGTACCTAGCAATGCATCACAAAAAGAACTTGACCTCGTACTCAGAATGATTGGTTCCAGTCGCCTTGACCATCATGTAGTGACCCTATGTCTACTGCCAATCCGAGTGATAGTCACAGCTTATGAGACATGTCCAATGATCTTGGAAAAATACACGCTCTACTGCGACTGTCCGATGACAACACTGAGAACCAGCAGCAACGGGCGTCAGGACGTTGTACACAAGCGGGGTTGGACCAGCGATCTCTCGTATTAACACCTTGGAGCCAGTACCAGGCTGCTACCCGCGTGTGCCGTCTTCCATGGGAGCACCACCTCTATCGCCATTGAACGATTGACCGACGGGCGTTACTAGGTCAGACATGTGCGACATACGGGCCATCGGCATTTGATTCGGGAAAGTTCCAGGCAGAGCTTCTTGGCTGCGAGGAAACCTGTTGAGCAAAATGCTGGCCAAGGACTCAAGATTTCTGAAGAGTAAAAGACTATAAAGGGCCAAGGTCATTCTATCAATTCCCCTTCTCTCACAATTTTCATCAAATTTCACTTCATATCCAACTCCAGCACTACACTTTAACCCAACATGAGGTTCCCCATCGCTACAACCGGCCTCCTCGCCAGTGGCATCGCCGCCATGCCCTGATCTTTCGCCAATTCTAAGCATTCCGAGAGCGAGGAGATCACGTACGTGCCCTGAAGCACTTCTCATACCGTTTTATCAGCCCCCTCTCATCCTAACTTCATACTAACCATAGCCGCTTAGCCTCCGCATGAAGGTCTCCCAGCCCTCTCCTAAGCACGCCTGGCCCCTCAAGGGCAAGAGCGTCGCCGACACCAACGGTGAGGTGGATATCTGTTGGGCTGCCTGCTGGGAAAAGGAGGTTGAATGCCTCGAAGGCTGGGTAAGCGATACTGAAATTCCCACTCCCTCGAATATTGCTGACCACTGAATCAGTATCCGATCGATTTTGTACGTTACCTTATGAAAACCGAGACCGGATTGATACTAACGGGCATTATCAGGGCAGAGGGGAGCAACACTGCTGGACTTGCTGTAAGCCTACTGCCTAGCTGACCTGTAGGCTGTGAGCATCAAATGAGCCGAGGACCTAGTGAATCAGGCTCCAAGCATGAGATGGAGATGAGGAGGGTATTGAGCTACTTACTATAGGACAAATGGACACTCGTTACAACCTATCATAACGAGCAACGCGTGCATGTGACGGTGCATGTTGAACTAGTAGTACAAACGCTTCTACCACTAGCGGTTATATGTAGTATGAAATCCATTCAAAAATGCTTTTACAAGAATATAGGGCTATCTGGTAAGTAACTAGTGCAGCTCGGCAAGTCTTGGCCTTATTCAAGCTTTCTGAAAATCTCCGAGTGTATGCAGCTTGGTCAACTTGGTATAGAGGCGACAACTGCCGTGATCGGCTTCAACACTGGCCCCACGTTGTCTCCATCTCATTGTCAGCACAGACAATGGATCATCGGTCTCGGCCAAATCTGATTTCTGGAGTTCTTCTAGCTCCCCCGAGGACCCCTACACTGGAACCCCACTCGATCGCATGATAATGCCAGATTTATCCAAGTCCGTAGCGAAATCGGGGCCTTGACCCACGTGAGTTCTTACATATTTCTGGTTACATCAACGACTTAATACAAAGGTTAATAACTATTAATATTTCATTATCTTCATTTTTTCATTAACCATACATTATAAAGCCATCGACTTTGTCCTTCATTCCCTCCTAAAGAGCACGCCCAGTTGAGAGCCCATATGCTATTTTCGCAAACTGATCCATCACAATATCTTGCCGGTCTGAGAGCCTCCCCAGCACCATATCAGCATACTCCTCGTTCTCGGCCTGAACCTGTAGCGCGGCTTGTTCAAAGCCTTTCGGGTATACACCAGCGCAGCCCCAGTCGATTACCCAGACCTTCATATCCTCATCGAGTACCAAATTTCTCAGCGCCAAATCTTGATGTGTTAGAACAATATCCTTGAACTCGAATCTTTGTGTTTCAGGTTTTAGGTGTTTGACCATGATGCCGACGTCGATTTTGTGATTGCACCAGTCCTCAAGTTCTTTGAGCGTGTTGAAAGGCCCTGCGCCATAATCTGTGAACCATGGACCTTGGAATTTGGCCTCCTGGGACCTCCCAATTGGCCCTACTGGCATGTGGTTGAGGACGGTGGATTGCATCTTCTCAATCACATCGGCGACCTGCTGGGCGACAGTTTCTTTAGCAGTGATACCTAGTGACTGCCAGCTCTTATCGATCATGGATCCTTTTATGTAGTCCATGACAATGAAGTGTGCTTCTACCAAGGGTGTTTCGGGCAGGTCTGGATCTTCTGGGGTCTCGGCGGTGAAAGCGCGATGAACCTTGGGTATTGGTAGGCCCAGGGTTTCAAGGGCAAATTTCATATTTTCTGCTTCGCTCTTTGCCACACCTGGACCACCTTTGATGACGAGATGTTTCGAGATACGTGGTATGATGACATCTCCATAATCGTGAAGTCGAGGCGCCGTCAAGAAAGCTGATAAAAGTTCCTCGTCCGAAACTGAAGCAATGTCCTGCTCATCGAGCGGGAATGTATTGTCATCTTCAATCGATCTAGGCTGTTTGTAGTGGATCAGTATTGCGAAAATGATCATGCGCTGTATTGAGACATGTTCTTAACTTACGTCTTGATATGGTTGAGGGAATGATGGTCTGTCGCCAGGTGCGGGAACCTCCGGAGGGGAGTTTTCGTTGTGTGACTCTGTTCCAGGATTTTTCGACAGAGAGCAACCCATCTCAGCAAGAGTAATGGCGCCCCGACAACAGAATCATTCGCACCGGCCAATAGGTAGCAGAGAACAGTTGTTGACGCACCCTCCAATCTGCAAATATTGATGCTTGTTTCAAGTCAGTCAGCCGATGGTTGGCGGTGGGTCCCTTTTGCCGGGTCAATATCGGGTAACAGTAACTTTGCTTGACGAGCCAGGATTCTCGGGCATCCATGTGATTGTAGTTGACACTGAACCAACAGTTTTGTAGTTGGGCCAATCTTATTAATAGAAATGATCCTAGAAGCGGCTACAATCAATCACTTTTAACTGTCGTGTTTTACAAGCTATGTTACAGGCGAATCGCGCGGCATCACCAGAAATTCTCATGATTCGCCCTTTGCCCTTAGGAGAAAGTTGTTGGCCCTTGAGACGAACCACGACGGCCATTCAAGACCCTAAAAGGTGGCTGTCTTGTGGCTATCTGTGGAAGGTTCTTTTCTATCATGCGTGTTTGCTGCCTAAAGTTTAACTTTATTACCAGCAGGTACCTACGCAAATATGACTTTTATTGGCTGTTGCCACTTGATGAGTTTGCCTTACAGTAAAGAACTGTTGGTGATATATCGTGCAATGTGTAAGGGAGTTTTCAGATAAGCGCGCTCCTATCAGTGACAGGTAATGGGAAATATACCGAGGAATCATTGACAGAAACTAATGATAAAAGGATGAAGAACGCCTGTGTCATTGAACAAAGTTCTTGATGATATCAACGACCTGAGCATTCTTACCCAATCAGCATTTTTATCACATAGTTCCCAGCAGCTAATAAATCCCTCCAACTTTAATATGGGTTGCGGTCCAAGTTCCCCTTCCAAGAGTGAAGGCAGTGGAACTTCTCATACAAACTTCGAAATGCATAACCTCAACCCTCTGAGCTACACGCCCGAGACAGCAGAGAACGAAATTCGAAGTTCCGTTGTTGCAACAGTTCACTTTGTGGCTCATACTGTCGTCCAAGGCGGCGGAAATCATTGGGACATTTTCCTACAGACTGCGCCGAGAAAATCAATCCGGCTGGAAATCGTACCTGGCGCATATCCCGGCCGAGAAGGCTTCCTCGGCCGTCTCGATATCATCCGCCATCCATATGGAATCACACGCCACTCCAACAAGACAGTGAGCATACCTGCACAGCCTGGCCACACTGTAGGCCAGTTCTTGGATGCAATCGTCCGAGCAGATAATCATCGTTATGAATTTACGCAGTCAGGAAGAGGTTGCGGTGGCTGGGTGCGAGACCAATTCTATCTTTTTGTGCAATGCGGACTGATTCCTCCTGGTTGGGAGGCCGAATTTGAGGCGGCGATTAATGTGTTTTGGGTGCAGAATGAGTCTCGGGGACCTTGGCCGTTGACATATGGCACGTATTTGAGAACTAGAAACACCGGTCGCAAGGGGAAGGGCAAGCAGAAAAAGGGTAGGAGGTAGTACTGTCTTAGGGTTTATTTATAAATCTTAGGATAACTACTCTAAGTCTTTGAAATCTTGTTTAAATATACCCAAACTTAGGACAGCATCTTCTGTAGTTAACTAGAATTAGTATATGTATAGGTTAGTGAACAGTCTACATATATATCGCAAACTGATAACAATTTCTGTCCATAGGTTAATCTATAGCTATCACTGTCATTAGCATGGAACTTGCAATTTTTAATCCCAAAAACATTAGTAGAAGCACATGGCAGCATTGGCAATACTGAGATATCAACACGAATAGCGGCAGCCATCTTCCTCCACCGTTGTGATTCAACGTGTTGATACACGCAATTAACGAGCTGGAACTTGATCATTGAATGCCAGTATGGCGCTACTGTTCTTATCGGAGCAGGCTTATTGGCCATTTTTCTTCCACGCAAAACAGTTCTGAGTACCGCAAAGCACTATTTCCCTAATATTGTTAGGGGTCAACTTGGCCAACCCCTGGTTTCTATTGACATCTCAGCCTTGGTAATAGCTTTATTCTTCACAAGCCGCGCCAAGTCCGGAGCGCGATCGGCGCGATGTATCCACTTTGCCCTGACTCATCCTGCATTCGGTTTAGACTTCACGCTAGAAATCTCTTATCGTTCCAGAAGTCGGCTAGAAAGTCCGGTAGTCACCAAAACAAACTTGCAGTAGCTTGGCCAAGGAGGCTGAAAACTTCAGCTGGAAGAAGCGCGCGGCTACGATGAGGCTCTTCCTCGTTGCAACGACATACATCTTGATTCTCGAGACACGACCGGTAGTTTTAGGGGTCTGGGGAAACCCTCCTGACCCTCCCTTCACCTCATTCTTGCGTGGAGATTCGAGAGTCTGGAGCAGTGGGTTTCTCAGTGAAAGAGACCACTCTTTGTGGGACCATAACGTAAAAGTTAGCAAATCCATTGAAGCAATTCAGATCTGGCCATTGCTTGTTTTTCCCTCCATCAGCCGATCTCGCCCAATGAAGGATCGTCTAATTTTAACCGCGATCCTTTACTGCTCTATTGCCCGAGTTCGGTGCGCGACGCCATCGGGCCAGGCCGAAGAACCTCCAATGTTAGTGGGCCGACCTTGACTCGAAAGTTAAACTAACATGAAGACATTTTTTGCCTCTCACCGTTGTCGGACCCAGAGTGGGAATTTATTTAAATACCACTGCTGTTCCAATTATCATCGCGTCAATTGGTCTTGCACTTTTTTGTCTCTTCAACTTTTGCGCTATCAAACTTAACGGGCGACTTTCATCATGAGCCATACAGAACCTAAAAGCGCTGCGGCGCCTGAAGATCAAGAGAAGGGCGTTAATAATGCACCTCCAGCTTTTGTGCCTGAGCTGAGAAACGATGATGCGGTCTTGGGTGATGAAGAGGCGGAGATTATTGACTACAAGACATTAACGTGGTGGTATGTTTACCCCAATCTCCTCATCTCATATAGACACTGACAATTTTCAGGCAAGGCGGTATCGTCCTCATCGCGGAGACAGTATCCCTCGGCATCCTCTCCCTCCCCTCCGTCCTCGCCACTGTCGGTCTCGTCCCCGGCATAGTCCTCATTCTCGTAATGGGTTTCCTCTCCACATACTCCGGCCTCGTCCTCGCTGAATTCCGTGCCCAATACCCCTTCGTCCAGAACTTTGGCGACGCCGTTGAAGTCATTGGAAAGTCCATCGGAATGGGCCGTGTGTTCCAAGAGGTTTTTGGCTGGGCGCAGGTCATTTTTCAGGTTTTCGTTATGGGAAGCCATCTCCTCACTTGGACTATTTGCCTCAACACTCTTACGAATAGCTCGACTTGCACTATCGTCTGGGCTGTTGTTGGACTGGCAGTTTTCTGGGTTCTTAACTTGCCTAGGACCTTGAAGTACACGAGTTATATGTCTATGGCATCGTGCATGTCGATCACGCTCGCTGTTCTCATTACAGTTGGAGATGTTGCGCATGAGCGACCTATCGGCTCTGGTAGCATCGAGGTTGCTCGTGAACTTGGCTTCACAGGCGCTTTCTTGGCTGTCACCAACATTGCCATTTCTTTCTCCAGCCACTCTTGCTTCTTCACCGTCATCTCTGAGTTCAAGAAGCCTGAGGACTGGCCCAAGGCTTTGGCTTTCCTCCAGATAGTCGATACTACTCTCTACATCCTCGCTGCTGTCGTCATCTACGTTTTCGTCGGACCTGACGTTCCTTCGCCTGCTCTGTCTGCCGCTGGCTCTCACACTATGCGAAAGGTCATCTGGGGTATTGCCATTCCCACCATCGTCATTGCTGGTGTCATTTATGGTCATGTCGCTTCAGCCTACATCTTCCAGCGAATCTTCCGAAACACCAAGCACATGGTCCGCCGAACAAAGCTCTCCACAATGGTCTGGTTTGGTGTCACTTTCGGCATCTGGGCTCTGTCAATGGTCATCGCCGAGTCCATTCCTGTGTTCAACAACCTCCTCGGTCTCATCTGCGCCCTTTTCGCTTCGTGGTTCTCTTACGGACTCCCCGGTATCTTCTGGCTCTGGATGCACTACGGAAACTGGTTCAAGGATGGAAAACAGACTTGCCGATTTGTGGCCAACGTTATCCTCTTCCTCACTGGCTTTCTTATCTGCGTCCTTGGACTCTGGGCTTCCATTGAGGCTATTGCTGAAGGAGGAAGCAAAACTCCTTGGTCTTGCGCGAGCAACGCTGCGGAATAGACCACTTTCAAGTTAGAATAATGATGTTTAGACAGTACCAATAATACCCATTTTTGTTTAGATGCAAAATCTCTGTTAAAAGATTTGACTCCCTATTGCTATCTGATGCTTATATCTCGATCCACCATTCACTATGGCCCAATTAAGCCTTGATGGATCCCTCTGAGCTGGGAGCCACAACAGTTGTTCTCTGGCGGAGGTTGCCAGCCTCGTCATGTTCTTCATCCCACCGAGGAACATCAGCATGGGGAACCTTAACCAGTCGGTGAGTGTTGGCTCCATTGTCATCGACATTGGTAATCTCGGTGCGGATAGCATATCCCTTCCATTTGGGCAGCACGAACATCCAAACCACATAGTAAAGGGCGCAAACAAGGACACTAGAGACTGCTGTTAGTAAAATAGAAGATAGTGATATTCCTAGATTGACACTCACATGGCAATACCGACGACACAGTACGTCGCATACCAGAAGCTGACATCACCGGCATATGGGCCGCCCTTGGGGGGGTACCAAGGCATGACGAGGATAAACACCTGGACGAGAGTGTAGAAGATGATAGGAGCATGCCAGGCTTTGAAATCAGAGCGACCAATACCGGCCTTTGAGCGACGGCGGCGAATCACATAGAGACCTACAACCATGGCAAACCTGAACATGGCATCGGGGTATGTGCCCAGACTAACAACTGTGAAACCGATCAGCATCAGAGAACACCAATAGGGATGAGGCTACTACTTACCGAAAGTGAAGGCATCACCAGCCGGGGGTGCGACAATCATGATGAAGGTCAACACCCACTTGAGGATGTAAGGACCAAGCGGAGTACCGAAAGGCTTAGTCGAGACCCAGAAGTTGGTCCAAGGCAAAACGCCCTGCCGACCAATCTCACGAAGCATACGAGCAGATCCAACCAACACAGCGAGAAGATTACCAAAGGCACTCAAGAGGACAAGGAAGTTAAGGACGTTAGCCGCAGACTTGCTGTCCCCAAAGAGCTTGGTGAAGAAGACCGATGCGGCAATCTCACTAGCCTCAGCGAACTCCTCCTTGGGAACGACAGCGAAGTAGGCGATGTTGCAAAGCATGTACAGCACAGCGACGACAGTAAGCGAGATAGTACCGTTTCGCTTGAGCGTGGGGATAGGGTTCTGGATCTCGTTGACGACGTTGAAGGCGTTCCAGTATCCGGCGTATGAGAAGACGATACTGACGAGGGCGCTGGCTAGATCGTTTCCGTTGGGGGTCGCACCGGCAAAGGCGTCACGGAAGTTATGACCGGGGTCGGGGATACGCTTGACGTTGCCGCCGAGGACAACGAAGCCTGCAATGCTGATGCTGTATGATGTGTTAGGGGTGAAGGGGTATTGAAGGATGAAAGGGGGCTTACAAGACTAGAGTGAGGATCTTCAAGGCGCCGATGAAGTTGACCAGCCAGAGGGAGTACTTGTTGTGCGCGATGACAAAGATGACAGCAAGAGTATAAGCTGCGATAGCGACACCTCGCATCTGCCATTCAGAGGGAGTCTCGCCAGTCATTCGCCAAAGGTACCTCGACAGAACTATATATTGTCAGAACGCGCAAGCCTGATGATGGAAGGTATCTTACCGACGGCATTGCTACTGCTGAAGGAGAGAATGACCGACTGGACAGCAAAGGTAACAGGGAAGAAGTGCTTAGGCCGAGGATACGCCTGTTCGAGATACACAACCTCTGAACCACTGCGATTAGGAAAGTAACTCGCCAATTCGAGGTAAACGCTGAAACCAGACGCAGCCATGATGAAGCCGATGAACCAGATGATCAGCGCCAGACCGACAGATCCAGCACGGTTAAGAATACTCGAAGCTATAACGCGTCAGTGCCTATACCTCACCTACAGTATGAAAGGGAACGTACGCGTAGAGAAGATACCGGTTCCAATCATCATATTAACATTCAGAAAAATAACTGTAAGCCAACCAACGTTGTATCCAAGCGGCGAGTTCGACTCAACAGGTGCACCGACAGCTTCCTGGTACGAAGGTTTCGATCCATTGCCGCCTTTGACACGCGTGTACGCAAGACCGCCATCGTGAATGACAGAAGGCTCAGAGTCGCTAGCCTCGGGGTCCGCCGACACGGTCGCGGTGGTTTTCTGGCTTTCAAAAAAGTTTGAGAAGCCCATTTTGCCAGATTCGCGATTGACAATGAGGAATGCGATGACTCGCAGGAATTGACCGATATAAGAATATTGGTATGCCGATGAGGGGCAGGTAAAACGTGCGACGGCAGATTGAGTTATATAAACATGGATCGTCTGTGCGACGGTGGGTGGTGGTGCAGGATGACACAATTCTCGAGGATCTTGACATGACTGCACCAAGACTCGGGCTCCCCGTTAGAAATCCCACCCTGTGTATCCGAGCTGGAACGAAATAGTGGTATGCTTAAAAGAACATCCACTTAATAGGTAGGATCTCCGCGTGGGATGGGCCTTGTTTGCAGCGGACTTGGATAACTGTTGGTGGCGAGATGGATCGGTCTAGATGGGGGTTGTATAACGTTGTAGTGCATTGTGTCACTTCGGTAGCTTGGCGATGAACTTGGCGAGTGTTTCTTGTCGTATCTTAGAGTGCAAAATTGGAAGTTAAGATAACAGTGTCGTACAAGACACGCGTTCTAAATGTTGTACACTGACCAGTCTTCCAGGTGCATGCCAAACCGATATCTCTTCCAGCGACTATTACGCCTCACTAATAACCCATCAAGCATCTCCATCAAGACCCTCAATTCCCCTCCACAAATTCGCCGAACTTGAAGTCAATCCCCCAGCTTTAAACAAACACCTTAAAAATTACCGGCGCCTCCCCGACACAACCCTCCAATTCAGGCAACACATCGTCTGTTCAGACCAATGAAACCCCCCATAATTACTGTTTCGCAATAACGGGGATGCGATTGTATCATACCCAAAACAAGTGGGGATACCCGATGATATCTGATAACGACATCGACTGTCGTGATAGCGAATCTATAATTGTGGCTCGATTGGGCTTAGCCTCGGAAAGGATCGAGAGGCCGCGGGTGCGGGAGACGAACCGGGCCCGCTGGAACAAGCAGGGAGGTTTGGCCGCGGGGTCTAATTGGTGAGAGGCTTGGGCAATTTGGTAGATTCTCCAAGGCCAAGCTTTTGTGCTATGATTTGGTGCTGACTTAGTGGGGGTTAAACTTGGTCGATAGTGCGTGGTGGGATCTACGTCTATATGGCCCAGAATGGCGAATAGCGCTGGCTCATTTAGGCAGTTCGTTGTCATTCATTATCTGTGTTTGCAGCCTAAAGCTTAACCTTATAGGCCGCCTTCATCCATAGTTGGCAAGTCGAATGTTTATAATATCTACACATAAGAAATCGAGCCAGTGGAAATGCGAGGAGACATCCCGTATGCTGATGAAGTTCTTTGATACTTGTCAGCCAACTTCGAAAAGCATTCGACAAGCAGGACCATTTGATACAATGACCTTGCAAGCCAAATACATCACCCCCAGCCCTCACAAAGAGGTAAGGATTGATATACAACATCTGGCAGGTTGGTAATTTACAACTGACTGCTGCGCGTTCAAAATGCAACATCTGACACACTGCTTGCCCTGTAGTCTATGATGTAGTGTCACTAGCCTACCTCTCATAGGATCAGCGGTTGGGGGAAGATAGCTCTGCGAAAGGGCAACCCAGACAGATAGGTCTTTTGTGGACAATACGCGTGTGATGGGAGGGAGCAGCGTCGGTAAACCAGTCAAAGGAAGCAGCCCATCTCCTTCAACAAGGGTGGATTCGAAGCCGTTGAGAGAACCGCACGTCTCTCCCTCGCAGTTTGCAGAAGTGACTGCGCTATTTAGCTTATGCCAAATATCAGAGGCCCCCATTGAGAAATGCCGACCGGGAAATCCTGCGGTGGAAATTCTGTAGCTGGCATGAAGGCTAGTGTTTTCCCTTAATATCTCGTCGATGAGAAGTTCGGCGTTGAGCCCGGGCGTCGAAGTATCAGCTAGGTTGTCATAGTTTGTTATACTCGACATGGAGATTGCATCGTACCCTGTCTTCTCTGGCGTACTAGCCGTTTCGAATCCCTGATCACGTACCATGTCGTACAGGAAGTTCTTCCACTCGATCCTACCAGGGACAGCTGTCACAACACAGGCTCTTTGCGGATCAGATGTAATCTCTGTCAATGTATTCAGAAAGAAACAAAGACCACTGTGTGAGACTGCAACGAGATAACCACTGCCCGAAACAACATCATGCTGTCGTCCTGCTAAAAGGGTCTGTGCCACCATGAGAACACCACCAGGCGGCCAAGATCTCAGCAAGCCGTGATCCACAGGGTCGTAGTCTGGCAAATTTGAGGTGATGAGAATATTTCTCTGGGTCCAGTATAGGTTCTCTAACCCGGAGCGTGTTGGCCGCACTTCAAGCTCTTCTTGCATACAGATACTTGGCATAGCTCTGACGAGAGTACAGATAGTTTGTATAAGTGCAAGTAAGCAGAAGGTGCTATCCTCTCTTCCATCATCCCCATCTGGGCGACAGATTGTACATGAGCATACCTGACGCAAAGAAGTAAATGATTGAGAAAATTGCTGAGCGGCTTCGAGATATCCTTTGTTCAAAGCCGCCTCCATTGTGTGGTGCAAGACCGGGGTTTGCCTGAGTTCCGGGAGAAGGTGACGAGTTAGCAGATAGAATCCCCTTCCATAACTAGATTCTGATACCGGAGGAAAAGAGGCTCGTGGATCTCTATTTGATAAGAACTCCATGTGGCCCTCACCATCTCTCATGGCAGCCAGAAAGATGCGTGCGGCGGAGCCCAAGCAAGCACCAGTACTCCGAGCTTGAGGGCCCAAGAGAAGTCTCATAGGGCCCCCAAAGGTATCGACCAAGCAAGTATCCCATGAAAGCCGACCATACGACATGATATCTTGGGGTTGGTGATGATTAATTAGTATGTTGCCGCTGGGAATGATGTGGTGCTTCCGATTAACCCGCAACAATTCACTTGAATCCCCCTGATGGTAAGTTATAATAACTTGGGCATCTAAAGAGAATTCACTTCGCGTGCCGTCAGGTCTGTAGATTACCGTACCGTCTTGGTGCTGGACCTCGACTCGAAGGTCCAGAAGCCAGTGGGCTACGGCGGCAATCCAGGCGCAATCTGCTCCGCCGGACAAGAAAAGACGATCAAGGCGTCCGCCTGAGACTTCGAAAACTTCCTTCAACACTAACGCAATATCCTTCGGCGATCCAGAACTTCGTAGATTACGTTGACCGTCCATGAGACAGAGCTTGGTGAGACCATGTAACACTAAACCGAACTCTGACGAGGCAAGCAATCCTCCAGAGGATTCAACCAGTGCAATCCACTGCCTCAGCGCAGGTGTAAGCTCAGCCGGTGGATCATACAGGAGAAAGAGCTCTCGTATAACCTTTGCGGCAACAGTCGTCGAGAATCCTTCTGTGAGACAGGCACAGATACCAAGACAGTTCAAGCCCTCGGCAGATTCCTGCATACTCCATATGATATGCTTGACCCCGAACCCAAACCAGAGCGCTTTGCCGAATGATGGAAAAGCGCTGATCTTATCAAGGGCTCGATGGAGACGTAATTCGCCATTTGGACCGAGCTTGACGTTGGAAAAGATCGCCCTGGCAGCGTAGATAGTGAAAGCCTCGATGCCAGCCTTTGATAACCTTGATAAAACATCGACGGAAAAAGCGACACTACCGCTGAGGACTTTGGTCCAGTCGACTGTGCCTTGTTGCTGAAACCCAACGGCAGTACTAAGCTGTAGGTCTTGAGAGAGGAGGGGAGCTGACTGGCCCGAGCTCGCGCGAGAAGACGCCATCACATTGCCAGGCGAAATAGAATTGCTGGGGTAATTGGAGTGTAGACGCGCTACTTGAATTATGTTCCGGGGCTAAGAAATTACAGCAATGTGATTGTTTGGAAATGTCAGAAAGCACATTGACGAGATCACAAAGCGGGGGAATGTAATTTAGGCATCAATATTGACATGTATCGATATTATGAGGCGTCCAATTGGATGTTTCAATGTGCAAGTTGGCTGTGTGATATCTCAGTCTGTTTGGCCACTCACTTGAACCTATGCCTGTAGGCTTACGGTGTCAAATAAGTGCCGAGATTTGATTTCAGCAGTTACTCATAGACTGCGAGCACAAAGAACCTAGATACTGATGTTTTCCTATAGTTCATATGAATAAATGCAATGTCTTGAGAGAGTAATGGCTTCATGCAGTCAGAGCTCTCCAGATTCAACCTAGCGTCGATTGATTACTATTTCGGGAATGTATCGGCGATGATTTGCCAACCCCGCCTCCACGTCAGATCTCGGCGATTCCTACTCTCTTCTTCCATGCTGGAGACAAAAGGACACTAGTTGAGCCGCTTCGTTATGCCGGTACCTAAGAACCCATGTACAGAATGCAAAAGTAAGCAAGAGACCCAATAGAAACCCACATGACGAACACATATTGACAATTTTAGGCAAACACCTCAAATGTCCGTCCACCTTAGTCAAGGCAACCTGGAAGCAGAGGGAGAATTGAGCGCGAATTCTAACTCAAGGTCCTAGGTGCCGGTGATGAGGCTGTATGTACACGGTGTCTCAAGAAAGGGCTGGAGTGTGTCCGGTTGGGACGAAATCGGCAGTTCAGAGATGGCTCTTCGGCAAAGTATGATGCCAAGTTCTCAGGATCGCAGAGCTGGGTGAACAGTAGTGCCAAAGAGTGTATGTGCACTGGACACAACACTTGCTCAGAGAAATAGCTAAATGATCAACAGTTCGCCTTCAAACAAGTTCGCGGCGCGCAACACAGAGAATCGCTCTCGCAGATGAGGCGTCGACTTCAACGACAAAGACAGCAAGCCATCCAGCTGTGGATAACAACGGAACATCTAATGCGGCTCTTGACTTCACACTCGGAGGTTCAACATACTTCAATTCGACAGTTTCATCAAGTCTATCCCCTCCCCGTGGCGGACACTCGCAACCTTCAGCACTGCCAACATTCGCAACCCAACCGAGGCAGCATCCACTGGCACTCTCTCAGCGTGGTCCTTCTTGGGGCGGCTTACTTCATGCGTTGGAGCCACCGCACCAGCGAGACTTGCCGCTGGAGGGCGTACAAGAAGCATGCCTCTTACGATACTTTATCGAGGAGTTGTCACATTGGGTGCGTTCGCCATCACTGAGTCGGAATGCTGATACTGACCGTCCAGTTTGATCTAGTTGACCCGCAGCGAAGATACCAATTGGTTGTTCCAGAACGAGCCAGGCGATATCCTCCCCTACTCAACGCCATATTAGCAATGTCAGCACGACACTTATGCCGCGTGGAAAAGTACAAGACAGCCCGAGGAATTGTATATCGCGGGCAACCATTACCGAGTCTCAGCTCACACTCTGCAGTGGAGTATATGCTCAAATGCATGCCCGTCCTTAAAGACTTTCATACCACGGAAGACGGGGAGACCCGAGAACTCATCGTGACAACGGCTGTCATCCTACGTCATTTCGAAGAGCTCGATGACGAAGATGAAGATCCCGCTCTCGGTAGTCGCCCTGACGAGAGTGTCAACTTCCTCGCAATCCTAAACGCTGTTCTTCGGAGTTTGACATCAGATGATCTTATTAACCGCCGAGAACTGCTTATTGCATCTTACTGGGTTGCTTTACGACAAGAAGTTTACTATGCCCTTCGGAAAGGATACCCAGCTCAGATGGTCGAACCACCAGCTGAGTGGTCCGATATATCGCCGGCGAACAGAATAGTCTTTCATACGAGTCAGGTCACAAAGTGGCTGTTTGATGACAAGTCGGAGAGTGGATGGCGTGAGTGCTCTCCTAGCTCTTGTAGGATCTATATGTTAACGGTTCGGCGCGCAGATAAACTCAAAGAACAGGAGGAATATCTTGATCAATATGTGACCGGGCGCTTTGAACCCATTCTTCATCGACCACCAGACCGAGTTCTAGGAGAGGTATTTCCAACGATGTGGTATGCTTCACCCATCGCACTTACGGGTATGCAGCACATGATGATAGCAAAGATGATTCTAACCGCAGAGTCACCTCTCCTCTCGTAAGTTCGACAGTACCTCCTCTCATGCATGTACTAACCTCCCCAGACAAGCCGATGATGTCCGAGCAGCATACCGCAAAGCCGAAGGTGAAGTGCGAAATCTAGTCCTCCAAGTGTGCGGTACTGCTGTCCAACATCCCGATACCCAACCGGGTCTGGTAAATGCCATTCTAGCTATACAGATGTATGGAAGTTACTTCACTGATCCTTGGGAACAAGAGGCACTCAAGAAAACGGTTCAGATGTTCAAGGATTGTCAGGCTTGGCCGTTGCCGAAAGCTTTGAGAGAGCGATATTACAAGTCATAGCGGATTTGGTTGCATTGGCGTGTGTTATGTTATGTTGGTACAACCTCCTCGGAGTTTCGACCTATTATCTTACACAGTTTTTTCTTTGCGTCTGACACATTGGATCCTCTTTGCAACGCCCCCACAGGTGAAGGGGTGCATCCAGCTTATATGCAGACAACTCGCAGGCTTATTCTTCCATCAGCGACATACCCCATCTGGGAGCAGCCATTACGGTCACAGGCCAATAGACTTACATTGAATCATGGAGCAAATCATGTTTCCTTATTCCACTTGTGTATAATCTCAGTTGCCGATTATTGAATGTCTGTGTCAGTGCTGTGATGGAGATTTGTTCCGACTTCTACGTTGAGGCCAGAGAACCAGATACGGTGATGGGGTGCTCGCCGGATCCTACCGAATCAAGCTAGCCTCAAGCAACTGTTTGCCCAATAAAGCAGCTACTGCCGCAACATCTCCTGATATAGCAGCCCCGACGAGAAGTTTCGGCGACATCTGCTTAGATAGGTAACCATTTATTTGCGTTTGAGGATGATCATGTCTGTCGAGACAAGATATTCGGAGATAGTTCGCAAGATGATCAAACGTTGTTATACAGATTATATGAAGAAGAGAGACAGAGAAATATAAACAGGTCTGTTTCTTCTTCCCTCTCTCGAGTTTCAATACCCTCATCCTTATTCAACTCAGCCCAAGAGAAAAGTCCTGCAGTTACCGCTTCCATTTCCATACCATACATCATGCCTCAAACCTTGAACATTGCGGTTGTTGGCCTCGGTCGCATGGTAAGAATTATTTCCTCCCTTTAAAATACTTTTACTGACCAGAACCAGGGCAAGCGACACGTGCATACTCTCTTGTATAGGGTACCCCGTGCTCGAGTCGTCGCAGTATGCAGCTCAATGGAGCACGAAGTCAAGTGGGCCAAGGAGAACGAAGAGTACAAAGAGTTCAACATCTCTGTCTACGATAGCTATGATGAGATGCTCAACCATCCTGGCCTTCAAGCTGTGTGGGTTTCTACCAGTACCGATGTGCACTCCAGCCAGTCTCTCAATGCCATTGATAAGGGACTGCACGTCCTTTGTGAGAAGCCTTTGAGCACTGACATGGCTGAGGTATGTCTCCCTAATATTTATCTAGCGAGATGTTGTTGACCATATCGGTAGGCTCAAACTGTCGTTGATGCAGCAAAGAAGAGCCCCCATCTCAAAGTCATGGCCGGCTTCTCTCGTCGATTTGACGCTTCTTACCGGGACGCTGCAGCCAAGATCTATAACGACAAGGCCATCGGAGAGCCATTCATGGTTCGCTCCAATACCTATGATCTCCTCGACGAAACCGGGTTTTTCGTTCGCTACGCCTCTCGCAACGGCGGCATCTTTGTTGACTGCGCCATTCACGACATTGACCTGTCAATCTGGTATCTCGGCAACCCAATCCCCAAAGCATGCTGGGCAACCGGAACTCTCCAACACCACCCTGAACTCAAAGATCTCAACGACGTTGACAATGCAGTCGGTGTAGTCGAGTTCTGGGGCGGCAAGATCGCTTACTTCTACTGTTCCCGAACTCAAGCCCACGGCCATGACGTCTGTACTGAAATCGCCGGAAAGACTGGCAAGATCTCAGTCAATATTGTTCCCAAGGCTAATAATGTTGTTCTGGCGGATAAGCTTGGTATTCGGCATGAGGTTCAGCCTGAGTATTGGCAGCGATTTGAAGATGCGTTTGCGCTGGAGGCTAATGAGTTTACGGATGCGGTGTTGAAGGATAAGCCGGTTCCTTTGCCTATCGAGGGAGGGATGCAGGTTATGAATATTGGTCGGGCGCTTCAGCATGCGCTGTTGAGTGGGGACTTGGTCAGGTTTGATGAGAAGGGCAATTGGGAGTAACAGAACTCAGCATAAAATCATACAGGCTGACTCTTAGCTATGAGATTATTTCGATGGTTAATAGTTGAATAAAAGTCTTTGGCCATGATATGATATGAAATGCATGATAAGCTACTGCATCGAAGCATGTGATTTGATGCTATTCCCAGCCACTTTTATGCACAAATGCACCAGGTCGCATGATGCACTCTCCCTCCACCAATCAAAAACTAGACATATCTCCACCCACAAGCATGAATTACCCACCCGAAAATTAAACGCGCTTCTTATCTCTCTCATCAACCTCAAATCTTCACTCTCACCTTCACCTTCACTCTCTCCCTTAAACGCCACTCACTCACTCATCATGGGCATCTTCCGCTTGGCCAGAAAAACAGTCTTCGCCGGCTTGTTGGGCACCTCCACAGCCGCCGCGTACCTCGCATCTCGAAACCCCGTCATCTCCCCGCTCCCCGCCAACGACCCCATCTGGTCGTCTCGACTCTTTAGGAGGGCTAATCCGAATGGTAACCCTGCTGCCCAGGATGTCGTCATCAAGCGCATCCCCTTTGACAAGATTCGTCCGGAGTTGCTGCAGAATAACAATGAATTGACGCTTGAGTTTTGTCGTGGCGTTTGGAGCGGTTGGGGTAAGTAACCTTTTCTCAGTGAATTTGAGTTATCGCTCACCGATTCAGGCTTCGCTATTCAGCGACGATATGCGCAATTGAAGTATCGAGGTCCCGAGACAGAGCATCAGCTCTGGGATCCTGAGCAGCTCGCTACAGCAACCTACGACAAGGGCGCCGTTATCACTGATCATTTCGAAGTCGTTGAGAAGACTCCTACGTCCATCACCGTGCGCTGCGGCGACTCACCGCGCAACCAGCCCCTGCGCCCATCTGACGGTCTTTTCCAGATCAGCGCTACTATCGACAAGGCGCATGAGGAGGTTGAGCTGCGCCTCAAGAGCGTTTTTTTCTCCAGCGAGGGCAAGGTTGCGGGTAACAAGGGCCCTATGCCTCCGTTCATTGAGGAGCTGCATCAGTGGTATGCGAGGATCTGGGCTGAGACTGCGTCTTGGAAGCTTCTTAAGTGATGGGAGGATTATGAGTTATGATATACCATGTAGATCGTGGGCAGCTGCTGCACTGACGAAATGAACGACCATGTCTGAAATGCAAGATCTCTTTTCTCTATTTTGCTGGTTCGGGCATTTTTGAGCTTGAAAGGGGTGATCTGATCGATACAAGGTTGTAGAAATCTAGCAGTTTATGTGAAGATGACATTCGTCTTCAGAAAGGCACATCAGTCACGACATTCGTTGAGGGTTTTCGTCATACGATGAGCCCCGCTCATTTCACTGTGCCATTTCGTGGAGTCGAGGACTTGGCAACGTTCGACAATAGAGTCAAATGTTAGAAATGTGAGTGCATAGTGATTCATCAACTGGTGGACATTCGATAGAGGCTTGCGAAAATAAACCGACAAGTGTATACGAGTACTAGGACAATAAGCGCGCACTGTCATGTACCGCCACATTCGCACGAATTGCCATGTGCCAACACAGCTACGCACTGTCTTAGTCATCAGAACCCGAGTTGAGTTTTTGCGACCTGGCGTCTTGCTCGAGAATCTTCGCTGACATATCACACCGATTAAACTTCACCTCCCGTCCATTTAATACTTCAATCCTGCACTGCAAACCCGTTTTTAAACCTTCTCTTCTATTCTCTATCCCCGATTGATCATCGCCAGTAACACCGCCAAAATGCCTCTCATCGACGCCAACACTCCACCTACCTCCACTGACACTCACTACGTCGTCTACTTTGCCTCAGGCGAGCCCTCATGGTGTCCCGACTGCCGTGATGCCCTCCCCGCGCTAAAGGCTGTCTTTGGCGGGGCTTCTGATCCTACCGCTTACATCGTCCGCGTGGGTTCGCGTGATGAGTGGAGAGCTACGCCCAAGAACAAGTATCGCCTTCCGCCTTATAACATCAATGGCGTTCCTACTGTCGTGAAGTACAAAGATGTAAGTTGATGAACTGGGGTTAGTTTGGATGTGAATTAATGGTATTTTAGGGCAAGGAGGTTGGACGATTGGGGGATAAGGAGAGTCAGGTTGAGTCATCTCTTCGCAAGCTTGTGAGCCAGTAAAGGCTCTTGTCAATGATGAAGGCCATTGGCTGCGACTGAACTGAGAGAGCTATTTACTGTCTAGGACTGGTTCTTGTCACTCAATATCGGGGTAGCTTGTTCAGTGTCTACCAAGCTCATATTCTCAAAATGGATCGACCAACGGGATAGATCTACATCAATCGGGAGCTAAAAATAGAAATAAAAAACGATAGACGCCTTCTCTGACACTTTTGAATGATTCATAAATGGTTTGACGTCTTCACTGTCCTCGTGTGTTTATATGATATTGTGTATTGTTGCTCGCAAACCCTCTTCCTTCCCCAGTATCATTCGATTCCACGCTACTTTCTTTCTAGACCGATGCTGCAAGTCGGGCAAAATGCAATTAATCGATACCTAGATTGTATTTATTTATCTCAGCCAAGCCCTGCAGAATTCACTACATAATCAGAACGTGGGTTCTGGGTGGATTTGTAGCTATACCTGTTGGACTTGAACCTGTGCTACTATGATCAGCTAGCTCAAGATAAAGAATTGTCATTGCAATTACCCTGTAAAATTGTAATGCAATAATCTTGGTATCAATCATATTGCTTTAAAGCGCATCAATGCATGAGGCTATTGAATCCGATACCGGATCATGATGAATCAGATACGGATTAGGTGATCAGCCATGATACTTCCATAATCAGAATGGGAGTCACACTCAACACTTTGACTCTTCATAAATACCGCCAACTTACCGCCTCATCTCATGAAATACTTAGACGCAAGTTCAAGACCTTGCAAAATGGCAAATACCGGACTCCAAGCCAAGCTTCGCGCCCTTCCTGTTCTAGAAGGAGCTTCGCATCCCAAATCAGAATTCTCTTCATTCCCCTCAACCCCTCATCTCGCATTCGAGAAATGGCTCGACGAGGCTATATCCTCCAACGTCCCCGAACCCCATGCCATGACCATTTCAACAGTCGATTCCCAAGGCTGTCCCGATGCGCGCGTCCTAATCCTCAAAAACATCGACCAACGCGGCTGGCACTTCGCCATCAAAGCAACCAGCCCCAAAGGTCTTCAAATCTCAACCAACAACAACGTCGCACTGACTTTCTACTGGCCCAAAATCGGACGCCAGATTCGCTTACGGGGAAAAGCAAATGCCCTCCCGAGAAGTGAGTGTGAGCAGGATTGGACGGCAAGATCGGCCATGGCCAAGATCACTGCCAAGGTGTCGAGGCAGAGCGAACCACTTAATGACCCGCATGAGCTGGAGGCCAAGATGGCGGAAGCCGTGAAAAGTCATGAGATTGAGGGACAGGAGTTGAGTTCTGAGGGATGGGTTGTTTATGCTGTTGCGCCAGAGACGGTTGAGTTCTGGCAGGCTTCTAGTGATCGGTTGCATCAGCGATTGCAGTACACTTTGGATCCTGCCCAGAACACCTGGAGCAAAACAGCTCTTTGGCCGTGAATTCTTACACTGCACCAATCTCTATCTTGGAGGATTTGTGTATACGTGCATATACGCCGGGTATAACGCGATTTGGTCTCCCTTATGCTACTAGCGGGCTTACGCGTCCTCGATATCGCCCAGAGTCTAGACCCAAGCCTCACTAATAAACAACTCATATAAAAACACATACAACCTTCGGATCTTGACGTGCCGTTCGTGAAGTCATCGGAGGGATGAAAAAGACGCGAATGCGAAAAAGGGAGGTCGGTAGTTTCGGCCGAACGGGGCTGTGCAGTGCCTGATCGCCAATTGTCAATCACGGCATTGCCCGCTGGGCTGTGTTTTTGTAATTTGGCAATATAACAACATTTAAAATTCCATCAGAAAAATATTTTCTCGCAGAAAGTCAATCTGCTGAGGATCAGTTAGGGAGATACGGAGTACATGACTTTGTATCAGACGATTTCTTGTCAGTGTCTCGCCAAGTTACATGTTGCACATCAATCACCGCATTTCACATAGTATTCGGAACTCGGCTCTTGTATGCAGGTACCTTGATAGAAACTTGGCGCTTGGCTACGAGATATTTGCTTGCCCTGCCCGGTTTAATATGTCTTGTCGCCAAGGGTATTCGGCACGTTTTATACGAGAGGTTATTAGATGGGAACGCTCGGCATGAGTCACCCCCCACAGACGATAACACATGCTTTTTGTCCCTTGGCTGTGTTAGTTTGGAAAAGATTTTCGTTTATCATTTAGTTAGGGCGTGTGTCATTTCTTGGAGTCTAATCAGGAGAGAGTTTACAAGTTCATGATTTGTATATATCGCTGATCCCCCCCATCCTACATAGAACTTTACTTTTCTTCTACTTTACTCACAGTAAATTATTCAGTTCAATTCGATGAAAGACTCTTTTGTTGCAGTTTACTTACCTTTCGCAAATCTGGAGAACTCGCTGGAATTTCTCCTCTTCAGAGGAATCGCCAAGTCTGAAGCAGCAGACTTTGATCCACCTTAAGTTTTGTACGAGCCAGCACTGCCTTTACTACGAAATCTGGTGAACTGACTGTTCAGATTTGGTGTAGAACCCCCAAAACGAATGATCCGTCAACAAATGTCAACACAATGGCCCGCCGCGACACCAACATCCTCGGCCGTCTTAGCCTACGCAACGGCAAATCCCGCGTGCGAACCGCGACATGGCAACTAAACCCAGAACGGGCAACCAAGAGCACACCCGAAGATATCCTTCGCTGGATTGCGTCCATGACTCCTGACACGGCGCTTGCGCATTTGGTCTCGAGCAGCGATGGTATTTCTGAGGCTGAAGCTACGGCGCGACGACGCGTTCAGGGTCAGAATGTTGTCTCGTCGCGAAAGCCGCAGTCTTGGTTTATGTTATTGCTGATTGTCATTCCGAATCCGTTTAATATTCTGTTGATGTTTTTGGCGATTCTTAATGTTGCGATGCCGGATCCTAGTTGGGTGAGTTCTGTTGGAAGAGAGGGTTTGTCATGGGGCTAATAAAGTGATAGGAAGGTTTTGCTGTTCTCATGGTCATGATTGTTATTTCCGTCGCTGTACGCTTCTGGCAAGAGTTCCAAAGCGGTGTTGCCATTTTTCGTCTTCAATCCGCCATCATTCCCAAGATTCGAGTCCGTCGACCCGCAACCTACACCGACGAGCTTCAACTCTCCTGGACTGAGGGCACAGTCCTCGAGACTGACCTCGTCCCTGGAGATATAGTCATTCTTGTTCCTGGTGCTATTGTTCCAGCTGATTGTCTGATTCTTGAGTCTTCATACTTGAGGATCAGTCAGTCTGCTTGGACGGGTGAGAGTGAACCTGTTGGTAAGGATGCGGGACCTCACGATGCGAAGGAGGCTTTCTCGATCTTTGACTTTAGTAATGTTGCACTTATGGGGACGAATATTGTGAGCGGTCATGGTGTTGGACTAGTTGTTCGGACTGGTGATGGTAAGTTCCGCTGGCATCCTTCAGTCCGAGACTGGGATTGACTGACATTGTTAGATGCGATGATTGCGACCATGGTTAAGGAGGTTGAGAAGAAGCGACAACCCAATGCCTTCCAAAAGGGCATTCTCAATGTTACTTGGATGCTCATCGGCTTCATGGTCGTCATGGTTCCCATCGTAAGCAACTCTCGAACCAAATCGCGTGACTCCAACTGACCATCTTCAGGTTCTCTGCATCTCCGGCAAAGTCACTGGCGACTGGAAGAACGCGGCGCTTTTCAGTATCAGCGTCGCGGTCGGTCTCGTTCCCGAAATGCTTCCCGCCATCGTCAACGCCAATCTCGCACGAGCCGCCCATCAGCTTTCCAAGAAACAAGCAATCGTCAAGCGTCTCGACTCAGTTCAGAACCTCGGCGCCATGACAGTCTTGTGCAGCGACAAGGTATGCATTTCGCTTCAGTGACTTAACCACGTACTAATGACGAGGCAGACTGGAACCTTGACCAAGGACGAACTCTCAGTGCACAAGTACTCCAACGCCGAGGGCGAAGACATCCTCAACATCATGGAACTCGCAAAAGTCGACTCTCAAATCCAAGGTAACAGCGGCAACAACATGGACAGGGCTATTCTGCACTATCATCTCCCGAACGGCGACGAAGTCGGTGTAGCGCACTACGAGCAAGTCCGCGTCATCCCTTTTGACTTTGAACGTCGTCGCTCCGGCTGTATCGTCCGCGGCATAACGGGCCAATACCTCCTCATCGTGAAGGGCGCATTCGACGAAGTCCTCACTCGGTGTTCGTCTATGCGCTCAGCTGGGAAGAGCGAGTATCTTAGCACTGAGATGCAGGCTCGGTGGAGACAACTCGCTATGCAGAAGAATATGGAGGGATATCGTGTTCTGCTCGTTGCGTCGCGGATTCTTGGAAAGTCTTATGTCAATGAGCTTGATATGCTTGAAACGAACATGACGCTTGAGGGAATGATTAGTTTCTCTGATCCTCCCAAGGACGACGCCAAAGACGCTATCGCAAGTCTTACTGAGCTCGGTGTTCAAGTCAAGGTCTTGACCGGTGACTCCCTCCCCGTCGCTCTCAACATCTGCCGTTCCCTCGAACTCCTCCAGCACTCCGAAGCAATGGACGACGACGCAGAAGCCATATCCGGCCCTGAACTAGCCCTCCTCGAAGACTCCGACGAATTCGACCTCGCCGTTGAACGATGCAGTGTCTTTGCCAAAGTAACGCCCAAGCAGAAAAGTCTTATTGTTCTCGCTCTTCAAAAAGCCGGTAACTGCGTTGGCATGCTCGGCGACGGGATCAACGACTGTGGCGCGCTTCGAGATGCAGATGTTGGAATCTCTGTTGACTCTGGAGCGGGTGTAGCAAAGGACTGTGCGGATTTGATACTGACGGAGAAGGGGCTTTCGATTATTGTGCGGAGTGTGATTTTGGGAAGGATTACGCATGGTAATACTATAAAGTATATCAAGATGGTCGCTTCGTCCAACTTTGGTAATGTCTTTAGTATTCTGGCTGCTAGTGCTTGGCTCCCTTATACGCCGGTAAGTCGCTTATCATACCTTGCAGGGAGTATGCTAACTAGGGTATAGATGACTAGCATTCAACTTCTCGCTCAGAACTTGCTCTACGATATCAGTCAGATCGCCATTCCTTGGGATCGCGTTGATGAAGAGTACTTGACTCGACCACGACAATGGAACGCAAAGGGTATGTTTCTTGTTTTTCCGTATGGACATGTCTAACAAGTAGCAGATATCCTTAAGTTCATCGTAGTCCTCGGTCCTACAAGCTCAGTCATCGACATGTGCACCTTTTCTCTCAACTGGTTCTACTATGGTATTCGAACTACCTCCGATAACATCAAGCTCGCGCAAACACATTGGTTCCTTGAAGGGTAAGCTCCTCTCAACCCTTTTCTTTTCTACATCGCTAACACTGTGACAGTCTTCTCACCCAGACCCTGATCGTCCACTTACTCCGCACCGCCAAGGTTCCTTTCATCCAGAGCCGTGCAGCACCGATCCTTGTCTTCTCCACAGCGTCGATCATGGCAATTGGTTTTGTGCTACCCTGGATCCCGGCTTTTAGGCCTGCGTTCAGCTTTGCTCAGCCAGCACCTACCTTTGTTGGATTCTTGGCTGCTGAGCTGTTGCTTTATACCGTTGAGGTGCAGATTGTCAAGATGATCTACATGAAGATCTTTGGTACGTGGCTGTGAACAGATCACCAAAGCACAGAACAGGAGTTGGATGACATGCGACTTCTGGTGGAATGATGGGGGGATAGGGTTTTTTATCGGTTTGCCCGGTTTTCCCTATCTTGTAGTAGAGGTATCTCTTTAGTCTTTTAATCTATATAGCTCTTTTATTCTTCTAGTATATTTCCCATTACTTCTCATCTTTGCTCTGTTTGCTGTGTATAACTCTTATGGACATGGATACCTTGTTTGTCGACGTTCTCCCCTGAGCTCGAGTTTGTGGAGGCTGCGTGGCCTACAGCCGAGTCACCCGTTATCCGGTTGGTCAACTCAACCTCATCATCATGGTCTCCAAGCCTAAGCTTATCGCTTCCGCCAAAATACTTAGACCCTCCATACGTGAACAAAGGCCCCATTGAGTTCGACGTAGCGCTCTTCCACTGCTTGGACCCATTCCCTGTTCCTTTTGCATCTTGGCTGCCGAACGTTGAAGAGATTTTGTCCCGAACTATATGTCGCAACGGTGCAAGGTGCGGAAGACATGCGGATACAATTGCGATACACGGTTCGAGGTCGGACCAGATGAAGACGGGCCCCATGGCTCTCGTGACGTCCTCGGTCTTAGAAAGCTCGGTGAGGAAGTGGATGCGTACGGCGCTAGCAGCGCAGACGCTATGGTCCATAGTTAGTTAAGAGGTATTCGCAGCCAAACATGAGTAACTTACAAACCACCTAGCATAAGAATGCCAGCAATGCCGATCCTCTTCCTCAGTGACATTTGTAGCCGAAAGATATGCGGTATAGGGATAAGCAGGATATAAAAGTCGTTGATCATGTTGATGATACCAAGGGCGAGAAAGAACGTATTGATGTCAATGCAGGTCCCCTCTGTGCCCGCGAACTGAGTCCAAAAATGGTTCAATGGTCTACAGACGTTACCCATGGTGACCCAGACCACTATGGGATACGATATGGAAAGAAAGTACCCGAACTTCATGGAAAGGGGGAAGAGACGCTCCGTGGAGAGGAAAATGCGGCTGTAGAAGAGGAGGATCGAGATCTTGATGACGGCACAGGATGCAGAGTACAAAAATGTGTATCCGAAAAGTATCTGCGATAATTAGTTGCAGGGGAAGCTAGATCGAAGGGGAGACGAATTCACCTTGTAGATTTGTTGCAGGTTGCTCAGGTCGACGGCCCATATATGCTTACCTGCACCGTAATGGCCACCTGAGAACTGTTAGTACGAACATGAAGCGGATCTTCGTGATACTAGCTTACCTGCTATGGCTAAGCCTGCAGTCCCTCCCACCAGCGCCTTGTCCATTGTCAACCACTCGAACTTTGGATTTGGTGTTGAATCAGCATTACCATAGAGACAATGATAACCCAGTCATCCCAGTGTATCTTGGTCTGCTGGATATTTCTAGCGGTAAATCGAAGTGCGATGGCGATCAGGGCGAGTAATAATACACTGATTATAGCGGCTCTGTCGGAGGCTGCAGTGTTGGCAGTGAGGTCGACGTCAGGGGGTGGAGGGCCGGCGAAAGCGATGATTCGAGGGTCGATCGCGGAATCCATTGTTGACCAGTGTCTCGAGGGATTCTGAGGACGCAAACACCCAGGGATTCAATCCGTGGATAGACCTAAAGAATGGAAGGAGAATTATAAAAACAAAATAAAAAGCATGGCCATGTCCCAGTCTGAGACAGCTGTTGGCAGGAACATATTTACGGATCAAGTTTGATGCTTATGCTTAAGGACAAAGTAGGCAATGCCGAGGGACTTCCGAGATGCGCAGCCGACAAACCAACATACTGTTGTTGCTGGGTGTCATTTGCTTGCATGAGGAGATTTCAGGTTCCTTTGCACATCTGCTACCAACTTTACGTTGCATCGAATCACAACCGCACCAACCAAATAATCTTCCGGGCATTTCCGCCTTGTTCCCACAGGCGTGTGTCGGACCGTGTTCCGCTGCCCAATCGGTTTCACGCAGGGGACCAGGGTTCGCCATTTCTGGATTCTGTTCCTGGAGGGTGTTGTCCGTCTTGGCCTGTCAGTTGGTTCACAAACACAACTGATTACTGACATAAGGTAGCATTGCCAAGCTGGTGACGCGTTTCTTTCACATCTTATGATATGGCACTATTGGGTATTGCGCTGAATGTATTATAAAAGTAGGGTAATATTTGCAAGCATCAACATTACTTTCATGAATCATGACTATGTGTTTTATATGGACGCCATACTCGCTCAGCTCTCTTGTATCGTTGTTTCTGGTTTATAAAAAGGGAATGGTATGACAGTATCTAATGTATCGGCTCCTCGGAAGTTCTGCCTAATTGAGCAACTCATTCTGGGGGGTCAGTCAACTGTCAAGGGCCAACAGTCAAGGGTCGGCCAACAGTATCAAATGCCTGTCTATCGTAGTCAATGTAACATAAGAACACACAGCCGTGCTAATATCTTCAGTGCCCCAGATTTTTCCCAATTCTCAACTTCTTTAGGCATTGTTCATCTTCCAAGTTTGAACCATATCACCTCTACTAACATGTCGTCCACTTTGAGCGATGTCCCTGAGCTGACAGCCATTGAGCGTGTTGGGCCAAGAGGCTATCTTCGCTATGTTTTCCCAATGCGGTTATCAGATAATACCTCTCCTGACAGGGCCATGGAGGTTCTTAAAGGGGGGTATAAATCTGCTTGCCACAGAATTGGCTCTATGGCTTCAGAGGCAGTACCCGATCTCGAAGAAAAGCAGGCGAATGTACTGAAGCTGCAGAAATTGCCCGAGGATTTAATCGGGCACATGACTTTCAAAGACTTACGAGACTCGGAGAAGTATGAATGGACTTACGAAGACCTCAAAAAGAAGCACTTCCCCATCTCAGCATTCGATGCCGACCTCCTTATGCCCGGCCCTCTATGGCCTCAACCAGGGAAACCTGTGCACATTTCTCTAGCACAAGCCAACTTCATCCGTGGCGGCGTGATAATCGGATGGTGTGTTTTTCACATGGTTGGCGATGCAACTACCTATCTCACTTGGACCAAGATCTGGGCAGAAGAGTGTCGCCGCATCCAGGGACTTGAGATTTCAAGTCCAGTTGTTATTGATGAGGCCATGCTTGCCGACAGGTCGCTTGTCACTAGACCTTCTGGCCGCAACAAAGGACGTCCCGAGGATCACCCGGAGTATACTATTCTACCGTTTACGCCAACGGGTGCATCTCCCGCTATGCTGAGCACGACATTCCGAGGGCAGGTGTTTTATTTTTCTCCATCGGCGCTTGCGTTTCTCAAAGCTGAAGCATCGCCTGATCGTCTGACTAGGCCAACAGACCAGCGATGGATCTCGACCAACGATGCCTTTTCAGCTCTCATGTGGCGTACTGCAGTGGCCGTTCAAGCACCTATCGAGAGCCTAGAAGATGGCGAGAATCCACACTCTGTGTTCAACATTGCCGTGGATGGTCGAAAACGTACCGACCCTCCAGTCCACCCCCAGACTCTAGGCTGCTTTCTTCAGTACATTTCTGTCTCAGCGCCGATTCGAGAAATCTTGACGACTTTGAGCCTGGCAGACCTGGCGGTACTTATACGCAAGGAGGTGAATCTGCGCCTAAACGATCAATTCACCGATGATGTTGTGACACTTATCGATCAGTTGGAAGATGTGACGAGGCTAGTTCCAACGGCCTTCTTGGACGTGCTGGGAAAATCATCTGTACAGACATCATGGGCTGAGTTTGACCTTGCAACTGTGGAATGGGGGCCAGTATTGGGAGATAGGATTGAGGCGATTCGGTGTCCTAATACGGGGATTTTGCCTGGCTGCCACGTTGTTCTGCCGACTTTGTCAGATGGCGGTATTGAGGTAGTATTTGGCACCGAGGGAGGTCTGTTGGAAAAGGTCGTTGATGATCCACTATGGATGAGGTTTGCTGTACCAAGATAGTCGTGATGTTCTGAGCAAGTGCCCGACTTCCGCGCTCATTTGCCGCTCAGTTCCGCGGAACAGGAGCCAATCGGATGCGTCCAACTGCCGAACTTCGATCGGCGGCTCAAATGACCAAGATAAACAGAGTCAGAAAACTGGACATCTGGACTAGACTTCATCACAAGAATTGAAGGACAAGTAGATTAAGTAGTATTCAAAAGATAGTTACTACATAGTCTACAGTCGTTGAATAGATATCCCAGGTCACGTCTATCGATCTATGACCAGATTCTATCCAATGGCACATGAGGAAACCAGAGACTAACCAATCATAGGCCATACAATTGAAGTGCCGAGGAGCAAATCACACTATTCCCAACAAGGAAAGGCTTCCTCGGAGCTCATCAACACTCGCATCTGGGGTAAATCCGGGGCATCCTACTATCAATCATATCTTGATACAAATACTCACCCTCTACTCCTCAAGCATCCCTACCTCATCCTCCAATATCTCCCCCTGTCAAAATCTTGCAATCATGGCTCTCACAGAACTCTTGATCTCTCCCTGGGCACCTCTCGCCCTCGCCGTTGCTCTCGTAGCATGGTACATCCTCCCATGGATCAGCAACTCCAACCTCCGCGGCATTCCCGCTCCCTTCCCAGCACAGTTCTCGAACCTCTGGTTACTATCTACATGTCGTCGTGGAAAGCGATATGAGATTGTTGATCAAGTGCATAAGAAGCTGGGTGTTTTGGTTCGCATTGCGCCGAACCATGTTAGTGTTGCTGATGTGGATGCTATCAACACTATCTACGGCCACGGAAATGGTTTCCTAAAGGCGTGAGTTTAATCTGGTATTATGATATAAGGGGCACAGAGCTAACGAATTAGTGACTTTTATGATACCTTTGTCTCTATTCGTCGGGGTCTCTTCAACACTCGCGACAGAGCTGAGCACTCTCGCAAGAGAAAGATCGTGTCGCATACTTTTGCGCCCAAGTCTGTCTTAGAGTTTGAGCCCTATATCCGACAGAATCTCGATATATTTATCAACCAGTGGGATCGCATTGCTAGCAACAAGGAAGCTGATGGCTATGGAAGCGTTGACTGCCTCAACTGGTGTAAGTGCATATTAACCTAACTCCTGGATCATACTGACATTCTGTAGTCAACTTTCTTGCTTTCGACATCATCGCTGATCTCGCGTTTGGCAAGCCCTTCGGTAAGTCCAAACAAGAAGATCACACTAGGATGAAACTGACACTACCAGGCATGCTCTCAACTGGTGCCGACATCGCTGAAGTCAAAGTCTCCCCCACTAGTCCCACCATCTACGCACCAGCCGTCGAGATCATGAACCGCCGCGGCGAAGTCTCCGCCACCCTCGGCTGCCTCCCCCAACTCAAGCCCTACGCCAAGTATCTCCCCGACCCCTTCTTCAGCCAAGGTCTCCAAGCCGTCGAGAACCTCGCCGGCATCGCCATCGCCCGCGTCAGCGAGCGTCTCGAGCGCGGCGGCGATTCCACCCGCAAGGATCTCCTCGCTCGTCTCATGCAGGGCCGCGATGAGAAGGGCGAACCTCTTGGTCGTGATGAACTCACCGCTGAAGCACTTACCCAACTCATCGCTGGGAGTGATACTACTTCTAACTCTTCTTGTGCGCTGCTGTATCATGTTGTTAGAACGCCGGGGGTTATGCAGAAGCTTTTTGAGGAGATTTCTGCTGTCGTTCCTGAGGACGTTGCTATTCCGGACTATGAATCTGTTAAGCATCTTCCCTACCTTGGCCACTGCATCAACGAGACACTGCGCATTCACTCCCCCTCTGGTATCGGTCTGCCCCGCGAGATTCCCCCCCACCACAAGGGCGTTACACTCCACGGACGATACTTTGGCCCGGGCACTGTTCTCAGCGTTCCTACCTATACGATCCACCATTCTACTGAAATCTGGGGCGCTGACGCTGATGAGTTCAAGCCTGAGCGTTGGGAGAACTTGACTGATAAGCAGAAGAATGCTTTCATCCCCTTTAGTTACGGACCTAGATCTTGTGTTGGAAGGAACTTGGCTGAGATGCAGATGAGACTTATTGCTGCTACTTGGATTAAGCGATATGATGTTCGTTTGAGACAGGATGTTATGGAGACAAGAGAGGGATTCTTGAGAAAGCCTATGGGTCTGGACGTTGGATTGGCGCGACGATGAGGGATCGGAAAAGGAGGAAATTGCATGTAAAATAGAGGCGTAGCGGATCGAAATGACATTCATGACTTTCTACATAAGTGTCCCATCTATCTGTGAATTGAACTAAACCTCCAGTCGTTTGCCCTGAGAAACATCATGGCATAGCCTCGTTGCCTATCGGTCTGATAAGTAGCCATATCACCTTTCTCACACTCTCCTCTTCCTTATCATCCTTTCGTCTATCCTTATCGACCTTCCTCATCTCCTTCTCATACTCTCTCTCACACTTCTCCCTCTCCCTATCCAATTTCTTCAACTCCCTCTCCAACTTGCGAGGCTCATCTGCATGCTTCCTATGAACCTTTGCAAAGTCCTCTTCTATCTTCCGCATCTCCTTGTCATAGTCCTCCCGTGCCTTTCTTGAATCCTCAGTCCAATCTTCATGCGCCTTGGCTCTATCTTTGGTCATTTTCTTCTCCTCCTTCTTTCGCTGCCGTTCACTTGTCGAAGCATGCATTTTACTTACAAAGTTATCCGGTACATGTAGTTCAGGTAAGGGTGTAAGGTCGAGTGGTGCAATCCACGGCTCAAGGGCTTGAAGTCTGCGTTGCTGTACCGTAACCGGAGACCGAGCCGAAACATCTTCCAATGGCCCAAGAATCATGCTGTTCTTCTGGATCTTCCCCTCCTCATTGAGAATGGGCATCCGAGCATAACGAGCAACGACATCTAGCTTGGCAAACTCTGCTTTGAGACCTCTAGGCATGAAGAGTTCTTTATTCGCCGTGCTGAGGCAAATCTCACTTCGAGATTTACTTATGGCGTATGTCGAAAGAGTAGCTGCCGCATTAACCGAGTTACCTACGATTTGTGCGGTGTGCAGTGGTATCATTGATACAATACTGCCGGCCAATCCTAGTATCTGGACTGGCGGGCTTGCGACGGTAGCACGGTTGAGGTCATCGAGAAATCTGAGGAAGACTTCCCGAGGGAGATGGTATTGGTCTTCGAGGATAGGTGGAAAGGCTCGTAGGAAGGGAGAGCCGAGTTTGGAGCTTGTTGCGGGAATAGCAATGGGCTTCTCTGATGATTGAAGTGTAGGTTGCTCAGGTGTTTGGATAGGTAGAGTACGAGGTTGGCTCGCCCCTGAGAATGTTGGTGCTGAAGTTGTTGCACCAAGGCTGGAGTATGGCGGAGGCGCATCAGGATAAGAGTAGCTGCGAGTATCCATCTTTGAAACCATTTTGTTAGCGACAAGAATGATGGTGTTTAATGATACCGATCAGTAGTGACTGCTGAAGTGCGAGCGTTTATATATTAAGCCAGTCTACCTATATCTTCTCATAGCTGGGTGAGAGCTAAACCGGAATCAGTTAGTCATTCGAGCAGGAGGCCTGGAGCATAAGCTTTAGCAAATAGCGACATCAGATTGGCTTGCGCCTCACCAGGAACTCCATCCGAGATTCCCTTTATGTATTAGGGAGATAGCATCATATCTCAAAAAGGCCATCTCGGCACTTTCGGCAGCTGATCATCGGCAGCGTCGTCGATCCAAGTTGATAAGCGATAAAATAGCAACAACTACGAGTGGCTGTGAAGCTTCGGCATACCCACCTTGGTATTCCCTGCAAAATGAGGCTAGTACATATCGGGTAGGATAGCGCGAGGTACGGACTAGAGCAAACAAGCATGATAAAGTAACTTGTATTAGGCCGAGGAAATAATCTAGCTCTCAATGATTACTCTGACTCCATTACTTCCACTCTCCGTCATCGGAATGAACATGTCATGGTCATAGCGAACATCCTTCTCCGTCGTTTCGTACAGACGCATGCAGGGCATCACTCTCAAGACCAGAGCTGCAAGAGAGAGGTACAGCTCGCATAATGCAAGACTGAGAATAGTTAGCAAAGTTTTAACGGGTAAAAGTGTGTCTTACTTTTTACCAAGACATCCACGACTGCCCTTTGAAAATGCAATCATAGGCTTCTCCAGATCCTTTCTGAGCTTGTTGTCCTCATCGATCCATCGTTCGGGAGCGAAGGTATACGAGTCTGGGAAGACAGACTCATCGTGGTGTGCAATAGCCGCTGACATGCCAATTGCATAACCTCGAGGCAGCACCAAAGTCGTCGGCTTCTTGTTGAATTCTCCCTTGTAAACGAGGTCTTCTGTTGTCGGCACTCGAGCTGTGCGACTAGAAACTCCGTATGATAGACGTAGACCCTCATTGATCACAGCTCCAAGATATGGAAGCTGCTCTAGTGTCGTCCATGAAGGTAAGTGGCATGGATCGTCAACAACTTGCTTCAGTTCATCTTGTAACTTCTTCAAAGTTTCAGGCTGCGATAAGAGGAAAAATGTTATCACAGCCAAAGCCCAGCTCGTCGTCTCAGTCCCGGCGTTGACAATAGTAACAGCCTCCTCAACAAGACGATCCTGCTTCTTCTCGCTATCATCTAGCTCAGATTGCAGTAGATCAGCGAAAATCGTAGGTCGATCATAGACAATGCCTGCATCCAGTTCATTCTTCGTCTTTTGGACACGCGAAGGAATGTCGATTTGTAAAGTTCGAATAAGAAGCGCTATATCAGTCGGAAGAACGTTAATAAAATATTTACCCAGCTTAACGCTAGAAACAAGAATCGGAAAAAATCGAAAAAAGAACACTGGTTTGAGAACCGCGAGAGTAGCTTCGCGGTAATTAGGCTGCCACTGATTTCGCGACAGTAATCCAAAAGCTTCGCCGAAGCAGTAGCTCGAAATAGCATCAGAAGTAAAACAACTGTAAGCATGAGCGATTTCGAAAGGTTTGCGATCTTTTTCATCCCTGTTCTCGGCCAGAAGTTTGTTGCAGAGCTTTTGCGCTAGGTCGTGGACTTCTTGCTCGAGACGTGCGATCATAGCGCGTGAGAAGAACTTGGCGACGGGCGCACGTCTTGCGCGATGGAGATCGTGATCAGGGGTGCCAAAAGCGTTTCCTGTACCAGCTGCTGAGCCGTTGACTTGATGGAAGGGCTTGTCGCGTTTGCGACCGCCGACAGCGTAGATTTCATCCGAGAAGGACATATCGGCGCAGTGCAGCTCATTGGGATTGATGCGGATAATGGGGCCTGGAAGAGAATTAGAGCTTTCCGTTACGACTTGCTGAAATAGTCCTACCATATTTTTCGTGCATTTGCTTGATGGTATGGGTATAGCGACCGACGAGGATCACATCGTAGTAGAATTCAGGTAGGTATGTAGCCGCAGCGAGTTTCGGACCAGGGATCTTGCTCAGCGGATGAAGAGGCGAGACATTATATAACGCCTGCAGAACTTTGAACACAAACCACGCCGATACAAGAGCTACTGCCCAGTCTCGAGCCGTCAGCGATGTTAAAGTGCCGTGAAAGGCTGACCAAGTAGCGTCCGCCATTATGTTTCAAGCTTAACAATATCAGGATGGGGATTGGCGGAGAACAAGAGGTTTTTAAACAGAGGTTGATCAATTTGTTTCTTCCTTCAATCACATGATTAATATCCGTTTGCCCTCTCGCTTGCTCGGAACAATGTAACCCTTGAAACGTCTATTTAGCTCCATGAGGCTATCACCTCCGTCCTTATGGGGCTGAGTTCTTCATCGTCGACCCACAGTCCTCCGCGCCAAGGGAACGTGCTTGATGAATCCACTTCTCGAAGGTTTCTTCGTAAGGCTGTCCAGTGAGAGTTGACCAGAATTTTGGATCTAACTTCTTAGTTCACGACTCTCCGATCCGAACGTCCTTTATGCTGGATTAAAGGATTAGGTTATCGTTCAATCCTGGACTCCTGTGGCTTTTATTTGTCTAGAGACTTTGATGCTTTGTAAAATCATGAAGTTGAAGAACGGGAACGTAGTTCCATCAAGCTTCGATGACTACCGCAGTATCAATATCAAAACTAAAAGTCGATATAGCTCTCCTTCTAGCTCTTTAAAACTCACAGTAGACTTGAGATAAGGTGTTCCTTCAGCGACCAGGTAAAGCTAAGTTCTGCATCTCGCTAGTTCCTCAGACGCAGCGAGTGGTAGTTTCAGCTAACCTACACCCTTAAGCAGCTGCACCTCCATATCGATTCTTTTCTCAGCTGGCCTACTTTTCTGCGATCATATTTTCGTCATAAGACGCATGTGGAGTCTAAAAACATATTTGAGCTTACTTCTGAGGTTTTGGGTGACGTTCAGGGGACCAAGCGGCATCACTGGTTTGAGTACTGGTCGCGGCTTTTTCCCCATTGGCTCACGGATTATGACGGAAAGCAGGTAATGAGGGGATGCCCTGAAACGGCAGCATATAATTACCAATGCCTTCGCCTTATTGATGACCTGGGAAGCTTTACTAGTCCAGGCTAAGCAGCAATTTTCTTTCTTCCAAGAAGACCCTTGGACAGAACATACACATAGTCAAGTTTGCAAGATGCATATACAAGAATAGCGGGCGAAAGACCGTTTAAACGCCAGATCATCTAACTAGCCCCGAGTTAGTATGAATTTGCGAATTAACTACAGTCAGCCATTGGTTACCCTTAAATCTTAGACGCATATGCCCAGGGACATCCGGGTAAATCGCGACCTAACCCGTTGCTCATCAGTTTCCTTGCCCTTACGAAAACTCGCGGGATAACTTCCATGATAAGCAGTAAATCCATGCCGAGCGATAAATATTCCATCCACTGGCTCTTCAATGCTTTAGCCTCAATTGTGCCTGATTGGCATACCTTGCAAGTATGGTGTAGCCTGTCAGACCCCGCGCCCTAGGGCTGCAGAGCCAAGGGCTTGTGAATCTGGTTCCAGCAATGATGAGCGGGACTTGCGGCGCAACACCACGAATAGAGCTTGCTCCGACTTGGCTACAGCAAGGGTCCTTGGACTTTGTCTCCATCTTATCATTTATACGGCCATGCACTAATACAGTTTTGACCGTATTTTTCTGCTTACTTTTCTGTTATAATCTCATCTCGCTGCCCTTTTGTTCCTTACAATCTTGGGACCCAGATATTGTCAAGAACAGCTACGAAAACGGGCAACGAAACCATGCAGCTGTCTTATGGAATACTCACTGCGTTGCTGAGCGCATCATCGCTCGCTGCGGCCTCGCCGACTCAATCCGCTAGCGATCTCATGCTAGAGCTCAACAGCAAGGCGACCAGTGCGCTAGAAAATGTCCAAGCACCAAGCAGTCGCAAGAAGTGCACAATTGCCAATGCCGACGTGCGCCGGGATTGGTAAGTTGACCTCCAAGATGCATTGAGCAGTGGCTAACAACTAGTACAGGAAAGTTCTCTCAAAGAAGGAGAGAAAGGCTTATATTAAAGCCGTTCTATGTCTGCGAAAGAAACCTTCCAAAGCGGACCCTTCTTTCGCACCTGGCGCACGCACCAGATATGACGATTTTGTGGCTGTGCATATCAACCAAACTCGCTCCATCCATGGAACAGTCGGTTCTCGTCCTTCTCGAGTCACTGATCGATAGCTAACAGTTATTGAAGGGAAACTTCTTCACCTGGCATCGATACTATACCTGGACTTATGAAAAGGCTCTGCGAGATGAGTGCGGCTACAAGGGCACCCAGCCAGTAAGTGATCTACTTAATGGCCTACGATAAGAATTTCAAGCTTACAATCGACTTTAGTATTGGAACTGGTTTGAGACCGGCGACTATGCTACTAACCCCCTCTTCGATGGCTCCGAGACCAGCATGAGCGGCGACGGCGAGTTCTTCAAGCACAACGGCTCTGTTTCTGGCCAAGGAGCTATTTATCTTCCAAGCGGCAATGGAGGTGGCTGTATCAAGAAAGGTCCCTTCGCCGGCGCGACCGCTAACCTTGGACCTCCCTCTCCCGGCATGGACGGAATGAAAGCCACCGCTACGCCTCTTGAGTACAACCCTCGGTGTCTCCGTCGAGATCTCAGCCGCTACGCGATTGATAAGTGGATGACTCTACCTAAATTGTACAATGTCACTCTTGGTGATGCTTCACGCAGCATTCAGGTCATGCAGGATGAGTTCCAAGGCCGGTTTCCAGATCTTTTCTTGGGCTTGCACGCAGCTGGTCATTTTGCTATTGGTGGCGACTCTTCTGACCTTTACTCTTCTTCTAACGAGCCTATTTTCTTCTTGCATCATGCCATGGTAGATCGTATTTACTGGATCTGGCAGGCTTTGCATCCCAAGCAGGCATGGGATATTGCTGGTACTATCACTATCGGGAACAGGCCTCCTAGTCGAGACGCTTTGAAGTCTGATCCACTGAACATGGGAGTTAACGCAGCTGAGATCACCGTCGACGATGCACTTGACACCTTGGGCGGATCTCCATTCTGTTACATCTATCTCTAAGGGTTCAGCAGAAAACATGACATTTCACTGCGTTCTTCATAGCAATAAAATTCGCCTAATTCCCAAGCGAGTCGTCCGTTAAGCAAGGACAAATCTAGACTCGGTCACGAGGTGACCAAGAACCTTATCATCCAGTGAGAACAAGATTTGTTTAAATAGAAGCACGCTAGAACCCCCGGACTCTCCATGGAGTTGGAGTAGATGCGTCTGTCAAAGTGTCACCCAACTGGGCCGACTCCACCTCGTCAGAAGCCGCTCTAGCTCTACCAGAGTTTACCAAATATGGACTTAGTCGACGCCTCAACATGCCTGACAGGCCGACTATTGTCTTAAGTCAGGTCAAAGTCACTCCATTTAAGCGAGTGCTAGACCAATACAATTGCTTTGCTAGAGGCTAGAACTGAACCAGACCGTTGGGTCAACTGATCTACCGAAGTTTATGATATACGAGAAAAATATGCCGAACTAAGGAATGGAGACGAGATGAATCGAAATGGGTACTTAAATAGCCCAATGAGGACTTCATTTTAACCTTTTCTTGCTTTGATTGACGAAATAACCTTTGACGTCTGTTAAGGGAAAATGGTTTCATTCAAGAAAGTTCTGACGCTGTTGTTCGTCGGTGCGGCCAGCGCACTTCCAGCAGCTGACAGCAATGGCCGACTGACTGATTTGATGCTCGATAAGAAGGACCTCTTAGACTCAAGAGCAGGTTCGTAAACCTCTTGCGTAAACCTCTTGCACAACGGAACTCGACTAACAACTAACCCTTTTTAGTCTGCAAGGCCAATGACCCCAACTACCTAGCCTTCAAGAAAAACCAAGCCAACGGGTCCGCGTTTGGCTCGAACTACATCCAAAGCACTGTATCTACTACCATCACGCCCATAGTCCGGAGTACCTCAACGAGAGTTACAGTCACCACGACTACCCTGGTCGGTATAAAGACCATCCGAACTACCATCTTTTTCGTGACCGTCACTACTGCGACAAAGACCGATTTAGCTACAGTAACTCTGACAAGCACTGCCCTTGTTACTGATCTCACAACTAAGACGCTTACGAACACGGCGACTAAGAGAGTCACCAACACAAAGGCGGTTCAGGTGGCTGTGACGGATGTTGAGCAGGTTACCCAGAGGATCACAACTGGGCTCACTACGACTGTTACTGTCGATGCTGATGTTACGCTTACAACGGATGTAACCGACGCTGCTACTGTTGATATTCTGACGACAGTGTCAACCACGATTTCCACTCTGTAAGTACTTACCGAGCATTACCAGCAAGAGGATATATACTAACAAAGACTCAATTAGTGTTACGTGAGTCTTTGCAACTATGACGTTGAAATATTATATGTTCCTAACAGTCGTGATAGAGCACCAACTCCCACGGTCTATGTTCCCGAAAGTAAGTTCTTCCATCTCCCAACATCACCGAGTCCGCACTAATAGTTCCCCAGCGGAGGTTCACTGCAAAGTCGTCGGTAATGCAGATGATACCAACTATTGGAGTGGGGGATCCGGCCGGTCAATCGGAAATCCCAGCTTTAGCGTATGCAGAGACTTTTGCTCGAGCGATTCAGAAGCCGCCAGCTTCGGTTTCAACAAGGTCGAGTGCGACTGCTATAATGGCACAGTGTAAGTCATCGCCAGTGCTGCGCATGTTCTTTGCTTGTTTACAGTACTGACTTCGATAATAGGAGTGCTGCGGTTTCACCAGACCCTTCATCTGACTGGACATTCTACGACATGTTGTGTGGTTCCGCCAATCAGGTAAGTCTCAACATCGAACTTCACATACATTACAAGTAATACTAACTATCCTTGAGCCTTCGCGTTTTAAACGAGCAGTGAAGGCATTCCAAGCCCAAATACCCGATTATCTACCCAGCAAAGCTCCCAGCGCCGTGAGCAGCGCGTGTTCATGCCTAATCGCCAGCCCCTCTGCCCCCACGACTACCACCTTCACCGCCAAAGCCTCCAGGACTATCACTACCACACAAACCCGAACGAATACTTTCTCTGTCAACAAGCTAAAGACCACAGTATTTCTGGACCGGCAGACGAGCACCTCTACCAGCTCAACAAAGACCGTAAAAACAGGCTCCCAGACTGTAACCCAAACGAATCGGAAGAGCGCGACGGTCACGAAGCCTGTTACTGTGACGGTTACCAACTTCAACACTGTTTTGGTGACTAATACTAATGTTGTTGATGCTACAAACTACAATACGGTTTTCGTTACGAATGTTAATACCGTGGCTGAGACGGATTATAATACTGTTGTTGTGACGAATGCGGAGGGGTTCACGGTTACTCAGTTTTACACTACTGTGCAGACTGGTGTGGCTACGAGTGTGATTACACCGGATGCATATACTACGACCAGTGGAACAACAACTATCTGGGGGTCTTAAAGTCACTAGTGCTTAGAATCTGTAGCTGTATTATTACAGATCAATGAACACCTCAGTTGCATCCTTCTCCTTATGCATTTGTTCATCGGTTCCCAGAAATGCCTCTAATTTCTAATTTCAGCACTTATTCAAAATAGAAACCAACACACGGAGTTGTGATGTTTGGTACATACAGACGGCATTTGCTCTTAAGCTTCGGGCTATTCTCGATCACTTCTGACATAGGAGTCATTCTTTTGGGGAGGAGCAAGCTGTGGCATCCGCCTTAACCTCGTGCGCCAGCTCGCGTCTCGCCGCCGGAATGCCACTTGTACGGAGGTCTACGCTGGATGGCCCGTCAGTGAACGATGTGAGCAATTATCTGACAGCTTAAAAAATTATCCCATGTCCCATACTGACTTAAGACAGCTCAAACAGGCTAGGGCACAAGTTTTGACTCTTGATTTTCTCGATGAGACCTCAATTAAGTCTGCCGTGAATGATTATGAGAAAGCCCCTCTCGATGTTCTTATCAACTGTGCAGGTTTATGTCACTTTTGGTAAATTGAAAACGGGAGATCTAACAGCTTAATTACTAGGAATTGGTCCCGAGCCAGACGTTTAGCACTAACACACGGCAGACATTCTCATGGAAAAGTTTCGCACCAGTACTGTAGTATATGGACTCACTACCTCTATAGAGACATATGGCGTGAGTCTGACAGCAAGTCCAGGGCCCATTTCTCACGACCAAGTACTTCTACCTCAACCTCAAGCTCGCGAACTGGCGTGTCTACAATGTCTCATCCAAAGCTAGTATCTTCAGTAGGCGATCTTCTAAGAGTAACTGGCTTTTCAGGGCTACCTCAGAAGTAGATAATATCCAGGGTCAAGATCTGGCTTGCCGTCTATCAAAGACAGCTCTGAACCAGCTGACAGCCACCATGGCTGCTGAATTCACAAACAACGGCGATAGAATCGCTGTCATTGCTGTTTACCTTGGGAGTTTGGCTACGTGGCCACTCGGCTTTCAAGGTTCAGATCTCGTTACAACATGAGAGAGTGCATCCAAGGTGTGGTCCGTTTCATTAAGAACACAGGCCTGAGCGAAGGCGGATCTTTCGTGGCCTGGAAGGGACAAGCAATGCCTTGGTAATTGGGAAATGCTTTGGTCATGAATGTATTGTCCTATTCTCGTGCTAATATGTAACCTAGGCACAGACTACTCAGATGTAATATATAAGTATGTTCCATAAAGAGTTCCAGTTAGTCACAGTCACAAGGTAAATGATTTAGTAGATAAAATGAGTGCAACTACGAGCGAATCTGAAATCTGTGGCTTGCTGTACTCAGCTGAAATGCTGCCAACACCAGTAAATAAACAATAGCTCTCGATACCGTCAATAGCGTCACAACTATTGATTGCTCAAGGCCTTTGAGGCTTTCGCCAGCCATTCATCTTTAAATGCATAATCGGCATGGGGAATTTAGGGTCTACGTCAAAGCAATATTTGCTGAAGAGGAGAGCTCAGGTAAGACATGGCGCTAGGCCCAGAAGCGTCCAAACCCGAGATGGCCACGCACCTGACACAATCGGGCCTAGCGGTACTGGAAAGTGGAGTCTTAAATCCACCGGGATTAATACAGGATGTGAGGGCTGGATGAAATGGAGGGTTGGTGATAGTGGGCCTATTGTGAGGCTGGATTACGATAACCCTTATGTCGGGGCTAATTCTTACTCCTGCAGCGTTGACTCAGCTAAATATACTGTTGAGAGGGAGGGGGGGACTGGTGATCATGCAACTGTCAAATTTATCGTCAACAACAAGTAGCTATGATTCTAGGGGAAGAGGCGCTTTCTATCTGTATCTAGTTCTTTCTATCAATTTGTTTCTTTTTACTCTGAATCTTCAAAGAAACGCTTGATGCAGTTATTCTGACCAGTTGAAGGTGCACTGCTGGGTACTTGAAAGTGTCGCCATTTGGCTCCTGGTTGAGGTTGGTTGCTAAGAAAGCGAGTTGTCAAAGGCCAAGAAGAAACTTTGTCAAACTACCTTGGTATCTAGATACGTTATGAATTAAACCTACCCGTCTTTGCCCAAATCCTCTTCAAATGATACACAAATCAACTTTGGTGATCTCTTCCCATTCGCTATACTCAAACCAACTTGCCCACCACGAAGAGGAAGCTTTCTCCTCTTCTCTCCGTCTGAAGAGATACCAGGCTCCTTTATTGTCACATCTCACGGTATAGTGTCCAACGCGCTCGTTCATCCGGGCGTCTTCAATGATAGGTGTTTGTGCTGCGACAATTGTCAGAGCAGCATAGCCTTACACCTCAGTCAACATGTGTGCTTCCCTCGACCAGTCCTCACTCGTGTCCTGTATAATGCCGAGCGATTTGATCCAAATATAGTAGTAGCCCAAACAGCGACATACAGTGATGGCATCGCAAAAAGTCCTTCGGAGTCTGAAGATAGGCGTGCCTTGGAAGAGATCATTTTTGGTAGTTGCAGTGAGCTTGAGGATATTGGCTCGTCCCTAGCGGTAGCTTAGGGCGACGTAGGGGTAAGTCTTAGAGTGATGGTCCTCGTTTGTGATGACGTGGAAATGGGGATCGTGAAAGCATCAACAAGACTCTTTCAGCGACTGTGTGAAGACTGTTAATTAGGCGAAGGGGAGTGATGCAACACTTTCCAGACATTCATTGAATATTGGAACAGCTGGAATACGCATGACTGGGGATCATGTGTGTGAATTGAAAGTGCAATTGTAATTTTGTTTGTTGCGCCCGTCCTTACTTTTGGGCGGCTAATAAGAACTGGATTACCAATGAATTTAATTGAGGCTGGATGCTCAACACCCTCCCACTTGTTGCTTATTCTCAGCTGGGAGGCCTAGCCAATGGCAGACATAATTTAAAATCCTAGCATCAACTGAGTTTCGAAAATTCATTGGCATTGACGTATTGACATCGCTAAATACTACGCTGATTGATCCCAGTAAATTGGGCTGTTCAGCCAGTTTTACACATTAAATGTAATCCTATGGTTTGAAGAGCCCGACTTTTCAAGCCCACACGCGCGTAGCGGCCAGCCTGATGGGTTATCAAGACACAATGTTTCAGGATGGTTGAAAACACACAGGGGGATGAAATTTGGCTATGCCGCCATGTCCATTTCTTGCACACCAATACAAGGCCAGAGGCACGCATGGAACGTCACTGACATATCCTCATTGACCTGCGAACATACTGAGGACCCCTGAAGGCTCATTCTGAATTCAGCTACTACGCGCCGGAGAAGACATAAAGCAACCTGAGTCATGCCAGGTGGCGCTGTTCTGCACAGCTTGCGCTGTGTGCCATATCTTTCTACCCCTGCAATTAGCAGCTTTGCACATTTGACAGCTGAAGGGCCTGAATATAGTATATTTGGTGAGATAAGGCCACTGCATGTGTATAAATTACAAGTATGGTAGTTTCGCCCATGCTTAACCTATTCGACTGTTGAACAGACTGTTCTCGCATTGTTCTCGACTCTCTTTAATTTTGGCGCTTTTCTATTCCCCTTTTCTTTAGTAAGCCGGTCCTTGCTGCTATCAAGATATGCCTGATATTTCGCTTCCTCATCTTATCTGCCGGTTAAGACGTGTATTATTCCGCTAATTTCAACCGATATGATGCTATTCGGAGCAGTATCCTATCTCTTCACACTCTTTATCTACGCTCAACTTACTACAGTAGCTTGGAGTTACAGTGATAAGGCATGTTGCAAGAGAGCCCTCGAGGAAAACGCCTTTGTCTCCCTCAACAATGGCGCCGCTTTTAAGGATAGCATCGTCTGCGGACAGGTCTACAACGAGTCTTCTCCCGCCGCACCAGATGCTTACGTTACGTACAACTTCTGCAAAAGCGAATGTGGCGGCTGGGGTGTCTCCAGCGTCGAAAACGCGGACCAGTGGGCTGGGCCGATTGTCCAGTTTATTCTTCCATCCGTCATCTTCAGCATGAACATCCCTAGAACGTTCGAATTCGTTTCATCCCAGTGGCCCGACATTCTAGTCTTGAGCAATCTACGTGGTTGGAAACGAGCATTATTGTCGCTCGTAATGACATTTCCGGCACTGCTGTTTGTTTTCGCCGACACTGTTGTATGGGTTATGACTATCATGTGCATGGCAGGTCCGATGATGGTTGCCGGCCTGCATGAAGCACTGCTCGACTTCAAGATACTGGAGGCATTGAAGAGAAGGAATTACATACCTGATCCGCCGAGGGTATCTGAAGAAATTCCTCTGAATCCTATGGGCGACAGTGTGTTTGTAAACAACGTGGCTGGTGAAATTGAGCTCCATAACCATGGTGAAGACTTCGATGGGTTAAGGGAGAAGGTAGAGCTCCTGGTGATCGTCCTTGCTGGCAACCTTCGACTCAAGGCCTACGGACCATGGACTGACAACCTTGTGTTGATTTCTGAGACGCTACTGGCTACAAAAGGACGTCGGTTTAACGCCATGAGATCGCTTCCTGCCCAGACACCTTCAGACCTACCGTCATCACACGGAACACCCATATTACCCAACACTGAGGCGAACCAGAACTATTCCAGCTTATCCGAGCAGCTCAAGAGGCTCATGACGGCGCAGTCTGCTTTCGGCGCCATCGTCGGTGCAGCGGTCGTCTTCTACCTCGGTGCCTTCATCTACACTATCCTGGATCTACTAGGCGATAAGAGTAACCAAGATGCCGCCATCTCTCTGGCGTTTGGTGTCGAATGGATGATCATCGTGCATGTCGCAATTGTCAACGGGTTTCTTCTTGCCAGCAATAACCCTAGTCCAGTCACCATGCTCATCGGGCGACCGCCTTCAACTCGCAAGCCTCGCGAGATTTTCCCTCCCATCTACGACGGTATACTACAGCCAGTGTTTATGTGGCGGCGGGGGGTTAATAAGATGGAGTGGCTCGAGAAGTCCAGAGCGTGGCGGCGTGGCGATCAGAGATTCATGAATGACGTCCGAATCAAGAACCGGGATTATCTGGGCTGGATCGCAATCCCCACCATCATTCTCATTTCCCTACCGCCGGCGGCAGGGGCCGTGGTAGCATGGCAGACTCCCCCACGGGGTTGGGGCTGCAGGTCACTGTGTTTTGTCACGTATGCAGGTTTCCAGATGGTCCTTACTCCGTTGTACTTTTTCATCACACGTAAGACGGCTCGGAAGACAACACTGCAGCGCGTCATCCACTATTTCTGCGTTATGGTGTTCAGCGTAACGGTTCTGCTAGCTCTTTTTACTAGCATCGCGACGACTCTCATGCAGATCATTGGGGTCTTTCGGAACTGCTTCTGCTACGTCAACAGCGGGATGTGGCTCAATCTGAACAACGCTATCGTTAATGTGGCTTCTGACACGAAGAACCGGAGAAATTCGAGCGATGGGTGGATTGTGATGGGCGGAGTTGCCACTGCTTTCATGGCGGTGTGCTCTTTTTTCGGATGTTGGTTTCAGATGAACATCCGGGTCAGTTTTGAGGATGCGATTAAGGATATCGATGAGTTGTTTTAAATCAGTGTATGGTGAGTTTGGGTTGCCTTTCATTGAGATGACTATTGGCAGGCTGTGTATAGTGCCTTTAATGCTGGAAGAGATATTCTATCTTAGTTGTTGGACTGGGGAGTTCGAGTTAGCCTGGTATGGTTAGAAGATAATAAGTGTTAGAGAGATAGAGTTCTTATATATCGGATGCTGCGCTTCTCAAAATCGATCATGAACCATTTACTACTGCGAGTTTCATTAGGCCGTGAATATGTTCAGTGTAAATGATATTGACCCAATTACTATGTGAAGTTACTCTGTGCCAATCACTATCTACCTAAGAATCGCTACAACCCCCGCGCACTTCATTCGAGTTCAACCCTTTACATCTTGTGGGTTCCCATCTGTCTAGGGCTAACCTTGTTGTGGAACATGTGATCAATCTCATCGTATCGTCGCCCTTTCAGCTCCGGAACATAAACCCAACTCCAGATAAAGCCAGTCAAACCCAGACCACCAAAGATGAAGCCAACCTTGCCCTTGAGATTACCCTCATCCGGGTTGACCATGTACGGAATGGCAAAGTTCATAGCGAGACCCATGACAGACTGTGTGGCAGTAGCAAGCGCCATTGTTTTGGCCTTGAGGCTGAGCGAGGCCGTCTCACCAAGAACAGCAAAAGCCATGGCTCCGACAGTGGCGAAGTAGACGTAAGCGTAGATGACTGTGCATGCGGCTTGCACCCACTTGGCAGCTGACGTAGGGACTACATCCATGATACCGATGAGAAATAGGAGGAGTGTTAGAGCCCCCATACCAGAGAGGAAGATCTTGCGACGGCCGAAGGAGTTGACGACAAACCAACTGCAGATGTTGCCGAGTACTCCGCATGCTGTGACACCGACGCCGAGATCGAAGCTGCGAGAGGTCTCGAGACCGGCGAGTTGGAAGAAGTAGGTTGAGTAGCCGAGGACAAAGATGATACCGACAAAGTGTTGGCAGACAAAAACTCCCATGCTGATCATAGTTCGGATGAGATCAGTTCCCTTGAAGCACTGGATCCATGATGCTTCCTCAGCAGAAGCAGCTTGTTCCTCGGCGATTGTCTCCTTGATAGTAGCGAGCTTGGCGTCAATGTCGACACCAGTGCCGTAAAGCTGAATCAGTGACTTCTTCGCCTCGTCAATCTTACCCTTTCGAACAAGATACCAAGGAGTCTCGGGAGCGAAAGGCAGACCAACAGCAAGGATGACAATAAAGACACCCTGCGTAGCCAGCGCACCCCTCCAAGCCCAATGATCCGTCCTCTCACCAAAAGCCTTGATTACACCATTCGATACCAACTGCCCAATGGCAATTCCAAGGTTGACGCCCGCCGTAGCAATACCACGGAAAACAACCGGCGAAATCTCAGACGTCGCCAACGGTGCAAGCGTCAGGAAGAAACCCAACCCAAGACCGATGATGAGCTTGGACATGAGGAACGCAACGTTGGTATTGGACATGCACTCTCCGATCGTACCGCCCGTTGCGAGGAGGAGGGCCATGATGAGGGAATTCTTTCGGCCGACGTAGTCGCAGATCCAGGAACACATGAAACCGCCGAAGAAACCGCCAACGGAGCTGATGCAGTTGAAGGCGGTTTGCCAGTCGGCGGGGAGGATGGCTTCGCCGTTTTCGACGTATCTAGGGCGAATTAGTGGTGGCGGGAAGGGAGATCGGATGACGGGCGTACCCAAAGTCGCGTCGGAAGGCGGCTACGGATATCATGGCTCCGTTGATTTGAGCATCGAAGCCCCTGTAACCGAGTGGTTAGAAACTATGATCCTGATGATCAGGCATGAATTCGACTTACCAGCCTACAGCTGCAATTGACCAGTAAAAACACCACCAAACAACAGCGGGATGTTGTTTAAAGCATTGCTTGAGTGTCAACTCATGCTCAGCCTGACGGTCTGTCTCGACAGCATGACTCTTTGCATCAATAAACTCGGTGCCAGACACCTTGGCCTGGAGTTCAAGATCTGCTTTGGCGGTAGTATTCGACGTCTCCATGATTGATAATAACCAGTTGATAAGAATAAAGTGGAAACTGATGATGGATGCTGGTGATAACTGATAAAGATGCGGGTCAACTGCCGAGTCTTATATACAGCTGCATAATCGTAACATCATCAATAGTTTCCGGTTAAAGACATGCCATACTCGAATTGGTTGTCGACTGTGACATGGCATGACAAGCAGAGAAGCACGAAAATCATGCGCAGAAAAAAGGAATTGGCTTTAGCTAACACGGTCTAGACCAGTCTGGGGGTTTGTGGGGAGACCACGAAAATCTGGGGATGCTGAGCTTACCCCAGTTTGGCTGATACGAGCGACATTCCCCGACGAGAGCCCACTTTCCGGCGTCACGAGTCAAGAGCTATAAGGAGCGATATTCCCCGACGCAACATCCACTTTGTTTCTCTCCTCCTTCTGCAACCTTCGTCATATCTCCGCAAACACCAGAAATGTCAGCTGAAGCGGATCGTCGGCCGGGGAAGAGACCTGCGCCAAGGGGCACAGCGTTTTATCCCCGCAAACGAGCTAATACAGCTTGTCAAGTCTGCAGAGCTAGGAAGACAAAGTGCGATAACCAGAAGCCGGCTTGTTCTTACTGCGTCAGTGTGGGAGCGACGTGCATTCAGTCTCCGGTTGATCTATCGGCGTTTGACCCTGCGAGTCTCAAGATTTTGGAGAGGCTGGATGAATTGGAGAAGTTGATTCGCGAGCCAAAGCCTGACACTACCAATCAAGATGTTGCCCAGCATGAGACAGAGCTGCTGCCCGAAGAGTCACCTTCGCAGTTATCCCCAGAGAGTATAGGCGACATCCCCCTACGAAGCATCCTCCCCGAGAAGATGGAAAGCCTCCTCCTCTGGTCCGTCCTCTCCCGCGACATGTCATCCCACACAACCCTCCAC